CGGAGGTCAAGGATTACGGCAACACCTACATCATTGTCGACAGACTCAGCACATGTGCCCTCATAATCCCTTACTCCAGCTGTATCACGACTCAAGGATGTCGCAGCTGTTTCTTACTTAGATATGGAAGCCCGGCGTTATTTTAAGTAGTATCATTACGATTATGGATCCTAAGTTCGTTAATGTGTTCTGGTGTACCTTTATTAACAGCGTACACATTGACGATAGTACATCACTGAGAGCCACGCTGAGGCAGCTGGGCACTCACCTGAAGTATTTGCAAATTTATGGTCGCACAATCCCGATTGATATGTTTTATTTTCTTCCTTGAACTAACTGGGCCTACAACAAACAGAACATTTGTCTGCTCTTTGTTCTCCTGCAACCTTAGTTCACATTGAGCATCCCTTCACTACTCAGGGCCTAAAGCTGATAAACCATGGTCAGGCACTACCCTCACCATCTGAAAGACTTAGAGAACTGTTTGTCTGTACACGTGAATGTATGCGCAAAAAAAGTGACTAGTGAAATGGGGTAGAGCACGTCAGCCTCGATGGCTCACGGATATGCAGTAACGAGCTTCGTTGCCTGCGGAAAAATTGCTGCTGTCTTCGGCACCAATTTAAATTGGCATGGACGCCGGACGCTAGCCCTCGCGTTCCTTGGTAACTCTTTCCCCAGCCATGCTCTGTGTAATGAATATACTTTCATTAATGAGTACTGCACTCATATGTTGCCGGTTATTATTATGAAGGTGTTCTTTATATTTAACATTATTAGCAGGTAATTTCAAGTATGTCGTCTCGAAGCTCTTCCTTTTACCTCTGCGACGACTATGCTGCATGAACCGTTTGCAAGTGCATTGATGGACTACTTTAGGAGGCGTCGAGGTACTCTTGTACTGGTGTGAATCGTGAGTCCCTTTAAACATATGACTTGTCTTCAGTATTCTCGTCGCCGGAGGCTCACATATTTAGGCGCTGCGACGCAAGCCATTACATCGCCGCCTTCGTGTTGCTTTGATCCCTCGTTCGTTGTTGGCAAGTGTGATTTTCTCTCTGCCCATAGATTTCACTTCACGACATACTTTTATTCCTCACTTGCACTGTTTTTGCATTTTTGCCTGCCTGGAAAAGGCGATAGGGCGGGTCCATACATCGCTGTCGTGGGCGTAGTTGGTCAAAACGGACACGTAGAAAACACACGGGTGCGAAGGGATGGGGAGGGAAAAATGCATCAGAAAAATCAACACATAGGCGCTTTCTATTTTGCATCAGTCGTCTTCGCTGATAGTAACGAAATGACTGATTTGCTTGTCTGGTCGCGCAACATTAATTGAAGAGTAGCGTTAGCTCAATACAGAAAAACAGCAACATTGTGTGCTTTGTGTGTATTCATGGCTTCTAGATGCTATCAGCAAGCAGCTGTGGATTCAAGGAATACTGTGAGATTTGAGTAACGCCCGCTGTAGCCTTGCCTCCCCTAACATGCAGGGACCCAGAGGGTCCGGCTGGGAACAAGGGAAGTCTCGTTTGAAGGAAACTCGAAAACTTCTAATTTTACCTTAAATATGGAAATAGGTGTCGCCTCACGGAGATCTTTAAATGCAGAACGCAAACATATTCGCTCCCCCAGTTGCTTCCTTCGCAGTGAAAGGCGCGCTCTTGGCACTAACGCCTGAAGGATGAGGGCCCTAGGCGTCTACGGTTTATCACAGTCCTCAGAGCCCCAAGATGGTTGGCGCCGAAGCGTGCGTACATTGTGGGGAAGAGCTTTATACCAAATTTTGTTATAATTGCTTGGTATTCCCACACGGTTAAACTCAACAACGAATATCGATCCTAACGGTGTGCAGGGCTAAAGGATAAGCAAATATTGAAGGTCTACCTTTGATACATTTCGCCGAAGCCCACCTTCCGTTGCGCGCAACCCTTTGTGCAGCGATCAACTACAGTAGCCGAACAGTCTTCAAGTGTTGTCTTCTGTTGACTTGGCCCTTTCCTTGAAGCACACAACCAGTTCTACTAACAAGAATAGGACACTATTCAAATTCATCAGCATTTATAACTATTATTCGGCTGCTGTTGGGGTCTCGAGGGTCTGAAGAGAAGCACTTGGGTAGCAGAGATTGCCTAGAGCTGCGGCACCTTTTGGGGGCGCAGTGTACATTAGACCTAGGGCTTCAAACCTACGCAGTAGTGACCTTTAAGCAGTGCTGACACATGAGGTATTCTCGGAATCTGTCTCCGCAGGCGTTGCCCGCCAGAAACAGCCCCTTCCTTGGGTCGACGCATACTGATGAAGTTTGGTGCTATCCCAATCCACCGAACACGATGTAGCACCAAGCGCCTCCAGTGCGCCAATCTCATTAATCACTAAGTATGGGTCTTATTCAAGCCCTTGTAAGTCCTGAACTTTTATAGGGTCAGCTATTCTCGTGGGTAGCGACCAATGCGTTTTTCCTTAAAAGACAATGTTGGCGAGCTATCTTGATGGCCACGTTTCCATGCTCTCAATGCCGGCTTCGGCAAGTGTGCAAGTTGACCTTTAACAGCGACGTAGACACTCTCCGATACTAGAAACACACAGATGCTTTGAGAAAAAACCAAAGCCTTCCAGAATTAAAGCTTGAAGCCTGTTCAACCTTGAAGGGTGACCCCTAGGTGCCCTGGTGCCAGCACAACAAGCTGGGTCTTGGGTTTTATAGCTTCAACACAGTTTAAGTGGGCTCCATTGGCAAGGTAATTATAAGCTGCCGGAGTACAAACAAGCCTCTAGTCCATTTTCCGGTCTTCAACTTTCTACTGAGTTGAGGATGATCATACTCTTACGATTTACTGGGAGGGAAAATAAAATGACGCAAATAATGGGGTGGTTTCATTTCCACAATTAATCGGAGAACGGCGAAATCCTTGCTTCACGGGCGTACGAATCTGCAGTGCCTCTTGTTAATGGCTAAGCGCCTTAATGCTCAAAAGATACACGAGAAATCCAATTTAATACGAGCTAGTGCCTACAGTGTGCATTCATCTGCCAAGCAATGAGTGCATGCCGCGAGTGCAGTTTTGCTGCATACAGGCCCACTAGGTTGTGTGCTTACCTCTGTTTCTGATCCTCCAGAGGATTTATCCCCGAAGTTGTGCCATGGGATGTAAGGATTCACTAGCGCTTTGGAGCATGCCAACAATACATTAGTCGGGACCCTTCTACCGTAATTCTGCTGGCCCACTGTACAAGCAAAGGAGCCGCTGCGTCGCAGTACACGGTCCCGCCCATTGCATTTCTCCTCCCATAGCTTCCAGGAGAGCCAGAGCATTCCAATTTTAAGAACGCTTACGGAAACATTATATGCTCTCTCTTAGTGAGCAGCTTTCTGCTTGGCACTCCGTTAGTGAGTGCCCGAAGGCGAGTGGACAGTCAGGCTGCAACATAGGGCATCCCTAACACACTGGAAAGCTGTACACTAGTGCCCGTTAAATTAGCCGCTGGAGCGCATCCAGCATAGGGTTGCGGTGTAAGCTCACCGTGCTCTGCATCAAATAGTATGTAGGAGCAGTTTAATCATACCAGTGCTTGAAGGAATATCATATGAAGTTATTCTCTCCCGCTGCGCTCGCACAAATCTGAGCTGCAGAATGCAGAGAGGAGTGGCGAGGCTAGTAGGATAAATTGCCTAGATTTTCACCTAAAAATGTCTTTAGCCACACCAGCGGTTCCTGAACATGCCCAGGCAGTAAAGTGCCAGGAGGCAATAGGGGTCTGTGGATGAAGTTGAGCCGATGGGAAGCCTGAGAACTGCCTTGTTTCTCATTATCAACATAGACTAGCTAAGAGCCTGAAATTGTTTTCCATGCTTTAAAAATCTATCAATGGCCTGGGCCCGGGGGCACTGTACTCCAGAATTGATACGAACTTCATAGAAACTAATCAAAAGCCCTTCCAAGAGAATCTTTTTTCCCTACCCGAGGCGCTCAGAGTTTCGACATGTCAAGAATTAAAGGGCCAGATAACGTGCGTGTTGCTGCACTTTATAAACACTTCGTGCATTCACAGCTAGTTGCACCTTGCACTTAGGGGGTATGCTCACAACAATGTGCCTGTTTTATCGAGCTACCAGTACTCTGAAATGGTCAAAAATACTAACAGCCAAGACAAATGATCAAATCGCTCTAATGCTATGCTAAAAGTAACTACTAGGGCAGAATGTGTCCAAGTGTAGCTTAACCCATCACCGTACTGCAGCGTTGCTCAGGAAATGACAAACCTGTGTAGATGTGTGCCGCCAAAGCAGTAGAATGAAAAGGGGCGGCCCTGTTACAATCCCTCAGGTGCGTGGTCTACCGATAGGCCCGGCCTTTCTGCATCTACTACCTAACATCTGGATCGTCCCCAAGCGTGCGCAGCAGCAGCTATTTGTCGGGGGCTCACAAGTACACCCCTTGCCTCAGCTTGCATGCATTTGCTGCCGCGAGAATATATTAGATAGTGCTCCTTTCACGACTCGGCATTAGGTTATCTGCTCTTTAAGGAGATAAGGACACATGGCGGCGTCCCCTTGTGCGCCTTGCCTTCCGACGCCTTTGCCTTCCTCTGCGGATGCCGATATATCCATCTTGATAGCGACAACGGATGCAGAACCGGCTGCTGAACGGGCGAAAGCACTTGAGTCGAAGTAGCACAACTAGCTCCTGCTTCTAGAGCAGCTACTCGGCGGAGTCAACAGCTTCCTCCTCTACGAATCGAGACGGCCTGAACTTTTTCAGGGCCGCTTTAAGCAGCGCCACAGCGACTGCTCCGACTGCAAAAACGGCGAAGGGCCTCCAGCCTGCAATGACAGCAGTAATAGGTGAGGGCGTAGGACATGTTATCCCTGCAACAGTTACAGCAGGAGGCTGGCCGATTGCTGCACTGCATGCACGCCTGCAGGCATGCAGGCGCCAGACGGCCCTAAAGCCACCAAACATGGGGATCTCAGGACATAACGGAAATCAGCTGCCGTTTTAAATGCTCATGCTACGACCGGCTGGCGCTGCAGCAGCCTCACCAGAGCTGAGGGAGTCCAGGCTTCCCAAGGCAGAGCCCATGGAGACTGCAGAAGAGCAACACCCAGGCAACAAGAGCCTCAACCATCAGATCCGTTTCGGCTGCACAAAAAAGCAATTTTCCTAGCCTCTCGAGTCCTTTTAAACCGTCAACCCTAAAGCCCCAGAACTTGCCGAAAAGCGCTGAATTAGGCATCAAGCCCAGCCAAGTGGCGACGAAGAAGGGCCCAAACGGAACGTCCAAGACAGGCGCTGCAAGCGGACGGCCCCAACAAATCCTAGAGCGGATGTACAACCGAATACTGGTGACATCGGTTCAGTTAGTAAGGCAGGTGTTAGGTGAGAAACGTGGGCAAGGGATCCCAAGAGGGGGCGGGGAGAAGGGCGACACAGACACGCGCATGCAACAAAACAATCAGCCAAACATTCAGCCAAGCAAACAAACACACAAACACACATGTATACACACGCACAATACGGTGAACCCGGATGGGGGAAGCGCAACATGATAAGAGAGAGATGCCGTGTATATATATCAGAAGCATTATGCCAAGAGTACAAAATGTGCAGTGAAGAACTAAGCGAAGCCGTAGGTGAGAGGGGTTGAGATGAAATGAGTGCCAGGTCGTACAGGCCGCATTGATAACCAAATTCGGGAAGGGTGAGACCCGCAGGAACAGAATCGTTAGCATCAAATCCAGCTGCGTCTCCCAAGTCTTTGATTGCTTCTGGTGCGTGGCACTTGCACCAGTCTTGCATGCAATTTCTTTATGCTCTATCGGAAGGGGGCTACGATGGCGGCCACGGTTACCACTACTCTGCTTGGGGTGGATAAGGCGGCGCATCCGCTGCAGCTGATTGGGGAAGAAGCGAACCTGCAGGGGGTTCGGCGAGAGCAGCAGTACGCGAAACAAATAGCAGCATGGGCCGACCAGCGGCACCGAAGAGAGGGTGCACACAGAGGCCCTTGATAGCGCGTGTTGCGGAGCTTAGCCAAGCGCTAGAGCAGTTGTGAGAAGCGGAGAGTTACAAGAGCTTTGTTGTACGCAACGAGGCGTGGAAGGGGGGAGAAATTAGGGCAGCCTGCCGGGTGCAAAAAAGCGGCGCACACGCTTACCACAAGGGGTCGGCCGGAAGCCTTGAACATGAAATACGCAAGGCTTGGTCCCACGGCGGAAAGCAAGGATGCCAGCGAGAACGCGAACAATGGGCTGTACAAGGCCCCGAGCAACAGTGTAACGGCCATGGCCAAGCCTGAAGCAGCAGCAGCAGAAGCAGCAGCAACGGTCATGAACGGCAATACCAGCTGGGGGTTCGCAGGAGTAGCCATTGTGCAGCGACACGCTAATGGAGGCGCATGCAGGCAGGAGGCTACATCAGCAGAACCCTCGCAGCGTCATGCGCCTTTTATAATACGTTTGCTCTAAACCGCACCAAACGCCAACGCGCGTTGTGTTATCGGCCCAGAGAGGCACCCACTACGATACCCGAGAAGGGGAACATGAAGAGGGGGAATGACTGGTAGAGGAGGTAAAAGTAGGAGAGCAGCAACGCGAGGGCCACAGGATGCTGCTGCCTGTACACTGCAACTGCGGCGCAAATCTTCCGGAGGGTCGTGAGCTCTCGCAATCGGCCCAACTCGGAGAAGGATGCGGGAAGGGAGGCCTCCAGCTCCGCTCGAGCCTCTCCAGTTAAGCCTGCGGAAGCAGCAGAGGCCAACTAGAGGCAAAAAGGGAGAGTAGAGAGGGTCGGAAGGCCACTAAGAAGGCCAAACAATTGGCAGAGCCCTTTGCAGAAGCACATAACGGGGGGGAGGGGGTGGATTGCGGCACGGATAGCACACATGGTGTTAGCGCTATACTTGGAGAGCCTGTTCAGCGTATTGAATTCCACGCACAGCCCACTAGACAGACACCTTCACTGGCCTACAATCATTGACACGGCCACACGGCGTGTGCAGCACAACCCTAACACCCCTAGTCGCCCTCTTGGCCGCGAGCACCCCATTAGGCAGAAACATTGTCGAGAGCAACCATGTTCCCATCACACCTGGGAGGTTGAAGTATAGCAGCGCCAAGCACCCAAGAGCGCTAACAAAGAGAACTGCCATTATGCCAAATTTCAAGAAGATCACCCGCCGTCGCTCCGGGGTGGCGGGGGCTGTTTCGACATCAAGGGGCTCAAGACCATCTTTGGATAGGGGGGCAACCTGAGAGTTCCCCCCTCCACGCTGGCGTGGGCCCATCGGATTCGTTTGTGCGACAGCCGCTATTGCGGCTGCGTCTGCGGTTGATTGTGCTGGCGCGACTGCGGTCGTTAGTGCTGCAAGGAGCTTGAGGAAGCCACAGCGAAGGGCCACTAAGCGTTAGATAGCACGCTGAGATTCACGTAACCCTCCACGTCATTCGTGCTCAAGAGACGCCGTGGCAGGAGCAGCAGCAGCTGCTGCAGCTGTACAACCCCTGGTAGCTAGAGGCCACGGTAGAAAAGCGGCGGGGATACCCTTAGAACGGAAGCACGGAGTACAGAACAAATAGAGACGAAGTACACAGAGTGGAGGCAAAAAACGCCCTGGTTACGGTGACCCTGGCGACGAGGCGCACTGCAATGCTGTCTGTTTAGCCAAGGGGCCCCTAGGGCCCCCTTCGGCAGAGTCTTGCCGAGGTGGCAGTAGCAGCATAGTCCAAGGGCAGCAGTTTTTCGTTAACAATGAGCACCAAAATAAAACTCGTGCAGACACCTCGGAAGAGTTCTTTGCCTTCGGATTCTCGTGGGAAAAGTTTTCTGTTCTCCGCGGAGAGAACAACAGAAGCAACTGCATCCTACTGCCCAGGGGGCCCTATGGACTTGCGCCGCCCTAGCATCCACGCAGCGAAACGAGAAAGGGCACTTTTCCAGCTTATTTGGATTTGATTGTTTTGGCTTGAGCACGCCGATACAGAGTATATTAGCAGCAGCTGCTGCTAGCACCGTCTCTCCTTCCGGCAGAGCAGCAGCGTTTGCGGCGATCGGCATGTATCAGGCGACTTATATCAATGCGATCAGGAGTCGCACGAGCCTTCCTTGGAGCATAAGGCTTACCAGAAGAAGCCACAGCGGATGCACCTCTCTCACGCCCTCTGTGTGCAGACAGACAGCGCAGCAACAGCCGCAGCAGCAGTAACACCGGGAAAATCAACAGCAGAAGCACCAGGCGTATCGACAGCAGCTGCATATGCCGCCTGTCTGTTCCGTGGCACTGTGCCCGGGCAGCCGTTGTAGGAGCAGCTACTGCGAAGACTGCAGCGGGGTATCTGCAGCAACAGCATTGATACCAGTGGCCGTCAGAGCCTTTGTTGCAGCTTCAACAGCAGTAAGGACTTTAGCAGCAGCAGTGGCAGAGCCACAGAACCTGTTGCTGTATTTCCCTCAGGTCCACGTATTATACTCTGCAGTGGCAAGGAACGGGGCCTCACTAGTGCACCTCCCTCACGCATGTGCATGGCCTGTCATGTCTGCCCCAACCCGTTTCATGATTCTACCGCTCTTGCTGCCTGTCCATTCGTGTCATGTGACCTGATGACTGCCGCTGTGTCCGCCTTATTTGCCTGTGTCTGTCTCATCCGCCTGTGTCTGTCTCATCCGCCTGTGTCTGTCTCATCCGCCTGTGTTTGCCTTATTCGCCTGTGTCTGCCTTATTCGCCTGTGTCTGCCTTATTCGCCTGTGTCTGTCTCATCCGCCTGTGTCTGTCTCATCCGCCTGTGTCTGCCTTATTCGCCTGTGTCTGTCTCATCCGCCTGTGTCTGTCTCATCCGCCTGTGTCTGCCTTATTCGCCTGTGTTTGCCTCGTCAGCCACGCTTCCCGCTTCCATTTCCATAACCCTGGATTGCAGGGTCCTTACACCGGTTGCAGCTGCTGCCTGCGATGGAAGCGGGGCTGCAAGACAGCGGATTCCTCCCACTGGAGCAGCTGCACATGTCAGCTGTTCAGCAAAGAGGTGAGATTTCTTTGAGGCTATGACGAAGGGCGTTCAAACAAAGAGGCATTTATGGCTTCTCGTACGTGTAGCTGCATGTGGCTGGCAGCCTGTGGGACCCTGACGCATGGCCTGTTCTCGCGTTGCTAGCTGGTGCACCGCTCGCCTTTCCGATTGCGTTTTCGAGCAGATATCGCGCGGTTTGAGTCGAGTATCCGCCATTCCCTAAGGGAACTTCGGGGCGTTGCTTGCCTTCATAGCCGTACGTGTCTCGAAGCGGCCACCTAAATACTGCTTCCTGGCAGCCAGTGCGCCGTAATTCCCCTTCCGCCTACCCAAGAACCATCAGATTCGCATTCCTCAGGGCTGTCCTGAAGGGCATCCGACAGGGCCCCTGTATGCTGTAGGCGGCTGTGTGTCTGGTTCAGGAATTGTGTGGCTCCTGTTGGCATTCGGGGCAACCAGTCTGATTGGAAGCGTTTTGCAGCGAGTAAGATGCAAAGCGTCGTGTCATATTCTTTGCACCAGGGCTCCATGGTCCCTAATTTGCGATTTGTGGAGCTTCAGCTGCGAATGTTTGTGCGCGCAGCCTGTGTTCCTGGACCAGGTCTACCCTCACCTGAACGTCGTGGTATCCCTGTTGCTGCTTTTTCTGTGTCTCCACTCTCCGCGCTTCTCAAGAGACCTGCGGGCAGATGAGTTGTACGCCTGTGTGATCGATGCACGCGTTGCTTTTCCGTCGTGCCTGTTATGCCTGTATTTAGCCGTCCGTAGGCGGGTTGAGGTGGGCGGGCGGCCTGCGGCGAGGTGGAGACCTGGCAGCACCTCTTAGTGCCGAGTGCCAGTCTGACCATTACACCTCTTTCCCGCTTGTTTTCGCGCTTTCGGTTCAGGTATTTGGCCAGGATGAATGCAGCGCTGCAGCACCTGCATCTGTATTACGACAAGAAGTCCGCTTTCCTGGAGGCAGTATTCCCTGTCACTCCCTCTCACTCTCCGCTTTGGTTTTTGAAAGTTTCTTAATAACTGCTTTTTCTATGCAATTTCTATATCCCTTGCGCCCAAATATGACCGTGCTGTAGCAGCTTCTTTGTCGGTATCGGGCTATTGTTCTGCGTTCGTGGCTCCCTGCCTCAGCCTCTTCGCACATGCGTCGAGTTCATACCATTAATTGCATCCTTTTTGCTTCAAATGGTATTCCATCATGCCTCTACTCATTACCTTTAGGCTGGACGGTCTCGTAATCTCCCGCGCACGGCCCCCTCAATTGCACGTTCTCGATTCGCGGCGCCTGCTGCAGCTGAGAGAGGCAGACCTCCATGATGAAGCGTCGGAACATTTGAAGTGCTACCGAGAATGTCTTCTCAACGCTGCGGCTGTTCCAGAGGGCCAAGATGGTTCAAGCAAATAATGTTATTCGGCTCTTCCGTTCTTTTGCGCCTGCCTCTCTAGGGTTACTGCAGGACTTACTGCACCTGCGCTTCTGCACCTGCACAGGTGTGCCCCCCCTTTCCCGTGAGTGCGCAGTGATGAAACGGAGAACAAACACTTACCCAAGAAGGAGGGCTTATGCGAATTGCAGAACAGAACTTTTTTTGTTGTAATCACCGTGTGGAAGACCGGCCGGCACCCCCCTTCTTTTGAAGCGCATTTTGGTCTAGTTAGCGGCGTACAGATACTGCAATAGCTTCGAAATAGCTTGATCGACACTTTCGCCTTTCTGGTTCGTTGTCTCTGAGGCACCTGGGGGCGGAGCCACCGAAAGAAGCTTTGACTCGATAGATTCAGAGAGCCAATTGCAGTCAGCAGATGCATGTCCACAAACCTACCCGGAGAGCCTTGCGGGCTTTAATTGTTTGGCGAATCCGTCTCCCTCAATCTACTCTTACACCGAGCATTAAGAATATTTCAAACTAGCTAGCCAGGGTCTCACCTTTTTTGGCATTTGAATATGAACGTCAACTTGTCAAAGACGCGTGCAGTGATCAACAGCGCATTGGTCGCCCATAAATAAACAATGTAAAGCCAGAGTTCCTTCTCAAATAAAATAAAACCAAAAAGCAGTAACCAAACATTGGGGCCAAGCCGACTGCAGCTCCCCCAGGAAATAGAATTCTTCGGTACAGCAAGATACGTACACCCCGTGTCTACAAAGAAGGAAGACTGGGTGTTCAATCTATAGGGTACTAAACCCGTGAAAATGGTGTCGTGCGACCATTTGCATTGCTTCAACCTCGGGACAAGCAAACACAAGAAAGAATCCCGCGCAGCACCAATGTTTTCAGCACCAGAAAGACAGGCAAAGCAATGTCCTAGAGCGAAGAGTAGATGATTTTGCCATTCTATTACATCTACCTTCTTTGGTTATCACGTGGAGATCTTGCACGGATACAAGCGAGCTTCATCCAATGGAAACTGGGTGATCCGGCTCTCTTACTGGAGTCCTATCCCAATTCCTTATTTTTGCGGCCTTTTCTAAAAGCAGTATCCTCTGCTCGACCTCATTCACGCAGATCAGGGCTGCCAGAAGGGCATTTTGGTTGCGTAAGTGAGGTGCAGCTGAGGATGCCGTTCTGATGATCTCCCACAAAAGGTTAGGGAGACGGTTTCCCGCTGTCTCTACGCGTTGGAAAGGGGCACAGGCGATGCGAAAATCTGCAGAAAGACCGCGACAACACAAAAAAAGGGAAAGGCGCAGACAATCCTTTAGGGTACAGCAACGGATGGGGCTGACGGTGATGAGCGGGCGAAAATAGCTGGCCAGCGGGGATGAAAAGGCAACGGCAGTACGGCAGGCAGTTATTGTCGTTCTAAATGCTTTGCCACAAAAAGTCATCATGCACAGCAACGCAGGTGCATAAATTTTACAATTGTTGCGGTGTCACGCGCAAAAGCAAACTAGGTGAAAGAGCTAACGAAGCCCCTTACTCGTGGAGTGGCAGTGCAGCACCAACGAGTGCTTGCTCTCTGAAGCAATACAAGTGTTGTCCGCATGGGTGTCTAAAGCCATAAGTCTGAAGTCAGGCCTTGAGAGGTCGGGAGAAACGTTGACGCCAGTCCCCAGCTTGCCGCTGATATCTCCTGCATGGCAGGCAAAAGGTCTCCGCGCGTAAATTCTCGGGTTGCAATTGTACTCGCCGGTGAACAGCTCGGTCCCTCGAAGAGCCCTGCAGCGCCAGCAGTTACATATGCAAGCAGCAGAATGTGCAAGCGTATATATCGTGGCTGTACCAAAGCTGTGCATTTTTTCCTTTCAACTGCATACACCAAACATAGCGAAGCAAAGGGCATTGCGGGAAAACGCACGAGGACGGAGGAATGTCCAAACCCTTGCAAGCCGATCCTCCAGTGGATCCACAGGCGTATCCCGGGTCGTGATGCCCCCCGGTATTCTCCGCATCACAAGCGTTGTCAGTGTTGAGCTGTCCTCTAGGTAATAAAGAGTTGGATTTCTCATGTTGATGGAAGGAAATAGGAAGCAATTGGTTATCACACTTTGAGGCGAAAGTCGCTAGAGGGCCCATGTCTATCCTTACACGAGACACCATGCCTTGCTTGAATAGGCCAACAGTGACTTGCGCCTCCGGTAGGTCGATCACCGCCACACTGAGGCATCCTGCGTGGAAACAAGGTACGACAGACTACCAACGCATTATGGATCCAGAGACAGCCATCAGGTGAATATTTGCAAACATAATACCTCTGAAAAATTAGCTGTCCAGTTATACCCTCTCCTAAGACGTGCGACCGACCCAGCCTGGTAAGCCTGTCTTGAAGATCTGGATCTGTGTAGTCGACTGTGGACTTGATAATAACAGAGAGCCTTGCTATGCAAGAACGCATTCACAAATACGGCCGAAGAAAAGTCGGACACACTCAGATGCCTACGCTAATGAACGTCACAGTAAAAGTGGTGCATAGGTAGCTGTACCAGACTGTCTACGGGCCCGAGATTTACCGGCCAAAGCTCGTAAGTAATCTCGTATGCCAGCAGCGGGGACCTCCAGGCAGCGGTTCCTCCCATTTACTATGCACCCAGGTACATCAAAAGACGGCAGATCCTCTTCCTCTAAGCTCTCTGGCAAGTGTGTTGTCTCCTCATTCAGTTTTAGGAGGGGCGACAACTGCTGATTTGCTGTACGCTGCTCGGTTCCTCGGGCATTGGAGATCTTGGTGAGGCATTCAGCAGCCATCCTGAAATTCCCTGCCACAATTAAAACTTTATAGACGATGGCAAAATAAATACAAATATAGAAACGGCGACTTCCAAAATACTCCATGGTCGGTCAGAAGATACCAGTGGTCACTTCTGCTGCTCAGTACGTCGGGATTCCGCTAATTAGCCGAGGGGTTCAGAGAATCTATGGCTCTGAAAGAATGCTCATAACAGTCCAATCACAGCTGATGTTGAAGCAGGAACAAGCTTTTGTGCGGCGTGACCCCTAAGTGGCTTGAAGCCTGTCCTGTGAGTGTACCTGCTTGCGGCATCGGCAGGGGTCAGTGGTGTGTGGTTGCAGGCAGCCACCTTTTTCCGCTAAATCTTTTGAAACGCACGAGTGTGGGGCGCATACTAGACATTATTAAGGTTTCTAAGGATCTACATCGTGAAAATACATTTTACCATTTCTATCGATTAAAATACAGTAATCCACTATCGTTGCCTACTGCCCTAGCCAAGATCCACCTTTTAACGCAAAGTTACGCTCCTCTTTTTCCATTGGACGTATGCGTACCTAGCAGCGGAGTCTGAGCATACAAAGCTGAGAACGCGGTTAGAAGTAAGCAATCACACTTCAGTAATTGCAGCATACTTGCAAACTACCGAGCATGCTTCAAGGATTTCTACAGTGAGCATGTTGCCTGAGGCCACCGTGGATTGACATACAATTGATTATCCCGTTCAGAGCCTATTGAAACTCTACATCTAATTATGCCGTGCGAAAACAAAAAGTACAATGTGGTAGAAGGAAACTTAGAGTGCAGTGGATCCTGTCAAAGCATAGTACAATGATTAGTTACACTCGCTTCTCGGCTTTCACGACTAGTTTGTGAGACCAGGATAACCTAGAATGCTTGTTCCGTACATGTCTACAACGAGTGCATTTGGGAAGGCTAAATGCACAATGTTCTTTTGTAGAGTGTTACACCAAGAGTCTGCTTTCAAATCCAGACATACTAGAGAGGCGAACACAACATTCAAGCAAAGTGCGGGAAATACAGTCTATGTGAGCATACACAGCATGGCAACACAAGTGGCTTGAATTGTTTCCATGAGTATCTTCTTGCGAGCATAGTGCTGAGAGTTGGTGACCACATACCCTGAAGCGTACTTCCAATACTTCACAATGGTGGCTAACACTAATAAAATCAGGATAATGGGGTATTAGTAGCGGTCAAACCCCATGCGCACCAAGCAGCTCCAGCTATCCTCCACTTGTGATCGTGAGAAGGGCACTAGCCTCAAAACATATGAAAATTTAAAGGAGAACTAATTGCCTCATCATAAACGGCTCCAGGCGTGCTTTTACCCTATAGGAAGTGGTTTTCGTATGAGGAAAGAAAGGAATTATGAGATGCTTGTTGTTAAGCCTTCCCAGCACTCCGAGTATTCGGCTCCAGCTGGACAGCAATCTAACATACAAGCGCACAGAATTCGTCTGCATTGAATGGAACCAACACCAATATCCAAAACACAATATCGCAACAACCAATATACAAGTTGATGCTTTAAGAGCTGTAACCTAAGGATTGCTGGTGCAATAGAAAGCACCGAAATTAGCTCGGCCAACTACAGCAAGTACGCACCAATGTTTCCTAGTCTACTTTTGTACTGGGAAGCTCTAGATAAAAGGGTCTATGCTAGATAGGCACTATTGATTATTAGGCAGTCTGTGGCGCTACCAAAAGAGGGAAGATTTTCAGGGTGTAGAAGCCCGTGCCCTGTGCAGAGGAGAGCACATGTGCAGGGCAGATGGGATACCCGCGTCCTTATGCACTTTGGATAGCAGCTGTGTACATCACGGTGATGCAAGAGCAGGAAACGTATCTCCGAAGAATAAGGAAGAGTCCTGTGCCTCACAATTTGCGTTAGTCACCTGATATCCCTGGCGCGAGTCTACTTTGACCATTTGCTCGATGAACCAAGCACTGTCTGCTAGGACGCTTATCTCGGGTGGACGATAGGGCTCCATAATTGACGGAGAGGAACCATTTCCTACCAGATCATTAGTGTGCTATCATTGGATTCTAATATAACAGGTGTCGCGCTGAGATTATCGTGTTGGCAAGCATCGCACAGGATATAGTACACGCCTGCTGTTTTTACAGTCCCCCAGGAGCAGGTTTAACAGCGTAATGCCGTGGCATATACAGGCGCCTTTCTACGATAGCCACAGTTTTGAAGGATACGTGCAAACAGAGCTGCATACCCGTGAGCTATACCGATGTTTTCAAAATACTAATATAAAAGCGGAGCACAGCATGACTGTCGTTGGAAGCAAGTTACTAAAAAGAGGGATTCTTTTATGGTGTACAAGAAAAGCCGCACATGGCACTCAGCATGAATACGCGCATATGAGCTGTTGGAGCAGCGGAAAAAAAACGCTCAATAGAGATATGCGAAATCCATTCATGGAGCTTGTAGCCAGTAATTCAGTATATTATGCCTAAGTGAGGGGAGCAAAGTACCTTGTGTTACTGGAGCACTTTTTTACACTCCGCGGAATAGAGCTCGGAGTTGTGCCTGACGCAAGTTGAGAGAGTTCTTCAAAAAAATAGCGCTTTACCTAGAGCCCAGACAATAACACCCTTAGTGTTAGGCGTATTGCATTTTGATTTTTCCTCCCTTTCTTTTGGCCCTCAAGATTTTTCACCGACTGTTGTTGCCTAATTAAGAATTCTATCGACTGCATATTGTGGCCTACGATCTTGTACACTAAGTCTTTACCGCTAATTTCAACCAAACCGATTTGTTTGAGTGAATTTTTGCAAAGGTGGCTTGTATTACGCGACTAGGTTACGGAGTGTTTAGAGGAACTCCCTGCGATCCCAGTAACAATTTGGTTCGTAGATTTGAGACGTCTCTCCTACAGTGTATCACACGTAGGCCTTTAGAGCATCATAATAGACACAAGTGCTTAGCTTGAGACAACATCATCTCTACTTTTGAAAGTGCTACAGTCGGTGTCTCGCCAGATTGCAGGCGATGGACCATTAAGGCATGTGGAATTGTTGGGCTCGCGGACGATAATATATTATTGGTACAAATATCCCATCTAGTACTAAGTTAACACAAATCTCGCCAGAGTGAATATGCTTTATAGGCGTTCACGTCTTTTTGGACCTATATGTGTGTTGGTATCAGGCAGCGGCTGGCAACTCCGATAAATTGGGAGCGGCATGACCAACGGAAAGTCAGTTCCTTTCGCTACAAGTGGAAAGTAAAACCATCAGTATAAATGCTGCTGTTTAGCCTAAAACATAGTCTTTTTAATGTTGTTTTAAGTCTTGTGGTTAAACGGGGGAAGCAGGACAGCCGGCACGTCAGCACCACTCCAGTGTCACCCGCGTGCATTGCCGCGCGGAAGGTGGTTTAGAAGGATTTTCACCTGTCAACTGCGGTTCATATGTTGACTTCCTCCTTCATACTATTGCTTCATTCATGTAAACACTGGGAAAACCACACATTAGTGCAGTTTGCTCCAAGACTCCCTTTATCCTGAAGCATTCGACGGTCCCACCATAAGCCTCTTTTTAAATAGGGTTTCCGACTTCATTGGTGTCTTTGTCTGACACTTTGTCTTTACACTTTGTGTTTTATTTTCCACGTGTCCTTCGTGTTGCTCACCCAGCGGTTTGACCATGGGGACAGCCGACCACCGTCCTTCGGAAAAGCTACGAAATGCGGCACCTCTGGTCGTGGTGCTTCTCTGTTCACTATTCCTGCCAGACCTATGTGCATCAGAGGCGCCAGGTGGCTTTCCTACATCCGCTTTGACTGCCAATGACTACCTTGCTGATGAGTCCATATATATCCACGAAGAGGCCTCCGCGATGCTGGCATCTTTAAATACCCCTGGAGCTCTTGCAGATAAAGCGGCTCCGAAGACAGCTGCACCTACTAGCATAATGGACATCATGTATCTCATGAGTTCTATGGCTAAGGGAGAGAAATCCGTCGCTATCAGCAACACAGTGCAACCGATCGTGCGCTTCATGAGAGAATGCCTTGATCGCCTAGCAGGTTGGCAATATAAGAATGCACACAGCATCATGAATCTGTATACGCTTAATCAGGCCATTTCACCAGGCCATCTGCAATTTCGACAAGGTCAAAAAGAACTTTCGGCTGTGAGTGTTGGCTGTTGTAGATCGACTGAGGAGGCTGCAAGGAAAGGATATAAAGTATGATGGCGACGCGTTCAGGCAGCTTGGTAAGAAAAGTAGTCCTCCCTATTCAAAATCCGCAAGGGGCGCTGAGTAGTGCCGACGGAGAGAACCGCATGGCAATGGATATTTGTCTATGGTCTCCTCTGTGATTGTATTTAGGATGCATTGCTGTCTCCAACATGGCTCTTAATGGTATTCAGGGCACAGTAGCTCTTTTCCCATCTTCCTTCCTCTCCCGCTTGACCGTGTCGATTCCACACGTTTCCACGGCTTTTCACCAGCCATATGACTTGCCGTGTATCAAGCCAATTGCCCTCGCCATCCACGAGCGAAGCAACCCCAGTCTTCACCCAGGGGGTGCTTTCAACACTGATGGCCAATGCAGCGCAGAGATGATTGGAGGACGACACGACCCAGGCCTGGCATGTGGTCCGGATGGCTCTGAGCTATGCCGCACTCTCTCCATCCCTCCTTTCGAGTACGTTTGCAAATTCATGGTTAGAAACTTTCTGACCTGTATTCATTGCACTGGCGTCACATATAATGTTTGTCTTTATTGTGTCTGCGTAATATGCGCTGCAGCAACTCTACGGGAAATCGTGACTCGCAAGCCAGCTACACTTGCCAGAGCACCCTGTACAGTTCGAGGCCGTTTTCCTGCAACGCCGGCGACTTGACGGGGAAGTTTGGATTTGGCAGGGACCTCTCAGTATCGCCACAGATCGTGGACATGCGCGTCTTAGCAATGGACTCAAGCCCGGATAACCCATGTGGAATAGGCAGCCGCCTGTTGCCGCTTGTTCTCAGCTGCAGCACGAGCGGTCAGCAAATCCATCCCTCTTGACTAATTAGTGCCGAGAAGCTGTTGTTTTTTTTACCGCTGAGACTCCCTGTAGCCACCCATTACTCAGCGTGTGGTGCTGTGCCTGTTTCTCGTGTTGATCATGACTAATTATGGAATTAAAGAGGTTTTTGCACACGTAAAGCAAGCTGCCGCACAAAACATAGTTATGTATCTATGACTATGTTTGTAAGCGGCTTGGCCGCTACGGCATTAGTGTGCCTTCATGGACTGTATATTCAGTACGGCACTTCGAAGTACGTTCGACTGAAATGCTTCGTAGCGGTGGTTGTTGGAAGCAGAGTCTTCGGCATTGCTCTGGCGTAATTTGACTGGTGCGAACTTGTACAGGCCGGAGACTGGCGTGCTCGCCGTTTCAAGTGGTAGGCTCCGTGCCCAGCATGGTGGTGCCTTTGCTGCAAGAGCTGGTTCTTGAGACAACCACGGCTCTGTTAGATCAGCCCACAATGCAGGAGGTCATAGGAGCTCTAAAGTCCTCGGTCGAATTGGAATCAAGGGTGATGTTCCTTGAGGCGGCGGCAGAGGGGGTTAGCCCTACTCCTGGGCCTTCTCCTCTACCACCACCCGAAGATGGCACAACCACAACAACCATGTCTCCCACATTTACAACTAGGGGAGGCCCAACGAGCACAAGTCCGGCGTCGACAACAACAACGACCACAACACCAACAACTGCACCGCACACCCCGGCCCCACCAACTATACCAACCCCAATCCCACCGACAACCACAACAACTACCACACAGGTAACTACAACGAATTATTACCCCATACCAGGGCCACCTCGCGATCCTCTATATCCAGAGCCGACGCCCCCTGATGACCAGCCAAGCCCGACCCCTCGGCCTCCTAGGAGACGCAGACCAAGGCCAGCACCGCAGCCCAGATAGCTTCAGCCTCAGCCACCACAAACGCCGTTGCCAGATCCTGTGGCTCCCACCCTCATCCCGAGCCTCGTACGCAGCCGCCTTACCCCGAGCCACCCACGGACCTTCCTGACCCGGAGCCTTCTACGGAGCCACCGCCCTCTCGCAATAGAAGTAGACGCCCCTGGGATCCAACAAAGTAGTAAGGTATTTTTCACGAAAGATATAACCAGCAAGGTATATAGCCGGACTGCTTTATGACCACCTCACAGCGCCCGCCACGAGGGCCTAAAATGCAATACAGTCCTCGTATATTTGGCATCACGCGGGAGATATTTGCCAGCCATGCTCTTTGGCTGGGCAATTTTTCTTGAAACCCTACCTGCAGGAGGCACTGCGAGGGCTTTTCAGGATTGGTAGAGGTCCCGGCTGAATTGTCCTGCACTTGTTTTGTTTGTCCTTGGTTATTACCTAATTGCCCAATAGGAGCGTCTGTAGCGGGGATAAGTATCAAGGACTTTATCTCGTACAGCCGACCAGATGGGTCTGTGTTGCAACAAAATATGTCTGATGCAAGCCCCGCGCAAATCGGAAAACGGGTAAAGCGGGAACTTCTACGAGAATTTGTTGGGGTGGCTTAGGTAGATAGGTGATGCTTAATATTGAGGGTAGCAAGTAGGACACGGGATTCTCTGCGGAGAATGCAAGCACTTCTGAATGCTAGAAATAAATGTAGCTGCTGCATATATCGCGTAGTGCGTAAGCTCTAAGATTCTTCATTGCGCCACAAAGGTCGAAGACCATGGGAATACAGTCCCCACCTTCAGGCTTTGGGAGGCTTGAGCAACGAGGGTAAGGGAAAACCTTGTAGACAAGGGACCTTGTCGTGATACATCCGATGATTTTAGTCTTTTGGTTTCCCTTTTAGCTGTTAAAAGTGCTACGGGCCGTAGGAAAGAGCTTCTCGAGTTTCTTCCAATACATAGGACAAACGTTCAGAGCTCTTGTTCTTTGGATCTGGAGCGTGCATGAAATTTGACCGAGTGCCGGTGCTGCTCAAAATAAAAATGCACTAGGCTGCTGCAGAGGAGCTAGGGCCTTGTTAAGCGAACTTTCAATGCTCTACCTAAGGCCTCAGGAGGCGCACACTTGACTCCTGACTGAATTCGAACTATGTACAACGCTATTGCGTGTTTATCAAAAGAGTTCTCCCTGCCAGCGTCCCTAGAGTTTGTGACGCGTGACCACAGCACTGAAACCACTCCATGGCTTTTTACAAAAGTTATTTAGTCGGGCATTAGGTGTCTCCCTACGGAGATCTTAGAAGGAGCGTGACAGTCGCTTAGCCCCCTACAAACTGAGTGGAGCATTTGTGTGATTAGTCATGATCAGGACTGCACAGCGATATGGGCATCGCGAAAACTTAAAAAAGAGCATTGCTACAGCTCTAGCGTGAGCTCAAGTACCTTTTGTTCGTTACCGCATTTGCTAGTCTGTGTGTATGCCACCTGGGTTTTAAAGTCCGAAGCTGCGTTGCTAAAAGGAGCACAAGGCGGTTTCCGTGTGTTTTTTCTGCGCCTACTATGTTAAGAGCCCAAAACATCCCGGAACTATAAGCAAACTGCTTGCATGGTTTATTACCATATATCTGCTTCGTGAGTAACTTGTTTTCTCTTTGTCTTCCGGTGGTTTTTCGTTCTCCATGGAAAAAATATTTTGTATCCACCAACGAACCAGCACGCGCTACTTACACGATGTCCTGCTCACATAATAGTATCAAATTTCGTACCTATCTGATCAGATCCCAGAGCTGAAGCGTGAAAAGAAGCCCAGCACAGAGGAACGAACGCACGGAAGACGGGTACACGGATCAAAGAGCCGCTGCAGTATTACCGAGAAATTTTAATGGATCACGTCTATTACCAGATTGAATAAGTCTCGCGCTTTAAGGGCTGTAAGTCCGTGTCTCTCGTGCACTCTTTACTTAGTGATTCGGCAGTTCCCTACTGTGCCAGGTGCTCCCAAGCCGTCAAGAGCTTCAAAATAAAACCCACACATTCGCACCTCCCTCTGCATAAATTCGTTTGGATATTCCATGTAACAAACGAATTACTAAGGTTTCAGTGTTTAAGCTTTGCAAACCTACCTCGTGTTATTCCACTGACCGCCTTGCTGTTTGCGCCCATGCTCGACGGTCAATTACTACACATACGATGGTCACCGAGGCATTTCTGTGCATTTCACTTCATTTTCAGCTTTCACCCTTTTTCCATTTTTTGTCATCTGATTTATCTGCATTTTTTGTCTCTCATTTGTCAGCCAGATACCCTCATTACTCTTTCCGTCTCCCCCTTTCGTGCAGTGCAATCGCGGCATCCCCAGCCGTTTCCGTCAATGGAATTCCTTCGGTTTTCCCCGTTTACGATTATTCTTTCCGTATATTTCACGCAAACATTGTCCGCAATTGTCTATGAGGAACCGATATCGATGGTTTTCCCCTCAAGTGGCACGTATGAATGGCCGCGGAGTCCAGTGGTAACACCAACACCAATAACAACAATCAACTGCCCAAACCCTCCGTGCGTCAGTGGTGTACCACGCGAAGTAGCTATAGAGCTCGAGACTCCTGTGGACTTGAAGAGGTTGTGGGCAGAGCGCGAGGCCTCACAATCTAATGAACCTCAATCCTCCATAACTCCTACACAAGAGAAACTCAGAGGTGCTCTCGGCACTCTCATCAGTGGACTCCGTAGTGAGTGTGCCTTCGTGAGCAGGCAAAGAGCCCTTGCACGAGTGAGAATAAATATAAACTTAGCCTTAGAATCGAAGGGAGCACACCGGACAGCACCAAGCAGCTACGTGTGAGGCACCCCAGGTGGTCACTATGCAGCGAAAGGCCATCATATGCCACTTTCGAGGCCTCAATGAAGCATCTCTACGATCATTTATTGACGTCGTCTTCATCTATCGCCAAAGTAGCCCCCGTTCAAATCATTGCTCTTTCTTGCATGAGAATTCATGGGACATTATTGGACTTGTGCTAGTGGTATTTGCACTGAATGTAGCCTGGCGTCTGTGATTCGGACTGATATACTTTTCAGACAAGGTGAATGAGCTGCGAAAACGGCAGCCACTAACTTACGATGAACAAAAATTCAGAGAACTAGGTAAGCGAAAGCTCAATAAACGAAAAAGGCAGACGCGCAAGAACGGGCAAAAGCCCAATAGACACCTCAGACCTTTAAGAAAAACCTACACAGACCACTGCACCTCATGGCCCCAGTCACATATCCTCCCTTTGATTCGTTTCCTACTGGCCTTTCTCCATCTGTCCTTCCTCTGTAGATCCTGCCTTTTTGCCTGCTGCTCAGGTTGCATTGCCCTCGCTTCTCCGTCCCTTCGTGCTTTTCACGGCGTAGTGGCCCTCTTTCCTGCTGCTTTCCTTGCCGAGATCGCGGTGTGCCTCACCATTGCGGCTGCCGCTTTTGACCCAGCGTGCCGAGGCCATGTGACGCCTCTGGCGCTGAATCTCCACAGTAGCAGACACCCAGCTATCCCGCCTAGCGGCACTTTCAACCTCGTTGGGCAGTGCAACAACCTTGCAGTTGGAGGCATTTACAACTACGCTCTACCAGGGGTCCCGAGCGACGTGTATGCAACGAAGCCCAAGGACAAATCGTGGAAGGCGATGTCTGTGAAGTCGGAAGGATGCGGCATGCCACCGCCCAGCAAAGAGCCGTAAGCATGTCACCATTGTGTCGTGTCCATGTTGCACTAGTGCTTGATGAGTGGGAAGGCCTGCGGGATGAGGTTCTGGTCGGTTTGGGCCTGAGGATCTTGAGGTACACCCTACTTCGTGCAACTGCGTTTGTTGCGTATAGGTTGGAATCGCCTGTGCCTCGCGGATGCAGCCCCAGCCTTTACCGATTAAGGCCCTTCGGCTGCCGTCCGGGGCACTTCACGGGAAAATTTGGCTTGCCGAGAGACGTCTCGCGCTTGTCGACAACAGCGGATCTGCGGGTTCTTGCTCTGGATCTGCACTCCGAGAGCCCCTGCGTTGTATCCGAGGCTTTCCTCCCTGTGGTTTTGTCGTGCTCTTCTACCTGTAAGCTCCCCATTGCAGAGTGCCTTTTGCGCTGAAAGGCTTGCGGCCGCCTGTGCCTCCCTCCGTCCAAATCACATACGGTTTGGATATGTGGGGCTTGCATGCAGGCGCGGCACTGGCGTGCGTACCCTTCCACCGCCTAGAAACGGTTGCACCCGCGGAGGTGCTCGACGAACTCGATGCTTTGCTCGTGGCCACAAACGGGGCAGCAGCAATCATCGAGACAAACAAGCAGATGCAGGCCCTCGTGAGCATCATCACCGAACTGCAAACCAGGTTAGAATTCCTTGAGTGTGCGCCAGCAAAAGCGTAGGTATTCTTTACCCTGCAAAGTTGCGAAAGGGCGAGGGCCTTTAAGCTTGCGAACCCCCTCTTTCCCAAAGGCTAATTATCTAGGCCTCCCTCGCCCCCTTAGTGTGGGGCCCTTTTGCCGTCCCGCGTGGGGCCCTTACTTTGAGTTGATTCTCTATCTAGCTGGCCCTTTAGGAGCACACGCCGATGGCTTCGCACATGCTCTGCTAGGCTTTCCTGCCGAACTCAGAAGAAAGCCTCACGTGTCATGTGAGCCGATGCTCTAAGCTCTCCTAAGTGCTTGCGTGAATTCTCGTCGAGTGCACTAGGGGCACACCAAGGAACCGTGGCCGATGATAGCAAGCGAACAGTCGTTTTACACGAGGGGCAGAGAAGCACGACGCATGCAGACTATTGAGAGAAACCTAGGGCAGGATAGCGAGGCTGGTAAACCTATCATCCTCATGCATAAACCTATATGCTGGAGCGACAATGAAAGAGCCTGTGCAGGTGGATGGCCATCCACGCGTTTTGCTGAGAAAACCGGTTGGCTTTCCATAGAGGAACACACAAGGCAACGAAGGAGGCATTTGTGGGAATAGCGTAACCACCTTGGCCAGACTCTGTGGCACGCTTAGTTGTACACACTCCCCACAGTCCTGTCTTTCTGCCTCTTTGCTGCTACGGTGGGAAGCAAGATCAGTGTAATGACGACACTAATACACCGACGCTACAGCTTCTAGAGAGTGTTCGTGGCAGGCCGAAAATAGTCGCTGCTTTTCTGCAGTCCCTCACATACTCCGCACCATTGACTTGGGTATTTCACTCTCATGAGGCAACGGTACTGCAGAAACCTGCTGCTTCCGCCAACCCCGTAGAGCACCACGCACAATTTCGTGCTGCTAAGGGTGCGTGTTGCTTTGGAGTGCCAGGAATTCTCCTTTCAGGGTCCTTCGTAGCGGCTTCAAGTCACCGTCCACCCTCGAGGCCCCCTCGGGGCCCCCTCGGGGCCCTCGAGGCCCCTGTTGCTGCCTGATTACCCGAAAAATGATGCATAAAGCAGCATAAAAAAGCAGGCAATTGGCAGCGGAAATGCAAAAAGAGGCCATATGCAGCTGTGAAAGTCTCCCTGAAGGAATGATAACTCGCTACATGGGCCCTCAACTGGTGGTGGACTTGGCCTAAAACTTCTTTTATGGTGTAGCGCTTTCGCGCCTAAACTTTTTCGCTGCTACACTTAGGAGCTGTGTATCTCTGTGGATGGCTTCTCCGCTGGGATTTTTTTCGGAGGTGCCGGGATCTGCAGGAGATTAACAAGCTGCATTGAGACACTCTGCAGGAATATAAGAGCAGCATCACCCGCCGCAGGAGGAGCGGGAACATTCACTGGTTCGAGATATCTTCAGAAAACAGCTATCACATGCTGCGGACCGCAGGTTTTCTCTCCGCGGCTGCAGCAGATAGCTGTGTGCCTGCCAGGGTTTCCATCGCTTGGGTGGACTGTATGGGTGCTTCTGGACGCCTCTGTTTGCTAAAGGCAAGGAACTTACCGGGTAGCTTTATAGGGGCAGCAGCAGCAAGGCAGAGGCAGGTGTCGCTGCACTGGAGGGTGAGCGCGGCTAGGGGTCTTCGACCGGATCTACCCAAAGGCAGCAGCAACATCAGCTGCAGCAGGCCAGTCAGTCGGGCTGTTGGTGACATGAGCTGCGGAACCATTAATTCTGCCTCCAATGTTTCAAAGAGGCGAAACTTCTCCAGCAGCAGCAGCAGCGTGGGTGGGTCGCACTATGCAACGCTGGGAGTGAAGCCAACAGCAACACAAGCGGAGATTCGACAGGCGAGAAACATATGCAGGAGGCAGACAGGCAGAGCTAGCGCCCGCTCTCTTCTTTGTGTCTTCCACCCAGCTAGCCTCACTGCTGTTGCTGATGCTGTTGTGGCGGCTGCTTCTGCACCAGACCCTTCTGCTGCTGCACCTAAGACTGCTCCACGCCTTGCGCTCCATTGCTGTAGCGCAGAGGATGCACACCTCTGCATCTGCTGTGGACTGCGCCTCATGACTACCTCCAGGCTTATGTAGCTCTGGCTCTCCAACTCCACCCAGATAAAAATAAAGATGATCCAAACGTGAGACACCCTGCTGCTGTCGATGCCTCTGTTGCTCTCGTTATCCCTGCATCAGGCCCTTTTCCTGCTATACCCCAGACAATGAAGGAACCAGTGCTTCACCGTTCTGTGTATCTCGCTGCTTCTGCTTGTCTGCTCTCCCACGTTTTCTATATCCCTTATTTCTCTGTCTCTCTCTCTCTCTCTGTCTCTCTCTCTCTCTGTCTCTCTCTCTCTCTGTCACTCTCTGTCTCTCTCTGTCTCTCTCTGTCACTCTCTGTCTCTCTCTGTCTCTGTCTCTCTCTGTCTCTCTCGCTCTGTATGCATGTATATATCTGCCTCTCCCTGTACCCCCCTCTTTTATAAATATCTCTCTGCGGCCGTGCGCTCCTGCCCCTCTCTTTGTCTAGGCTGTCCCTCGTAGGCAGCTTGTTGCCTTCTGCATGCGCAGTGCTGGATGCATATTTGCATCTTGACTGCTGAGGCACGCATGCCCGTTTAACCCCTCCACGATTGGTGGTCAATGTCTGCGTGTTTGTGTGCCTTTCTTTATCAAGGCATTTCGTTTCGGGGCCGCTCTACTTGTGTCTTCTCCCATGCTATGCCTCTTCCATCTTCTTCCACTCATCTCTCTTCTTTGTTTGCCTCAGGCCGCCAGTCGCTTTCACGAAGTTCGCGTGGCCTACGATGTGCTCTCCCAACCCTTTTCGCGCAGTCACTATGACAGGCAATGCGAGGGGTAGCTCTTCGGCTCTGCAGCTTACATCCAGCGCATCTGCATCTCCTTTCCCCGATTATCCCTGTCTCTCACAAGCACGCTGTCCTTTGCGCGTTCTCTTTTGTGCTTTACCGAGACTTTGTGTGCCTCCTGGCCCTAAACGTGCTGAGCTTATGCATACGGATGGTGCCATCCCCCAGGATCTTAATCGCTTGAGTTGCTTATAAGTTCCTGTCCACGTTCAGTGCTTTCGCCAATAGTTTTCGAGGCTCACAGGACGTCTACCCCCCGGCTGGCGTCTTGACTGTCGAGAACACAAAATTCTGTTTTCGAGTGATGGGTGGTGCACAGGGCTCGCGGCATGGCAGCGGCTATGGAAGACGCAGGCGCTGCCGCCTGGGGAGAAGAGACAGAAGAGCAGAGAAGTGCGGCAAAGCGCTGCCCCAGGGAGCCTCATCAAGTCTTTCTGAGCGTTGTTCGGCTATAGCCGTACCTAGCTAGTTCAGTAGCTAACCGTGTTCTCGAGAAACCGAACGAGCAGCGCAACGGGGGTGTAGCAAAACAGCTCTTTTAATGGGGCCTCACTTCGGGTTTGCGGGCCGGCGTTCGTTGGTAGTGATTTGTTTGCCTCTGTGTATCGCTTTGGTGAGAGAAAGATATATATGTATGTATATCTTTCTTTCTGTCTTTCTCTCGATGCTTAAAGTCCGTTCGGGGAGGAACTCGCTCCGTACAGAGAAGCGTGCGTGTGGCGCGTTCCGTGGGGGTGGGGGGGCCTGAAGTGATTGCTTCTAATGCTGCATGCGGGGAGATTGCCCGTGTAGGGGTATTGTGTTTTTGTTTTCTGCGGGTCCCCTCGGCCTCGCAACAGGAGCTATGAGGGCGTATCGCCTCCCCATGCGTTCCCCGCAAGGTTCGCTGCAGTGTGTAGCTGCCCATCTTTGTCGGCTTTTCTGTGTGGTCTGCAGCACTCCGCCGCCAGCGCTACCAGAGATATGCAGCTGAGCAGCGTACAGACGTTCCTTATGACGATACTCCAGGCGTTGTGCGTTTTTAAAACCCCTTTGCTGAGTCTCGTTACTTTCTTTTCGGGTGCTCTGGCTTTCTTTCGCCCCTTAGTTCGCACCTTCTGGGGTCCCCCCACCCCACACGCTTGCTTCGTGTGCCGCTTCTGTCCTTGCCAGAGATGCTCCCCTCAGCCTCAAGCGTCTTTTGTTTCTGTGCCTGCTGTCCTTAACTGGCCTCATGAGGGCTATATATCTATGTATATTTATATATATGTATATTTGAACATGAGTGTGTATGTGTATGTGCTCGTCCTCTGCCTCTGCACCGTGGTAGCACTCAAACTCTTGCTCCCTTGATCGTGTTACAGTTGGTGGTTTGCGAAAAGTGCGTTCTACGGCCCGCCCGCCATATGGAGGACGACGGACAGGTGGACAGATGGGAAAGCGGCGCTTAGTCTCCTTACTGGCTGCGTGCGATGATGGCATGTGCCTTCTGTGAGTCGCAGGTGCCAGTTATCGTTTGCGCGTTCCTGGCGATCACTTACTTCTCCGTCGCCTACCCTAAGGCCCGCGAGATGGAAGAGTGCTACGGGTAGATCAAACCACCGAAATTGAAGAGCTAATTGCACTGCGGGATGCGCACGTCCTGCCCTAGGTATCCGCGGCTTGCCTGCGGGAGCTGCATGCGGCTCCTTTCTCGTGGCCTCTGCTTGTTGTGTGTGTGCTGTTCCCGAATCTAAGTGTACATGACGAAGTCACGCCGCGAGACACTCGAGGAGATCCGCTAGTGAGGGCTTTTTATAATCCTCTCAGCGATCAATGGGAGCGAATACCTAGGGGCTATGATGCCCCACTCCCCTCAATCCTACACAGGGTAAGTCTCTCGCTATACGGCGGGCGCAGTGCATCCGTCTGGTGTGTCCTCCTTCTATACACAGATCTGCTTCCGGTAGTCTGCTCTGTCTACCCCGGCGATTTCATTTACTTACCCTACCGTACTTGCACACACAAAAGTACAGGCCAAAAATACTTTGGATTAGCTATCTTCATCAATGATGATGTTTTAGGTACCTTCTTACTATGGGTTGCAGGATTACATTTCTCACATGTATTACTTGGTGCGAATTTCTTATCGTCCTTAATGTTCTGGAAAGGAAGTCTACAGCCCTTTTGCCACATCCATACGAGCCCTCTCTGTCTACCGTTTTCTGCGTCTATCTTTCACGTCGCACATATTACACCTACACCTCTGCATGTGCCCCATCCTCAGATGTACTCTGTTCGCCATCCGTCCCTCCGACTGGAGACGTCTCAGATGCCAAGGCAATTCGCGGTGCTTCAGGTAAGCCGGGGGCGTTTGGCCATACAGCGTACATACCGACTGCCGGCATCCTGGCAGCCGCTTCTATACCAGCAGGCAAGGAATGATCTCCCTTTCCTGCCGCCTTGTGTTGCTACAGATGCCGCATTCTCAGACCGAGCCCTCACGGCTTGTGCGTGATCCACGCACGGGAGAGCACCTCTGGACGGGGGAAATTCCAGTCAAACGGAGCGGCCCCAGTAACAGCAGCAATAGCAGGTCTTCCGATTGCAGCCTTCCCACTGCGCATTCGCCTGCTGAAAAGGCTGGTGGACTATCGGTTTCCTCGGAAGCAAAGCCCCCAAAGTCTCAGGGAGTTGCTGCGTTGTGTATCTGAGAAACTAATACGTTTGGCAGGCTACAGCGCCTCACTTTTGCAGCCTACCACGCGGCATGGAGTCTAGCAGTGCTGCAAGTAACATTCTAAGCAGAACCAAAACCTATCGGCAAGTGTTGCTGCCCTAGCGTATCCTGCAGCATTAGTTCGCGTAGCTGCTTACGGTTGCGAGGGGCCGCCCTTACTGTCTCCTCGGCTGGCTGGAGTCGCAGCCAGGCGTCGCTGTACGCGGCGCCGGCAAACTTATGCAAGTCAAGGACTTGCGGCTGCGTGACGTCAGCCTTTGCTGCTGCCTCAGAGCTCGCTGAAACAAACTGCATCTGCCCCCCGCGGAATAGACGAACGGCCGTTATGGGAGTTTGCAGGTATTTCTGCGGCCCTGTCTGGTGCGGCTGCGGCAGCTGATGGCAAAACTGCAGGGCGCTGCTGGAGGAGCAGCCGAGGAGGGCAGCGAGGCGCGAGAGGGGCAAAGAAGCCCCCCCAACTGGTGCAGCAGCGATACACGCAGCGATGGCAGCCGCACGCAGTGCATCAATATGCCGGTAGGCCGCAGCTTGCAGGAGAAAGGGAAGAGTCTTCGCGATGCGCAGCACCCGGAGGATGTTTCCAGCCGCCGCTGCAGCAGGCACACACTTGAAGAGAGCGTAGCCCATGAGGTCTGAGGTCGGGTGCGTTGCGGAAAACCTCATGGATCGCTTGGACTGTTGAGAATTGCGGGAACGGTCCGCGCTGGCTGACTGCAGCAGGGGCAGAAATAAGGGCAACGGGTGCGCTCGTAAGATTTTCACAAAGAAACGGCTGGCGCTGTGGGAGGGAGAGGAGAAGAGCACAGCGCGACGTAGTGTGCAAAGAGGCCTAGTTGGGTGCAGTGGCTAAGAAGCAGGAACCAGTATCTAAGCAGCAAGAACATAGTAGGCATACAACGGCCTTCTTAAAGAGAAAGAACTTGGAAAAAGTGCTGCTCTCCCGTGCAGCGGCAGGTGCAGAGCAGCCGAGCGGCATGGAAGACTGCCAGAGTCACACACTCATATTGGCCAGGCAGAAATGGGGGGGACCTGTTGTAGAGGAGGGGGACTTGTGCCGACACAGAAGTGTATATCCGTCTCTCAACATAGATGTACTCTGTTAGGGTACAAATGAATCGAGAGTGTGTGGATAGGAGGCTATTGGGAGAGGCGCCTTGTGGAAGAGGTGGAAGCAGACACCGCAGGGTGCGCATGCACGAAGAGTGGGCCGCAGGGCTCAGGCGGGGTGGGGGTGGGGGAGAAAAGAGGGAGAATCGAGTGGCTCAAGACAGTAGGGAAAGGCGCACAGAGGCAGCGAGGCACTTATTACAGAGCAAGGAAGGAGTGCAGCGCAATATGTTGCATGCGCCGCCACACCCACGAGCCGCGCGAGGAGGGAGTTAGGTCCCGAGCCGCTACTGAGGCGAACGCTAAGGGATAACAGCACTACTGGTTCCCAAGCGCAAGGCCAGACCTTACTGCGCTCACTGCTGCATATAGCAGCAGTGAGCGCAGTAAGGCTTCTGTCTAGGTGACAGCAGCAGCAGCAGCATCAGCAGCAGTTTATCGTGTCCCCCTACCTTCAAAGATCAGGCGCGCGGACAAGCGGCACAGACGTAGCTGTTGCCATCCTTCCCTTCCTACGAGCAGCAGCAGGCGCTGAAGCAGGAATATCTGCTGCTGCTGCTGCTGCAGAGGAGAAAGCAACGCATCATACAGGAGCAAAGCAGCAAGCAGCTGATCCAAGGTACCGGCATCCGTTTGCAGGTGCTGAAGCACTAAGGAAAAGTGTATCTGTCCTCCCCCTCCTCCTTCGACTGAGCGCTTCCGTTGCCGCTGAGTCGCCAGCTTTACAGCGCTGGTGGCGCGCTGCAGCTGCTGCAGCAAGGCCGAGAAGGCGGCACGAATCAACAAACGGTTGAGGCTGGGTGCGAAGGCAGCCGCTCGCCGAGCTGTCTGCAGGTCTTCTGCCTGCACCCCGTTGTTCATACTACTAGTATTAGCACTAGTACTACTACCACTACTAATATTACTACTACTACTATCAGTGCTGCTGTGGTCAAAAGTACGGAGATGGTGGGAGGCGCCCTGCCACTGCTGCTGCTGCTCTGCTGGCTGTCCGCACAGACGGCATTTGCTGCAGCAGTGGCAGCGCCCAAAACAGTGTGCTGCTTTGGCGTTGTGGTACAGACGGCCGCCCCAAAATACCTCCGCGAAGAGCATAAAGCGGATGCTTCTGGCGATCTGTGCCCATTCGATAGCAGGCGTCAGCTGCTGCTGGGGAGGCTGCTTCTGCTGTTGTTGCTGCTGCCGTGTTCGCAGCAGCAAGCCCTGCCTCTGAGTGCGCAAGCGGTCCGCAATGAAGGGGAAGCCGTGCGGTTGCTCTTTCAGCAGCAGAGTACATTCGCACGGCTTGCTACCGGGGTGGCCGCTGTTGCTGCTGGCGCCAGGCTTCAGGAAGGGGCAAGAGGCGCTCGTATCCGAGGAGCAGACGGGGAATATTAGAGACGGCAATACATTACCGAGGAGGTAGCCGCTTAGCTGACACAGAGCTTCCACACTCAGGACCTCCTGCTGCACTAAAGCGCTCCCCTTGCTCCGGTAGCTCGCGCTGGTGTACATACGGCGCATGAACTGCTGCGTGAGGCAGCGGCGTGGCGCTGCCTCGAGGAGATTGCGGCAGAGGGCAGACCGGAAAGAAGCCTCAGAAGGACCGCAGAAGGAGGCGCTGGGGGGGAAGAGACAGCAGCCGCAGCAACAGGGTCCGTCCTCCCTCGGTGCTTCTCCAGCCTCCACGACTGTTGCGCCTGCATGCGAGGCGAGCCGATTTCCTTCCTCCCTTTCATGCGCTGCGGCTATGGCTGCTTGGGTTGCTGGTGGCGCTGCTGCCGGGCCTGAGGCGCTATTCGGGGAGTTCTGGCTCCGTAAAAAGGGTCTCGTGGAGCTCATTGTGGCGATAAAGGGGGGAAATGAAGCGCAGCAAGCAACAGCGGTAGCCGCAAGCCTCAAGAAACACGGTGCCAGATACGCCCCTGGGGTAGACGGCCGCCGGTCGTTACTCCGCGTGGGAGGACGGATAGTTGTACAAACGTGCTTTCCTCCGAATAGGCTGTTATCGCGAAAAATGCGCAATTTAAACGCCCTAGAACGATCGTAGAGCTACAAAGAGCACGAATTCCTTAAGCAGCTTGGCAGGTGAACACTCGATTCCTTTGAAGGGTCACTCGGGGGTGTGCGTCGCGAACCTTTTTCCTGCGCCTCACATACATTCGGGTGTCTTCTTGGACGCCTAGGCTCCCTCCAGAGCCGGAAAGGGCCGCCAAAACGTACAAGAAACCCTGTGAAAAGGCGGTTTCCCTCGTTCTCTCTCCTGCTCCTGCTCGTGGCTGCAGCAGCACCTGCATGCAAGCGTCCAGCGGCAGCGTTCTCAAACGGCGAGCTCTATCTGCAGCTCCCTCTGAGGGCTAGCAACCAGTCATCGCAAGACACGAGGTTTTTAAGCTAAGAATAGGTGCCTACGCTTCTCCATTCCGGGTAGCGGCATCGTAACAATAGTGGGAGACCAGATAACTCCCCAGACTCCACTTTTTTCGGGTCCTGCTGGCTGCTAGCCAGCTAGTTGACTCTGGAAGCCTTTTTACTCCTCGCAGAATTCGTGCAGCCTCTGCCTCCTTCCTTCACGGTTGGCAACAACCCGGCCGTCCTTTGGGCAGCTGGCGGGTTGGGCTCTCCATGCTGCAGTAGGACGGGAAGGAGGGGCAGGGGGCAGCTGTATTTTTGGCTAAGCGGAAAACTGCCGTCCTTGTTGAATGGTCTTTCTCTGGATGCGTGTTGATCAGCATCAGCAGCAGCAGCAGCAGCAGGAGCAGAATCAGCATCAGTAGCCAGCGTAACTGCGTCACTCGGCCTCCGCGAAAGGGCAGTAGCAGCCACAGACAGGCACCGCAAAGACGGCGAGAAGGAGATCATGCCGTCCAGCTCAACATGAAGACACGAGGCTGCGCAGACCCTGCAGGGCGTGCCAGAAGAGGCCCTTGCCTGTGGGTAAACGTGGGGAACCTGCTGTTGCATGCACTGGATGCGGCTGTTGTGCTGTTGCTGCTCGCCGCTGTGTTCATCGCGCCCTTCCCCGCCGGCGAAAAAGCAGCGGAAGAGTTGGGGTGTCTGTACAGCTGCCTCGCCCCCCCTCCTTCTTCAGCCCTGCAGCAACGGCAGCAACAGCATCACCATCATCAGCAACCGCAGCAGCAGCATCCTTTCACGGAAGAGGAGGTCCACAGGGAAATTCGCAGTCCACCGCATGATGAGGAGGCAGCGGCAAAGAGGGGCGGCAGCCTCTGCGCTCCTCGAAGGTGCACGAGCAGCCGCGTGCCTGCAGCCGCAGCAGCAGTTGCCGCTGTTCGGCTGCTGCAGAGCAGCAGCGGCGCTGCAGCAGCGGCAGCAGTCCACAGTCACCGCATAGCTGGGGCTATTCGAGAAGCGGCTGGAGCGGTAGGAGTGGCGGCAGGGGGGGTGGCTAGCAGAGCCAAGGCGGCAGCCAGCGTGTTCGTAGAGAAGGCTCTAGTGCAGCACTTGCGCATGCAGCCTCGGGGGCAGCCAAAGCTGATGCCAGGGGGCCCGATACTGCTGCCGTCTCTCCCTCCCTTTCTCCTGCCTTCCCCCCACAGCCGGCTGCAGGGGTTGCTGGATCTCCTGCCTGGGTTGCTGTTGAGTGTCTCCTTTGCTCCACCAGGCCCTCGCCCTCGCAGCAGCACCAGGACTAACAGGGCAGTCAATTTTGTATCTGAGGTTCCGGAAGGGCTTAGCTACCTGCTGCTAGTCCGCTGCCTTCTGCTGCTTATTTTTGCCGTCGCGTATCTGGCCTTGCGGCGCAGCTGCGCTGCAACTGCAGCAGCCGCTGCAGAGGCGCAAGAAGCGATGGCAGCGGCAGCAGCTGCTGGACGGCAAGAGTCTTGTGGGGAGGGCGAACGCAGGGGCCTGCGCCGGCGCAGCAGAGCTGTGAGAAGCTCGGAGAGCAGTCCAAGCGACGACAGCAGCACAAGCGATTGCAGCAGCCACAGCGCCCGCAACAAGAGCGCCGACAACAGCAGCAACAGCATGTGCGTCCTCTTAGGCAAGCAGCTCTGGGGAGCTGAGCGACGAAGACAGATGGGCCGCATTGCCGCAGCGAGGGCTTGGCGGCTCTCTCTCTTTTCCTGTCTCTTTCGCTTTGGCTTCGCTGCCGCTGCCCTGAGTGTTGCGCCTCTCGTGTTGGAAGCGTCTGCCTCTCCCTCCGCTACTGCTACTGCCGCCGCACTGGCTGTTGTTTGTTGCCTCCACGCCTCAGCGCTCCGCTGCGAATACAAAAGGCGAACTGCGGCTGCCCGCCAGCTGAACAGCAGCAGCAACAACAACACCCCCAGCAGCTCCAAGCGCTGCTGCGCTGAGGCCAGCAGCAAGGAGCCTGGATGCAGCAGCAGCAGCAATGGCACCAGCAACCCCAGCAAGCCCGCTGTATCGAAGGAAGACGCGCATCAAGACGCCTTCCCTGCCTCCGCGACTGTCTCCAATAGCGAGTGCAGCCATAGGAAGAGAACCCCACAGAGCAGTCAGAGGTGCTCGTCCTTGTTTCGGATGCAACAAGGGGACTGCAAAGGCAGCTCGATCTGCTGCCGCTGTGTCTCTACAGTTTCAGGCCCTGCCGACGCCCTCCCCGGCGCTGATGCCAGTGGAAACTCGGATGCTGTACCTCAGCAGTCTAAGAAGCCTAGCTGCAGCAGCAGCAACGGCGTTGTCACTGCTGCTTCTGCCGCTTCCTCTTCTTCCCCGTCCTCGTACCGCCTCCGGGCTGTCGCATGCGTTTTTATAGGGGCAGTGGCAGCTGCTGCTTTTGAGCCGTCCCTCGTGGGTGCCCTGATGCCGGTGCTGCTGGCTCTGACAGGGGGGCTTTGCGCCTATGAAGGCCAGGAAAAGGGCGCTGTTTGTGCATCACATTTGCACGACGGCTGCAATAGCAGCGGCGGCAGCATCAGCAGCAAGGGGGTCAAGTATTTGCGCTTGCTGTTGCTCCCCCTTCTCGTGTTGCTTTTAGCCGCAGCTCTCGGCTTCGTAGTGGGTGCGGCAATCGCTGCAGCTGGAGAGATCGCGGCCTTTGGCGAACCCCTGATCTTGCAGCAGCAACATCGGCATGTTTTCACCGTTTTAGTGCAGCGCTTGCGTCATGCAAAGGGGGTGTTGCTGCTGAGGTTGGGGAGGCCGCTAGAGCTTGTGCGGCGCTTGCTGCTGCAGGAGCAGGTCTCTTCGACTTTGGGCTGGAGAGCGGCAGACAGCTCGACAGGCTCCACAGTTCTCGCTGGATCGGGAACTCGCGGCAGCAGCAACATTGCGTACAGCCGTCACAAAGCGATGCAGGTGCTGTTGTGGCAGCAAGGGGGCACCGAAGGGGGGCTGAAAGGGGCGGGCCCTTTAAGCCTACAGCAGCTCTTGGCACTGTCCCCTGGCGGCGAGCTGGCATCTTCGTTCGGAATTTTGCTGCTCTTGCCGTTGCTTCTATTCTCGCTGCGGCTGTTGGCGAAGTGCGTTGAGGTGTTGTGGCTGAGAGGCCCTTTCCTGCGGGCAGCCAGTCGCAGGGGGCCGCTTGGCAGCGGCTGCAGGAAGTGCAGCCTTTCCTCGAAGCAGGCAGCGCAAGAATGCGACGCCTTAAACGCAAGCAGCAAAGATAGAAGCGGCAGCAAATGCACTGGCCGTGAACTTTGCAAGTCGGAGGGGCGCCTGTCAGAAACTGGTTTGCTGCTCATCGAGGAATCTCACGGGAAATCTCATGGGAAATCTCATGGGGATTCTTCGAGAGGCTCTACTGATGCTTCTAGCACATGCACCCGCGGCGAAAGCAGCGCTTGCACCACCCATGCCAGAAGCTGCAGCGGCACCAAGTGCGAACGCGAATGCATCACACCTAGCCTTATCCCATGGTTTCTATGTGGAGATTTGGCTATTCCTTGGCTCGGCAGTGCTGTCCTTCTGCTGCTGACACGGCCACACCCAGCAGACACGGAGGGCGAGCGGCAGCAAGCCGGTGATCTGGTGCCGCTGCTGCTGCCGTTTTGTGCAGTGGTGGCAGTCTGTGGGGCCGCAGCAGGAGCTGCCTTGCTGCAGCAAATCCTTTTAACGGTTGAGCCAGGCTCCTGTGCTTCTCGCATTACTCGCGAATATGATTCTTCTCCGTCTTCCGCGGATACGCCTGCTGAAAGTTCTTGTTTGGGTCCATCTGCAGCAGGGTCACACGCTGCAGCCATGGAGGCTGTGTCTCCCGCGCTGCGTGACGTGCTTATGCTGCAGGAGCAGAGGCATCTATCCACCAGCAGCACACCCACCATTGCAAGCAGCGGCAGTTGGCACGAGTCGGCCGGTCCCCTGATGCTGATGCACGCAGTGTCTCTACGGTTGCCGTCTCGCGCTGCCGCTGCAGCACTCCAGCTGCGTAGGGCCTCTTTCGCATGCATTGAGGCAACCCTGAGGAAAAGCCCCACCCTGCGCCGCATCCGCCGATTGGCTGCGCGGCAGAAAGAGCTAGCACAGCGGCTGCTGACCCCCCAGGCAGCTGCCGCTGCTGTGCTCGGCGTCTTGCTGCTGTTGCTCTTTGTTTCTGCCGCTGTAACGTCGCTAGTCCGCCTTGCCGCTGTGGCATACCTATCTCCTGGAGGGCACGCCCTGCACGCACTCGAGAGGATGCTGCTGCACAAGGCATACCTGCAAGCGCCTGGATGTGACGTAAGCGCAGAAGCAACGCACAAGGTGGAAGCCCTAAGGGCTGCAGCTGCTCCTGCTGGTACGTGGGGGGCAGCAGCAGTGCAGACCCTCACCGTTCCCTCAGTTTTCCACCAGCTCTACGACGCCACGCTGTATCCGGATACCGGGGAGGCCGTGCCAACAGCAGGAGCTGTGATTTATAGCCGTTGGATTGCAGCAGCCGCTGCTGCGCCTCACTCCGCAGCGGCAATAGCAAGGGCAAGCCGTGCCGCTGCTGCGCCTCTAGGGACCCTGGAGAACCTTTTGCAGCCGCTGCACCCCTTCCTTGCAGTAGCACAGCGACACCTTTCCCCGAAACACCACGAAGCTCTCAACGCAGCTGCATGCACCCGCGAGGTGCTCGGCACCCACTCTCACTACTTCCAGACGCCCGGGTCGGTGCAGCAGCAGCAGCAACAACAACAACCGCGCGAAGCCGCGCCGTGCAGCATTTATGTTGCTGCGGATGTCGCGTCTCTGGGAGCTTCGCCGTTCGCTGCGCCTCCCCCATCAACGTGTGCCGTTCACTGGGGTTCATCAGAGGACTTTTTACAAGCTTTCCAGTCGCGGAATTTCACGTTCCTCCTTACAGCCACCCCGCCGGATGAGCTTTCCAGTGCACTCGGCGTCAGTAAACGCAGTGAGCGCAGCGCCAAAGGGCATTATTGCTTGCTTTTCGCTGTGGCAGGGTTGGCAGAAGTGCGGTTTGACGCGTCGCCGCTGCTAAGACTGCTAGGCCTTCCAGCTGCTCCTTGGCTCTTCTCCCCCCAGGGTCCCCGGCAAGCGCAGCAGCAGCAGCGGTGGCGTCAGCTGCGCCTGAGAGAAAGAGACTCTCAGAAGGCGACGTTCCTTTTGTCTGTGTCTCCCTCGGCCTTCGTCTACTATAAGGCGGGCCCAAAGCCCCCACGGAGGCACTTTAGGGGGGGCGCTATGCCACATCACCATTCGCAGCCGTGAGAGCAGCAGCCAGGCGCACACGCCAGCAACTGCAACTGGATGCAGTTACCAGCAGCACATGGAACGTGGAAGGCATTCTTTCCTGCGGCAAAGTTCGCGACGGGAAGGCGCATAGCTGCAACAGCAATTGGTTTCAGGCTACCTGATAGTGGGAGCGCGCGAGGGCAGCAGGCCTGCGCGGGGATGCGGAGCACAGCACAGGACTGAGTAGGGAGGGGAGTAGAACCGAAGGCCATGGCTGCTAGCCAGCGCCTGCTTCTTCATGGCTCCTGTTTACCAAATTGCAGTGGAGGGGTGCGCTTTTGCAAGTTCTTTTTTGTCAGTATCAATTGGCCTCTACCCTGAATGGCCAGAAGTTATGCGCGAAAGGCACTGTCAGCCATCAGGGAATTACTTCTATGTCCCCGCGTGCGCCGCGCGGCTTTTCGCTCCCACGCCCCGCCCGCTGTGTAGGAGGGAGCAGTGTGTTGTTTTACAAATGGCAGTTCCTAGCCTTCAGAAAGCTCGTTTGGTTCTGCAGAATATACTGCGTGGATTTAGTTTTGCCTCTCTGTGGTTCCTCACTCACGCCGCAGGGTAGCACTAACGAGACTAATGTGCAGCGACACAGGAACAAGCACAATGCAGTGCGGGGAGCGTAGGTTCTGCTGGGTGCCTATTGACTGCGTCTGTGGGGCGTGCAATGAACACCCTTCGTGGCCAGAACAACGTCCCCCCCGTCTAGCGGCAGGCTGGAAACTTTGATAGAAGTACGTACACGCGCTGGCACGTACACGATTCAGATGTTCTCTAGGGAATAACCTCTCTCGACCCGCTTCCATGGCGCACAACAGCGGGAACGGCTGCAGAGAATCACTTGGAAACTCGGGAAAAGCGCCATTGCTGAGAGTATTACCCCCAAATTTCATCGCTACAACAGGCAGGCAATCCCTACAGCCTCTCCGGCAGTGCAACAGGAGGGCCATATGAAGTCCTCGCGAGTCCATGCACCTAAGGGATATGCAAATATATAGGCAACAAAACAAAGTAATAAATTAGTTTGATTTTGAGTTGATCTCAGGGAATGTTTCCTTGTGGATTGACCGCATCTACGGATCGCTAAACGTCCAATGGTCTTGTGGGCAGCATAGGCTTTTCTAGCACGAGAGTCCACCCTCTCTCCTCTCCCCACTATAACTAGTGTGACTGGTCCAGTTTTTCGTTTTCTCTCCTTAGGCGTGACGAATAATTGCCAGGAGAAGTAGAACAAAGCTGCAGATACGGAATGTGGAGCTGTCTCGAGGCATGGCTGCCTTTCCAAATGATTCGGCCGAGTAGCTAGCGGCTTGTGAGGACGGGCCCCCTTCCCACCATTCTAAATGGCCATTTGGCCTTTTGTTATGCACAGTAAATAATTCGTTAGACATATGCCCTTTCAGCTTCTTTATTCCCAAGAAGCTCAGCGGATTCCGACGCAGGACGTCTCCGCCTACGGAAGACCACGAAGGCCATAGAAGGCCTCTGAAAGCGAGCCGCAGACACAACGCGAAGCATTTAAGAGGCGCGGAGTGCACAGTACGTGTCATGAGTTTCTTGTTAGCTCGCGTCAAGACGCAGTCCCTTGGCCAGTGCAATTGCAACAGGGGCAGCACCAGCATTGTACGCCGCGGAACCTACGGCGCTCAGGAATCTCTCAAACAAGCACGGCACAAGCAGCTGTACATGCTTCGCCGTCTCCAGCTTTTGAGTCCATATTCAGATAGAGAAGGCACAGCCCGGTATTGGGGCCCTTATGAACCCAAGAAACTGCAGAATACGTCCTGCATACACCTGAGGGCGTTGCTACTGGCTGCCTGTTTGAACACCTGAGCACGCAACACGATTCTTCTGCTGCCGCACTAAACCCCCAGAAATGACAGATCAAAACGTCGCAGCAGGACAGGGAGTAACCCAAAGCGGCGAACACGGTCTACAGCAGACGACCATGGAATCCTCAGAGCCGCCTGAGCAGCAGCAGCAACAGCAACAACAGCCAGCGCAGCAAGCTGCTCAACAGCAACAGCCACAAGCTGAACAGCAACAACCAGATAAAGTTAATCAACAACAGCAACAACAACAACAGCCAACTGAACAGCAGCAGCAACAACAACAGCAAGCTGAGCAGCAACAGCAGCAGCAAGCTGCCCAGCAGCATCAACAGCAGCAGGCTGCACAGCAGCAACAGCAGCAGCAGGCTGCACAGCAGCAACAGCAACAGCAGGCTGCACAGCAGCAACAGCAGCAGCAGGCTACACAGCAGCAACAGCAGCAGCAGGCTGCACAGCAGCAACAGCCAGCTGAACAGCAGCAGCAGGCTACACAGCAGCAACAGCAGCAGCAGGCTGCACAGCAGCAACAGCAGCAGCAGGCTGCACAGCAGCAACAGCAGCAACAGTTGCAGCAGGCTGCACAGCAGCAACAGCAGCAACAGGCTGGACAGCAGCAACAGCAGCAGCAGGCTGCACAGCAGCAACAGCAGCAACAGCAGCAGCAGGCTACACAGCAGCAACAGCAGCAACAGCAGCAACAGCAGCAGCAGGCTACACAGCAGCAACAGCAGCAACAGCAGCAACAGCAGCAGCAGGCTACACAGCAGCAACAGCAGCAGCAGGCTACACAGCAGCAACAGCAACAGCCAGGTGAACTGCAGCAACAGCAGCAGCAGGCTACACAGCAGCAACAGCAGCAGCAGGCTGCACAGCAGCAACAGCAGCCGCCAGCTACACAGCAGCAACAGCAGCAACAGCCAGCTGAACAGCAGCAGCAGGCTGCACAGCAGCAACAGCAGCAGCAGGCTGCACAGCAGCAACAGCAGCAACAGCCAGCTGAACAGCAGCAACAGCCCACTGAACAACAGCAACAGCAGCAGCAACAACAACAGCAGCAGCAACAACAACAGCAGCAGCAACAGCAACAGCAGCAACAACAACAGCAGCAACAACAACAGCAGCAACAGCAACAGCAGCCCGCTGACCAGCAGCAACAACAACAGCAGCAGCAACAACAGCAGCAGCAACAACAGCAGCAGCAACAACAACAGCAGCAGCAGCAGCAACAGCAGCCCACTGACCAGCAGCAACAACAGCAGCAGCAGCAAGAACAGCACGCTGAAGAGGGGCAGCAAGCCTCGTCACCTGGGCAGTTGCAGAAGCCATCTTCAGAGCAACAAGAGCAGCAGCAAGGTGGTGAATGTGGGCTAGGGCAACAAGATCAGGAAGCACTGGAGGAGAAAGGAACAGGCAACCAGGAGCAGTTGCTTGGAGAAAAGGTCGGGGCTGATGCATTGCAACGTGAGACACAACAGCAGCTTTCAGAAGGGTCAAAGGCAGACGGCCAGCAGAGTGCAGTGCAGCAGCCAGTGCTTGAGGAGATGCAACAACAAAAAGACTTGCAGCAGCCTGAGAAGCAAGTGCTAAATGTAGGAGCCGGAGAGCAGCCACCAGAGGGGCAGCAAGAACAACTGCAACGTTGTCAGGAACTGCCTCCGCTAGTCGCGCAGGAGCAACAGCCCTGTGAACAGGCTCAACTACAAGCGCAGGTGGAGGGGGGAACGGGGAAAGCCTCGGAAGCTGCAACGGACCAGGCTGCGCAGGTGCCTCAGCCTTCTCAACTAGAAAAGCCACAAGAGCAGCAGGCTGCCCTCCAGTCAGCGACGCCCACTGGGGAGGTGTTGCAGCAGCGGAATCAGCCAGAGCTTACAAAGGGTCAGCAAGAAGCTCTCCAGAAGCAGCAGCAACAGCAGCAACATGCTCAACAACACCACCTCCTGCGTTTATTGGGCAGCATTGAGGCTCCGTCTTCTGCGTCCTCATGGGTTATTGAGGCTCTTGCGGACGTGGCGGCACTGCAGGAGCAGGGCCTTCTTCAGCTGACAGGGCATTTGCCTAAATGCAGTTGCTGCAATGTGCAAACATCTGCAGACGCTGCACAGCCAACTTTAGCAGCAGCCTCAGAGCCGAAAAGTGTAGCTGGTGCTCCCGCAGCATCCGCTCGAGCCCAAGAAACAGCGAGTGGAAAGGCGGATGGGAGTATGCTCGATACTGACCTCGAGAAGCTCCCCGTGACGGGCCTTTTGCAGTCTATTGCTGCTGCGGAGGAAGCCTTGGAGGAGCAGCAGGAGAACCAGAAGCAAGCGAAGGCGCTGCATCAGCTCCTCGCAAAACGGCCGGTGCAACAGCCCGAAAAAACGCTGCCTGAGGCCTCGCAAGAACTGATTAAGGCGAGAAGGGTCTATATGCGGACTGTGCTGGTATGGCTTTTGCAGTTACAGCAGCTGCAGCGGCGGCAGCTACACGCGCACCACAGCAGCGACAAAGGGGACATGTGGCTGCAGCTCGAGCTGCCACTGCGAGCTGTTAGCAGCGCGGAAAGACACCAGCGCCGATGTGCATTGTCCTTCCTCCGCAAACAGCAACAACAGGCGCTAGAGATACAAGCGCAGCGTCTGGCTGCCTATGAGGATGAGCAGCAACGGCATTCAGAGCAAAATCAGAAGGTGCAAGCGGAGCAACAAAAGGATTCAGCGCCCAGTGATACGCGTCTCCGTGCTGCAGCGTCTGCCGTAGATGCGTTTGCAAGGGGGCGAGCTTCTTCTGTAACCGCTCTACATGCGTCTAAATCAGCACCGCCTGATCAACAGGATGCCAGCCAGCCATCCGCGGTCCCTATTAAGAAGCCATCCTTTTTGGAGGGCCTCAGGCACAGAGCAGGCAGTGGCAGAAGCAGTAGCCTGATGAAGTCGGGGAGTAGTGCAGCCGCTGACGGCGCTCAAAAGGCATTCGAGGGAGCCAAGCGGCTCCTTTACAAAGCGGGGAATGTCCTGACTCGTCCGGCTTCATCTCTGGCTGGTGCAGTGTTTGCTACGAAAGGCGAGTCAGGAAATGGCTCTCGCCATATGCAGCAGTCCTCGCAGAGTTTGCTACCTCCGGGTGCCTCCATCATCAACAGCGCCCCTGAGGTAACGGCAGTGGGAGCCGTGACAGAATCTTCAGAAGGCGTGCAAGTGCCACCCGAGTTGCCGCTTACACTCTCTAGCTCGGAGGAGTCTACAAGGTGTGCGCGAAAGGAAATGGACACGAATGGCTGCCAGCAGCTACTGAGCTGCTTTGTCAAACTCCTTCAGCTGCATTCCAATAGTACTCTGCGGGGCCTAGACGCAGCAGGAGATATCCGTACGGAAGCGGCCTGGGAGGCATGCTGCTCACTTGCCGCAGGTAGAATCCGAGACATCAGTGCCGCGCTGCCTCAGGGGCCGGAGTCTCAACTGCCGCAGTCGCAGCAGCAGCATAAGCCAGGATCAGGACAAGTTAGTAATGGCGCTTCCGGACCATCTGCACCCCAAGTTTTTATTCTCGATGAAGCCCCCACGAATCATGGGAAGCGAAAGGAGGAACTCAGTGCCGCTCTCCAACTGCTGGAAGTCAGGCGTTGTTTGCTCTTGCTGCGGCAGCGCCCAGAGCATGTTGCGGTGCCGCTGCTTCCCCTTAGTGCAGATGAGTCCGCTAGTGAGGGTGAAAGCGAGACGGCTTGCCGCTCAGCAGCGGATAGTCTCACATCGTCCCCTCTGCTAGCCAATAGAGCACGTGACCGGGCGGAAGCCGCAGTAGCAGCAACAGCAGCTGCAGCAGCTGCAAAGACACAGCCCAAGGAAGCAGAGGCCTTGCTGCTAGCGGCGCTTGCGCTAATCGAAGTGCTTCTGAGAGGACAGAAATCCTTGCGATTCCTGAGTCTTGGTGCCCCCGTCCTAGAGCTGATAGCCCAGGCCCCAGATTTCCTCCTTACGGACTGGCACAGTCGCAAGGTTGCGAAGGTGCAAAGGCGTCTGCTGCGCCTTATTGCAGGCTCCTGGGGCGCTTTGGAGCACAACATGCCCCGCCGGCATATTGAGGACAAGGACTTTGCAAGTGAAGACAAGCAGCACGTGTACCCTCTGCTGCACCTGCAGTGCCTCGAGGTTTTGGTGCTGAATAAACCCAAAAAAGGCTCTGCCTTATCCCGCATGCTGACAGTTTATGCTAGTGACAATTACAGCAGTTGCAACACGTGTAGCAGCAGAACGTCTTTGAGCAGCATGCCTTCTGTTCTGGACAGTGGTGTTCCCTCCGCAGACCAGGATCTGCCCGCATGGTCGCCAATAGCAGCAGCAGTAAGCAGCTGTGGAAGCGTTACGGCAATCAACGCAGACGAAGGGCCTCACCAACTGCCACAAGTTGGTGAGGCGGCTGGGTGGATGTGGCACTACAAAGTAGCCAAAGGGCAGTCATCAGGAATGGGATCGGGCGTTTTTCCTCTTGTCAGTCCGCAGATGCCTAAATATCCAGGCGCAGATGGAGTTGCATATGGCGAAGGAACGCAGCTGCCTCTGCAGCAAAGACAACTATCATCGTCTTCCGCCGCTGCTATGGAGCCACCTGGGACAGGAATCGATGGCGGCGCGCTGTGCTGCTTTGGTGCCGCTGTTGATGTGCGCCCCTCCATCCTTGCCGCTTTCCTCTGCCAGCCTGATGAACTTCAGCAGCTACTAAGGCTTATCGGAAGCCTTTCAGTCCAACGTACGTCTAACGAGAACACAACGCACCAGAAGGAGGATCAACCGAATGGAAGAATTCTGCGTTCTGTGTACATATGCAACACTATTGCTGGACATCTTCACGGGTACCATCACATGGGACATGCAGCCGCAGATTTCGCCCTCGAGGAGGCGAAGAAGCACAACCTGAGGCCGACAGTAGCTGAAGCAGCGGTAGCTGCGAAGCCAGCTGCAAGAACACAGACATCCGGAGAGAATTTTCCTGTAGACGATGGCGAAAAGGGGGAAGAGGCACCCCAGAAAGCTACTGCCGCGTATATTTCGTTGTCAAGCCGCAGATGTAGAGGCCCTTTACTGGAGAGCCAGGCGCAGGTACTCCCAAATATCACCCGCCTACACTTGAAGCGCTGCAGCTTGCTGCTGTCGCTGCTTATCTGCCCGTCTCTGCAGCAGTTACTGCTACAACGTACTACCGTCCATGTCAATGCCCTGTTGCTGGCTCTGGAGTGTTGTAGTGGCACCCTCCGCCAGCTCTTTGTACACTGTATCAAGGGCGAAGCAACGCCACCCATGAAGCCAGATTCAGAGTCAATGCAGCAAGCAGAGGCGAATTTTCCTCCACAGCTCCCACCGGCCCAGCTACCGAATGATGCTACAGAGCAGCCTAAGGAGGGAGACTGTGGCGACCTTAATGTGCCTGCACCCGCTGTGACAACAGCAGAATCAGCATCTGCGGCGGCTTCTGGTGAACTAAAAGACCGTAGGCCCCGGCTAGTGCTGCCGAAGCTGGAGCATTACGGCGGTACCGCCTTCTTGTTCAGCCAGGCGGCTGGGGGCTTCTTTTGCCCATCCTTGAAAAGACTATGTCTTACTGATGCGCAGCATTGGCTGGGGACTTGCCAGGAGGAGCGTCAGCAGCAAAAAAATGCAGTAGGGCAAGCTGCGGCAGAAGATGGACGACAAAATAGAAGAACGATAAGTGCTTTTCTGCAGCAATTCTTGGAAACGCACATGTCTTTTCTGGAAGTTATTGGAGTGGATTATGCATTCCCTATTCTCTTCTCGTCTGGTGCTGCAACTCCTGACGCGCAAAACCACAAGCTGCAGCACATGGGCATCGGACGACTTCCTCGTACTCATGGAATACAAGAGGAGGAGGAGGCGAACCAGCAGTCCGGGCTCTCACCCCAGACCTCACTAGAGGGTGCATCACCGATGGCCTGTAGGCGCAGCCAAAGCCACAGTAGCAGCGACAGCGGCGACAGCTCAAGTGAGAAGGAGGAGGAGGCCGAAAGTTCAGAGCTTCCTTCAGGCCCTGTCTCGCGCAGCCTTCCGTTTGTTGTCTCCGATCTGGGACTAGCGGCACAAATGCCCTCTCTGATCTCTGTGGCTGTTTCCGGGGCTGTTACTGTAGATGCCCTGATGCGCCTTACTGGGGAACCCCAAGCTGCGGCCGGTACAGCTTGTGTTTCCCCACCGCTGAGGTTTCTTTTCCTGGGTGCGATTGTGTCTGCCTCCGAGGAGCCATCTGTTGGGGTCTCCCCGTGTAGCACCAGACCAACAGCAGCTGCTGCTGCGGAAGCTGCCGGTGTCAGCTCCCGCACGGTAGATCAGTTGCTGCAGCGATGCCCCTCCTTACAGGTGTTTGCACTACACCACCTTCCAGCTGGAGTTCATCTGCAGGTGCTGGAGGCCCGTCTGAAGCGCTTGGGCTTCTATAGGGTCAGCCGCCGTTTGGTCACCGCTTTACGCCTTTACGAATTGGGAGTTTACGCTCACAAGGCCAAGGGAGACTCACATTGTTCTCTAAACTCGACTCCTCATCCCCAGACATTCATAGAGACACCGCAGTCGTCGGAAGGAGGGGAAGGTGGATGGGAATACACCTCGGGCCCTTTTTCAAAGGAGAAGCCGTTACAGAATGAAAGTACAGCAGCACCAGTCAGTGTACCAGCAGCAGCCGATGCAGTAGTGGGAAGCTCCTTGGAAGATGCAGCAAGTACACGGGCTGACAAGCAGACAGGCAGCATGGAGGTATCTGCAGCAGGTGGTGGCGGTGGCGTTGCAGTCAATACGCTTCGCGGTACCAACAACGACAGCCTTGCCGCAGGTGGCAGTGCTGGTACTGAACTTTCTTCTGAAGAAACTGGCAGTTGTCTTCCGGAGTTTCTCGCCCTTTGTGGTGCTGCTGCTTGTCTTGCGAGCCCAGAAATTGCGGAGCTAAAACAGCCGCACTATGTTGCTGCTCGCGAGCAGCTTCAGCACGAAACCATTGCTGCGGGTAGACGATGCTGCGAGGGTGAGGAACCTTATGCGCAGCATGGCAAGCCCAATTCTGAAAGGCTGGCTGCGGCCGTGTCCTGGCAACAGCAGCAGCGGAATGTTCCAGATGTATATGCCGCTCTCAGGATACTGAGCAAGTGGAGATATGTCTTTGTGAAGGCCTCTGATGGCATCAATGCGATTGGCAGTATCATGTAGGGTAACTAGAAGCTACGCGCCCCCACTTATATCGCATCTTCGTTTGAATTGTCCAGACTATGTGAATCCGTAACCACACTCATTTAGACACCAAAGTTTGGAGAGGCCCTTTCAGGCAGGGGACTGTGGACGTTGCATCTTCTATGAAACGCTCTGCTAAATAGCTGCAAATAGGCTCTTTGATAACTCTCACTTGCTTTTTTATGCTTATGTTCCCTCCTTTACCTCATGACGAGCATTGGCCTTTACTTTTCTTCCGGAGTACGGAGGCAACTGCCATTTCCCCACGGGCCGCCTTTAATGAGGGCGGAGAGCGTCCCAGTGGATTGTACCGGCGAAATTCCTTTATACAGGGAAAGTTGGTGGCTGATTCGTAGTGTGCACCACTACGGAGGAGAGACAGCTGATGGAGATTCACGAAATCAGCGGCTCGCTGTTGTGCAGCCCATTTAAAATACATAGCAACTTCACTGTTTCAACCAAGCGGGGGACATGCGCCCCAAGAAACCTTCTGTACTGCCAGGTAGTTCGAAGCGTGAATGTGCTTCATGAAATATTCTGAACGATTGCCAAGCTCACTGGTACTACAGGAAGTGCAATCCGCTCTAATAGTGCAGCACCTACAAGCGATGTGATAAAGAGGATACTAGGTAAACGAAGGGGTGTTAAGTAAATAGACGGCAAGAGTGGTGCCAAACAGAGGCCTCATATTGGCGGGGAAACGCAGCGGGTCGAACCTACTGGACTCGCACGAGGGGCTCTCCCCATTCGTAATGCGTCAACTGACTGGATCCCCAAACTCTGGCAATGCGATTTATTTTCGGTAGAGCTGGGACTAATGACAGCCGCACTTGCCCCCCCGTCCATGCACTATTTCACTGACAAAAATTCAAGTGACCGAAAGATGCATACGCTCGTCTCTCTCCCTCGAGTACATATAGACTTTTTCACTAGCAAAGGCTGTGTGCGCGTCCACCCTGCAACCTCTGAAGCAAGATCATGAGCAGGGGAGTTACGATGCCCACAACTGCTCAGCGCATCGAATGCGAATAATAAGATCATCACGACTTCGCATCAGTTTTGCATTCATTTTGGCTAACCTCAGCTTCACTTGCGTAGGTACAGAGCACCCCTGCAGAAATCTGCCACAGTACTTCTATGTGCCTACACTATTAGATAAATACATACAATAATCTGGATCCAAGGACGCTGTAATGGTTCTCAATGTTGCACTGGCAACTACAGCTTGAACGTGCCTTTTGATGCAACAGCTAAGCCACAGAAAACTTCCGCCTTCCCAGTATTTACGGCCTCTAAACGCGCCCTGAAGATCATTGAACACCAACCCATGGCTTATAAATGTAATCGGAAGGCCCCAAGTCGAAAGTGTTTGTTATCCTGAATTGGCCCTAGCAACATTGGAACCACTGTTGACCCTTTCCAAGTAATGCGACCATCTACAGCACCTATCTGCGAGAGGAGCTTTACTCTGCATTACTCTTGACGTTGAATATAAGAGTGCTTGTCCTTTGTGTGGCTGGTATGATTTCGGCCTGCTCATGCCTCAGGGTGACGTGCAGGAGAGTGTACCTGGCAGAAATATATGTTGATTCATAATTATTCACCCTCCTCAGTGCGGGAGTGCAGGTCTTCTCTCTGTAAATTCTAACCCTCCTTGCAATGCACTCAAATATGAGGAGTAAGTATTCATACTCATAAAAGCGCCTTATGAAAATCTTGCCCACTCTCCTTGCCTGTGTAGTATCTGTTCCCCCAGCTCTATCCTAGGCTCCTGCATTATTGCATAAAAGCGCCGGTGTGAAAAATCAGGTATTGGTGAAGCTCCAGACAGGCCGTTGAAATCCAGTTGACATGCTAGCTTGCCAGAACAAGGGCATCACGAAAGCAAATGGAAAAAAGCCACCCGGGACCATGCGACTAGGTTTGCTCTTTGGTTCTGTATACTTTGCCCGTACCATCCGCGACCCAATGTTTTCCCCACTCGTCTCCCAAGACAACTTTCCTGAGATTTGTCTCCCTCTCATTCTGTGGCTGAGCCTTGTTGACAGCTGCTTCTCGTTCCCTTAGGGAACGTCTGCCAGGCACTCATAAGGCACGGGAGTTAGGGATTCACATGCTTCCAAGAAAGATAGGCAAATGACCGGACGCGCCGCAGCATCAGAACGTGCTGCGGCGCCCTTCGCGGATCGGATGCGTAGCCCTCGATGCAGCTCGGGCTCTTCTCAGTGGTAGCTTTGTGGCGAATCGTCAACAACACGGCCCTCAAGCCATTCGCTGGCTAAATTAGATTCCTTTTTGATTCTCGTGGCCACCCACGCCAAAGATTACATTCAGTAATGGAACATATCTCAATCCGCAAGGGTAGAATCCGATCACGCAGACCAAGAGAGCACATAAATTCTGTGTGGACCAGAAGTGGGGCTGTGAAGAGGCAGCGAGTGTTTGCTCCAATGAATGAACTGGAATGCGTCTACATGTTTTCGTGCGCGTGAGCCCCATTTCTCCACCTTAGAGTAAATACTTTTAAATATACATGCATGCATATTCCACACACGTACATGAGTACCGACACCTCCCAGCATAAGTTGGGGAGGGTCGGTTTTGCATCCTTATTGCAAAAGGAGGCCATGCTCCGCCTCCCCAGCTGCTATCTGTCATTTGCCTGATGATCAATCTGATGCAAAGCGGCAGCAACTGGTCTCTGATTTCTCTAACAACCTTCTTGCTGTTTTAGCCGGCATTATTCTTTTAGCATAGACACCTGGAGTAACCTGGTAACTGCCCCTGTGCAACGCGCCAGCCAGAGTCCTTGTAGAGGTAAACTCAACTTCAGGCTAGATAGAAATTCTATAGGTCATTGACTATTCTTCTAAAAATGACAACCGCGGTTTCCTGTCCGCGCCTTTCAGAGCTCAGACAGGAAAGAAGGGAAACTACTGCGCGTTGCTGCAACTCTCTAGGAACATAGCATGCAGTCTATGCGGGCACAACATTGCGTATTCTTTTGTTGAACGAGTACTACTAAAGGGTAAAGAGCATACACGTACAAGCAAGTCAATCAGTCAGCTTTTTACACGTCCTTTTCAATTATAACTCGTGGAAAATAAAGTGCGTATGTGTAGCTTAGCGGGGTACACCCGCTCCTGGACAGTGGTAGTCCTTTCCATTCAATGTTGATGGATACGGATACGCTATAGATACCACAGTGATCCTGAACTAGGCAAGCGGTATAGAGTTTGCCTCAGTGAAAGAGCACAATGAGCGGCACTTAGGAAGCCTGGATAACACAAGCGGCCATGTGCATAAGGGATCAAAATTTGGACTCTGGTGTCTGTTGTTGAAAAAAGTATATTTTGTCACCCCAGCTATGGCAGCTAGTGGCAACTGATCAGGAACAAGAGCACTACCCTACTCTCACAAGAATTTCTGCCGCATACCATCACTGTTCTGGGTAGGGGACTGCCGTTCGTTTATTCTACGCTCACGGCGTTGATGTAGCAACATACTGCGCAGTTTTAGCACCACACTACAGTTTGTGGCCTGCAGCCTTTACCCCATACGTTGATCATTCCGACCTAAGAAGCTTAGTCCTCGGGACGTACTCACCCCTGCAGAAGGGTCACCACTGCGGGGATCAGATCTCTGCGGATGTCTATCCGCACTTTCGTCCATGTGTCTGCCCTGGCCTCTTTTAAATGTTTTTACTAAATGGCGCATAACCCCCTAGCTATGTTCTACAATAGAGCCATGCGAGCCAAATGCAAAAAGCTTCTTTGGAGCACTTAGAAGGCAAAGATAGGTGTTAGGTCTGCTGGGTTAATTCGAAAGCCTTGGGATGTTTCTCCCCACAGCGTGCAGCATGCGGATGCAGAAGAGTAGTAGCAGCACAATTGGGATTGGTTGAGACATGCTGCAAGCTGCTTTGAGGCAAATTGCTGCAGACCCATCCTGCGAGTACATATAGCCCTGCGGCATTTGTGACCCCCACGATTGCTTGTAGGTCATCACAAGGCTCCCTTGGTGGCATTTTGCTCGCTAGGCACTTCCGGCAAACAGAATTGCTGAAGCTCCGCCACATTTGGTTTTGCAAAATGACCATATTGCGGCTGCCTCATTGTTGTTCAGCCTCCTCCCCACCCTGCTTCTTCGAGTTGCCTTCCTTCTTTTTTCTGAGCGCCTCCTCTCTCTGTAATTTGTGCAATAAGGGCGACTGGATTTGTTTTAGACGGCCGAAGTCGGGGGTTCCCACGAAAACACGACCCACAGAATCTCCAAAGACATTCGTCGTAATGTTTTTGCTCTTCTTCTTGGGGGGACCTTGGGGGGCATTAGAACCTTCCTCCTCGGCCGCTGCCTTTTGTTTCTCCCGCCGCTCCTCAGCCTTCGCTTTCTCGAGAGACTTTAGGGCAGCTTTCCACTTTTCAGCTGACGGCAGGCGCACACGGTCCGGTCTGTAGCGAAGCCCACAGCAGCAACAAACGGGGTATTCACGTGATACTGGAAAGAGCCGAAGAATCTCGGAAAACAGCTCCTGTATGCCCCAGGCTCAGGCCCCCGCCCCCCCAGCTTACATACACAAAGAGCTGCCAAAAAGACCGTCAAGCAGCAGCAACCCCTGGCGCCACAAATTCCCAACTAGCAGTCAGAGGAGATCCACAGGCAAAGTGCAGCGCATGCAGAAATAGCGGCAGCAGGCAGGAAAGCAGGCAGGGAGCAGAGAGACACAGGACGTCGGTTTCTTACTTCAAATCAATTTGAGGGCCAACTTCTTCCAATTTGACGGCGGGGCCGCTGCCAGCCCTATTTTCCTCCTGCGGCTTTACCAAGGCGATTCTGTAATGCCGAATACAGATAAGCACGCCCCTGTATCCCCCTCCAGCAGAGTTCGCTCCTACTGCTGCTTCCGCTGCAGGTGCACCTTCTGCTGTAGCACGCTCGCCCTCTGCGGCAGCAGCCTCAGCCCTCATGGCTGTTGCACTCGAGGCCTGCACTGCGCTCACCGCAATAAGTCTGTCAACGCCACCCAGAAAGAGTTTTTGTTGTTTCCCGTCTCGCGGGCCTCCCACCGATCTAAAAAGGTCCCCAAAGAGATTTTTTGCGTTTTTGAGCTCCTCTGAAGCTTCCCAAAGGCCCCCCTGAAGCAGCACCAGCGGCGCCGATCCAGCGGCTGGTGCCTGAACGGAGGCAAAGGCTGCAGCGGGAGTGTAATGGCTGACTGAAAACTCGTGCATGTCCAGGATCTCGTGCTCATAAACCCGGCCAAGGATGAGGCGCGCGGGACGTTTCTTGCTACTGCTCGCAAAGGCAAACAAACCGCAGTCGTTCTTCCTTGTCAAGTACTCGATAGGCTCCGCATCTTCAAATGGGTGCAGGTCCTGCTGCTTCCGCTGTGAGAGAAACACCGCATGCGGCTTCTTCAGATCTCGAAGGTCCCCCAACAAGGCTTGCAATTCGGTATTGCACCTGCCGCCACGCATCAGCAACAAGCTCTTTACTCCTGCGTATGATTCCGACTCTCTTGCAGCCAAAATTTGACGCCCCTTGCGCGTTTTGGCCTTGCGGGAAAGTGTGAGTCCAGCCGAACCTAAGGAACCCTCCCGCTTTGCGGATAGGCTGGCGCCTCCTCCCTTCTTGGACAAGGCCTTCCCTTCTCTTCTTCGCGCCTTCTTAACCGCCTTTCCCATCTTCTGAAGGGACCGTCGCGCGCACGGGGGCTGAATGGGAAACGGAGAGGCCACGTCTGGTATTATCTCTTGCTTCCCCCGCTGCAGGTCCTGCTGCAGTTGTTCTACGAGGAGAGAAAAACCCAGCCTGCAGCTAGCTAAGGACCCTCCACTGTGAATCTTAGAGAAGAATTGGAAAGGGCAGATGTCGGGGGTTTTCGATCTCGAGGCCTCAACTCTGGGCTAGAGGGCCCCCCAGCCCGGAAGGGCGTTCTGAAAGGCGAGACTCAACTGCAGCTTCAGCGTCTTTTCAGCGTTTGAACCCCGAAATATAGAATGCCATATAAAACCAGTTCCTAATGGTTCTTGCTTTTGCGTATTTCTACTAAATTTGCCTTGAAACTGCGCCAGCAGTGGCAGCAGCTCGCCCCACACTGATCATGTCACCATTATTGGGGGGCCTTGCCCGGGCTACGGGCCCTCTGAGAAGGCCCCCGGCCCCCTATTCTTTAGACAAGCTTCAGGAAGTTCCTCTTCTCCTTTTGTCTTCTTAATGCCTTTTTCTTACGAATTGGTAATTTGGCTTGCGATTGGAGAAGTAGCTGTTGCTCAGTGCAGGAGACGGCCTCACAGACACACAGGAGGGCCCTGGTTTTCTCGAGCTCGAGGGGGGGCCCACTGGCCCTCCAGCTAGCTAGGGCTTGCAGTCGTCGAAGGGCCTGCTTCTTTCTGTGGTACGATTCCTCACACACGCGTTAGCTGAGACACCTAGACACACAGAGGGCCTCCCTTGTGAATTGGAGAGGGTTGCAACAGCAACGCATGCGCACACACACAGCGCCTTGAATGCATCTGAAACTGGAGGACTAACTCAGAGGGCCCCTCAAGCTGGCATCAGGGGAGGAGAGTGATGCGGGCCAGCTCCCCATACGGATGGGAGGCGCTATTTCAGAGCTGCAGTGTCTGTGTCAACTAGTGCTCGCACCCAGGGTGCTTTAGCTAACACAGCCTGGCAAGCGACATGCAACACCCTAGGGCAGTGCACTGCAGGCTATGAGGCAGTGCGACTCGCGAGATTTCCTCCCTGCTCCTGCCACTGCTGGCGCTTCCTCCAGCTGCGACCACACACCCTGCTGACCCTTCGTGCCCCCGTAAAGCGGCTAGGCCGATGCGGAGCGTGGGTTTCATAGCAGCAGCCACCTCGACGGCGGCTCTGTTGCACGTGTCCTTGTTGCTCCTACTGCCGCTACTGACGTGTAGCAGCAGAGTACGGGGCCCTGCACTGCAGCTGCAACTCCCCTTGGCACGGAGGCTTCAGCGCACCCACTCGGGGTGTACCTATGAATGTTCACGGCCCTTGATTGCCTTTTTCTTTGGGAGCCCGCTGCGTTCGAAGGCATTTCACGCGGCGGGGTGGCGGCAGCAGCAGGTAAAGCAGCAACAGCAACGGCAACAGCTCCGGGCTCGGACCACAGTAGGAGGGTCTGGAAAAGCCCCCCTAGACAGCTGCAGCAGAAAGTCATCAATACGGAAGTCTAGCCGCGAGGGAGGCAAGAGCAGCAGAGTCTACAGCGTGGACTGGTTTGGGCTGCTGGGGCAGCCGTATAGGCCCGCAACGGAGGGTGAGCGGAAGCAGCTGCAGCAACAACAAGCAGAGGAACAGGCTGCTGATGAGGCCTTCTCTGCTGCTCTTCAAAAATGTCAGGACGAGGGCGATGGCACAACTCTGTTTGGACAGGAGCTGCCACAGCAGCACGATCAGGAACGGAATGAAGATAATGGGTCCCTACAGAACACTCTTGAAGGGCTGCTGGCATCTCTTCCCCACGGCCAGACCGAAGACGCAGCAGTAAGAAGCGTCCACGCTCGGCTTGACGCACTATTACCTTCCCAACTTGCAGTTTGTATCTCTGCGCCACTCGTGAACTCCATTAATGCTTCAAGCAAGCTCTCTGTGTGTATGCGTAGCTGGTGCCTCCTGCTTCACGTTACATTCTGCTCGTTCATCCGAGCGGCTGCTGCCAGACAAAAGAGATGGATGACGGTATTGCCTTCGCGGTGCCGTTGACGTGCAGCTTGGAGAGCTGATGTCGCTCTCCACAGGCCCTCGAGGGCACCCCTCAAGCGAACTTGGCGAACTTTCTCGGTGGCTAGACGCTGCTGCAGCACTGGAAGGCACTCCACTACACGGCTCCACGAGCATCCAGGGCGATGCAATGGCCTTATTGAAGCTTGTGAATGAGGGAGGAGGTGTGTTATCTCCAGTAGCTCGGCTACGCTTCCTGTGCTGTTTCTGCCTCTCTGCCCCATCTAGGCTCCTTGCCAATGTGCCTGTGCCCCTCTCCGTCGGACTTTCCGTCTAAAGCTGCCCTCTGCGTCTCTCTCGCTGAGTGCTGCTGAGCGGGTCTAATCTCACCTGCTGTCTGTCTCTAAAAGCGAGAGCACCTGAAGCAGGTGGTTGCGCATATCCAGCAATCTTGGGGCGCTATCCCTCCTTCGTCCTACCGCCTCGTGGTGCTTCCCCAGGGACAGAGGCACGCATTTCCTCCTCCCTGCCCCGCAGCACCGCTTCTGCAGGTGTCACGTTATATTTGCTTGTGCTGCGCTGCCTGCGAAGAGGCCTTCCGTCCGTTTTGCCGCTATCCTTGTTGCTGTAGAGTTGCTTCAGGTGCTTCGCTACCTCCAGAATCATCAGGGATCTTCTTGCGCTGCATCGCTGTCCGCTGCCTTGGCCGCTACAGCGGCCAGAAGTGGCCCCCTTAGTACTTCAGGTGGGCGAGGCTCTACACCAAACGCTCTTCCCCGTGGCAAAGGTGAACCGGCATTCCGTGGTGTGCTGCGGCTGTGCTAGTGCTAAATAGGTGGAGACCCCTTTGGATACAGTATTGCTAGGCCCCACACGTCCGTTCAAAGCGTAGAATAGACTTACGTTGCTGCCGTGTCGGTTGAGATGCAGCTCCTGCAATCGCGCGGACACCTAGTACCGGACACTCGGCGGCTGTTGCCACCTCTACACCGTCTGCTTTACAAAGGATCACACTCCACATTCGAACCGCAGCAGCAGCAGCCACAGCAGCTGCGGCAAGTGCACTGCGTAGCCTACCCTGGCGCCAAGTTCAACAAGGCGTGGATAGGGCAACGGTCAGTAAGACAAATGCCTTGTGTTTCATGTAGCCTTAGGCGTCTTGGGGTGCCCGGATCGGTGGCTGTAACACTTCCGCGTACAAAGATTTAAGACACGTTCACATATAGTACAACGCGATAGTGCGCTTTTGAACACTTCCACAAGTGCTTTTTGAAGCTTCGTGGCTTCCTGGTGTTGTTTGGCTTTCGCTGAGTCACCTGGTGTGCGACGCTGTGACGTCTCGACTTTTGATTTGCAGTGACATACCGCGCCAAGTCACCGCAGGCCTCAGTGCATGCAGCATGATGCACTTTTGCCTGGCTCACCTTCCAGGTTTTATATGCTGTTGTATGGTGAGGAACGCTGCGCTGCAGGACCAAACAGGACAGCACCCTCAGAGCACGCATCCCGAGCCAGTGGCACGCTTAGCGGAGCTTCTGCACCAACCCTCTACTTCCTCTTGGTTGCTGCTTCTGAAGCAACAGCAGCTTCAGCAGCCGCAGCTGGGGGACCCAGCTGTACTGTCAAAGCTTCTTTCTGTAGGGACTGCTGCAGCAGCCTTCCTTCTGCCGCAGACGTCTCAGTCTGGCGATGGGAGCACCGGCTTAAGGCCATCGGTCGACTGGAATGGGCAGGATGAGGAAGTATTCAGCGTCTTGTTCGGGTACAAGCTCCTGCTGAAGCAACAACTATCAGGAACCTTGGACAAAGCGATGTCCAAGGTTCCTGCTGTAAAGGAACTGCCCTCCATTGGAAGCACTCAGTGGGCTCATCCCGTAGTGCAGCAGTACGTATATCTCATGGGCCAGCAGCAGCAGGGCAAACAGCATACACAGACAGCGAGGCCAGTCAGATTCTCTGAACCCCCAACGCTGAAAGGCCTCGTACCGCTGCCACCTCCTGCTGCTTTTGCTGACCGCCTGCTACTCTTCGCGCATCTCCTTGCCTCTCCAAGTCCCGCACCGACCAGCCTTTCTGGTGGCCGCAATGACACTGTCGCGGGAGTTGCCTCTGCCCTTTGCGTAGGTCTCACCATAGTTCCAAATTTGAGCTGCGCGACCTGCTGGCGAGCTCATGCATTCCGTTGGTAACTTTAACCTTGTTGTGGCCAACGTCCAATGCTTCGCTGCCACCTGGTTGAGCAACCCCCTAATGATACTTTCTCAAGGACTGAAGCGGTTGCCGGCAGCGGCATCATTCTTTGTAGTGTGTGCCGCATGACGTTTTGCGCATTGCCTGCTCTTTCCAGATGCCGCTCGAGCTCGCAGAAAGCCGTTTACGACTTCTTCTGCGCCGAATCGTCTCTACGCTGGCCACTCGCCTATTTGCCCACATTTGCCCGTCGAGCGAAGCTTCCACCAGCGTTAAGGCTGGAGGGAAAAGCCAGCTACGGCAGATGATGCAGCAGCAGCTGCTGCGTCAGGGGGCAGCCGCTCTGCGTGAGGCCGTTGCAGCAATGGGCATCGATGGGTCCACGATGCAGGGGGCTGCTACTGAGGCTGTATTGCCGCTTCTTATGAGGCGCGTTGTCTCCTTGCAGGAGTCCAACCTCCCTCCCGTCCCTGCTGCTGTCCCCCTGGCCGTAGCGCGAGGCAGCCACGCGAGCCCTGAGGAACTTCGAGCCCACGCTTCTCGAATCCTTGAAGGTCTGAAACATGCTATTCAAACAGTGGAGGAATTTTCTGTTGTGGTGGCAGGGCGGTCTGCAGAAGCAAAAATACGCCGGCAGATGGGAGCCTTGGCCTCCAGTAGGCTTTTGCCTGAACTGTCTGTCGCGCTGCTCTCTCAGCTGGCAGCAGCTCATGCAAAGGAACCCCATTCACGCAAGTTTAATTCTCCTTCAGTGGTGGGGGAGACCCACAAATTGGTGGACGGAATTGCACCTGAGGTCTTAGAGGCAGAGGTATTCGCGATCAAAGCATTCAGCGAGATTCGGCGTATCTTTGGCTTCAGCAGAGACGCGTTCCTTGGTATTTTGCAAGTCGGCTTGTTCCGGGTCGGGGCACCCCTGCGGCGCTCTCTCGAGGTGTTCTCTACTATGCAGAACAGAGAGGCAGCGCTGTGCACTGCTGGCCAGCTCCTAGGCCTCGACCACGTGCGTCCTTTTCTTACAGTGCTGGTGCTTCCGCTGCTGCCGCAGTTCATAGTGTGCAAGGCATTATATACGTGTGGGAAGTTGTCCTTCCTTTGGCTCGGGGCAAGTATGCCTTTGCATCTCTGAGTTCTTGATAGCATTCGGTGCTGTATGTGTTTTTTATAGGCGCTAGAAAGCCTTGTTGATTTGGCCCTAACAGACCCGAGAGACTCACAAGGGGAGCCCGCGCCCAAGCAACGAAAGCAAAGGAGCTGTGAGGAAAAGCTTCACGAAGGAAACCCTGAGGGGCTCGGTTTGCCCGCCGAGGGGAGACACCTAAGTCAATTGCTACTGGCGTACTTCCGGACGCATGCACTGCTTGGTGAAAGCCCCGAAACTGCAGCAGCAGAGGCAATGCAGCAAGCAGCAACACAGACTGTGGAGGGTGGAGGGCCCTTGGGTGCGCAGTGGAGTCGCACCTCTAGCGCCACCTGCTTAGATGAACTTGTTGCCGTATCAAGAGATGCATACAGCTCAGGTAACAGCGAAGAGCCGCGCAGGCTTCCGGCGAAGGTAGCTGACTATGTGCTTAGTCTCCTCCTGCAGCGGCAGCCACAGCTTTCACAAGCCGCTTCACCTTCAGCAGCAACTGATACAGCAGCGGTGAGGTGGAGGCGGATCAACAACATTGACCTCAAGTAGGCAAATTTCTCTAGCCCAGGCACAGTGGAGGCAAGAATAGCTGCCAGAAAGACACCCCAGTTCTTATCCACTGCTCCCCTCGGTGAACACAAGCAGGACCTGAACACGCAAACTGTATCGCTTGCAAAGAAGGAGGGGTGTCGGAACTGCGCCTAGTGTGTTCCTATTGACCATATTGCGTGTAAAGACAGCAACGTGAGACCTTATCTTATTCATCATATTGTAATTCGTAGGTTGCGGTCAGTTGATGGAGTGGTGTGTAATGTGCTCTGCTGACTAGACAAGAAGATGCCATGAAGGCTGCACAGCTTTTTGATGCATTGAAAGACACCCTTGCAGGTGTACAGGCAGCCTGGAGCCCTCAGACAGCCCATCATGCCAAGAAGGCTTTAGGGGACCCGTGGAGACAGTGGATGCCTCAGCTGAGGAAGCTGGATTCCAGCGAAGGAGCGGATTGTTTCGCATTGCAAGCAAGGTGACAAGCCCCCACCCTTGCGTCGTGGGAGACTCCTAGGTGCAAGGCTACTAGTACACAGAGGTAGCTGTGAGCGCTGGCCTGGTGGGAGCTTTTCTGGTAGATTGAAGGGGCATCTGGTATTGCTGTGCAAGCAGGGAGGATGCTCTATTTCCATTGGCTTTGCGGTTCGGCATCAATGATGAATCCCTCGCTTTGGCCTCAGCTCTTAATGCTTACAAAAACGCGTTCGATAAGGAAACAGAGGCATCTCCTCCAGAGACACCAGAAGAGGCGGAAGCCCGAAGAAGACGGTTGCTGGCCTACCGCGCAGCCATGGGCCTCATCACATCGGATGTTTCTCCATTACATGCGGACGCTTACAGAGTGAACATTCCCTTCATGCACAGGCCGCATAGAGATACTGCGTATTTCCTGTCCAATAGGATCTTAGCGGACTGAAGTTATAAAGTTTCCTAATGTAAAAGCAAGGGTAACAGAGTACAGGGCCTTGCGTTTCGGCCTATGCGTGGCCTTACTCTACGCAATTAAATACTGAAGAATATTAAGCTGAGGTCTTTGGAGCCATTAAAAAGGCCTGCATTCTACTCATATCTTGCGTGCAAACTCTTTCTCCTTTCCAGGACTGGTTCGTTGCCTTGACCCGAGAGGCACTGGGGCCCCAAGGGAAATGGACTGCGGAGGCTTCGCGTGCTGTAAACGATGCTGCCGTCAAGATCGACCTCGCGAAGGCAAGTGCCAACTCATCAAATGCAAGCAAAGGCATGGGGATACCAGCAATCACCCAGCGTATGGCAGTAGGGTTTCTCATCGTCTCCGGCTGTTGTGCGCCAAGGGGTCACTGAGATGCTGTTGAGCTGCTTGTTCAGGAAGACAGAGATCAGCTCATACATGAGGCACTGGCCCTGTATGCGGTTGAGGTACTACTACCTCCTATCCTTCGTGCAGCTGGAGAGAGACGAAAGCTGCTTATGCAGGAGACTGCCCATGTGACATCGTCTCTCCCCGAAGCGCTTGCAAAGGTGGTAGGGGAAGACGCGGTCCAGGTGGAAGCCCTCGGTCCCCTTCCAGAAGACCCGCACGAGCCAAAATCAAGGCACCTGAATCGGGCCCTTACTCGACGTAGAGAAGGAATGACGGTACTACAGGAGTGGATGGTGGCCCACCCTGAGGCAGACCCATCGGCGCGAAAGACGAACGAAAAGATCAAAAGCAATCCCTTTTCTCTCATAGGAGCCTTAAAAGCTTCCAGCGGGGAAGCAGGCAGCGAGAGCGCAAATACCTCATCTGCACCCACTGCCGTGTTAAAAGCGGGCCCTTCCGATTCAGACGAGTTATCGCAGCGCTTACTTACGGCTGTAGAGAACTTGACTGCGTTTGGCCGTAAGCATGATCTCCTCCACATTCAGGTGCCTGGTAGAAGGTCATCTGTTGGCATCGCCCCCAAATTCCAACAGGAAAATGCGGGACCCCAGCACACTGAAATCACAGTTTTCTCAGCCTTGGAGGAGTTTCCACGTGCCCACGCGATCGACGCTTTTACAAAGGCTTTCAGCAGGTACGTTCGAATCGTTGCTGTCCTTTTTACTTGTATATTTTAGTATTGAACCATCTGATTGCTCTGTACCGGGTTCCATAATTGTGTTGATGTTTCGCAGGCAGGCAACCTCTCCGTTGCCGGCGTTGAGAGTGGTTCTAGAGGAGGCCTTGAGTGCGGGCCTAAGCTTGTGTACGAATACATCTGGGCCCTTCTCGCGCGGAGGTAACGGCCAAAGATGCGCAGTAGAAATAGCTGCGGCTTTATATGGACTGCAGGTTTTGGCTGCCTCAGCGGCAGCAGCGGCCACCGAAACCACAGCAGACATGGCAGTTCTCAACTTGCCCGCAATACCAGCTGAAAGCTCCTTTGCTGTTGGCCGAGCACCCAGCCAGCTACAGGAGTCCCTAGGGCTTCCAGAAGCAGCCAAAGCTGAGGGACTGCGCCTTTTGGATGTACGGCAAGGAACCTCCAGGCATTCATAGAAGGTGGGGTTATTCGGCATTATGTCACTGACTGCTTCGTACCTCGTGTTCTTTTGCGTGCGGGAATCTCAGATTGCCTGCCTTGAAGGGTCGCGAGTTGTTGCAGCAGCTCTGGCAAATACAGTTGGCCTACCTAATTGCAGCTGGCCCGTGAAGGGGGCACAAAGCGAAGGCGTAGCGGCTGTACTTGCAGCAGTTCTCCAGAGGCTGCGACGAATTGCTATCTCCCACGGTCTCACTCCGCAAGAAGTCAATGGGCCAAACGGGAGCCTAGAAAACCTTGTAAAAGATGTGAGGTCTTCTAACTTGATGTGGCAATTCAGGCTATGCATTCCAACCCATAGAATACGAGCGCGCATTCCCCTTCGTCCATGCGATCCCGGCTTCATGGTATTCACCCTAATAGAGTACGTGGGTGTGCTTCTCATCGTGCTACGGTTTCTGCTTCTTCTGTGGCACAGCTAGCGCTACAACTTCTGTTTAAGGCTACACTGCATGAGGCGCGGCGAAGGGAATCTCTAGTTCAGGAAGCTGAGAAACGCAGCGAAGCCATTCCAGTCTTCCCCCCGTGGAGTCCTGTTAGGGGCCTTTTCAATGCTGCGACGGCATTGGGGGTGGGGGATTGGCACCGCCGGCTACATGTAGAGACACAGCGTCTCTCAGAGCTGTTTCGGTGCGCGCTCTATTTTCTACGTGGCTTGTGTCGCTTCCACGCGCTATAGTGACTCAAGCAACAGGGCAACAGTTACTGTACTCGTCGCATAACCTGTTTGTGCACCTTTTGGGCATGCCAACCTCACCACATTTGGTGAGTAAGGCGTAGCTGTGAGTGCCCTCTTTGTCGAATTCTGCTGTGCAGGCATGAAGCGGGAGCCCTTGTGTCTAGGGCTTTGAAAGCCGCTGAAGGTGCCAATAGCTCGAAGGTGCGCGCCGCTGTCTTTAACGCTGCGGTCGATGAGATATCCACACGTCGAAGCCTTCTTAATGTCTCAGGCTTCACGGCTACAAACGTCATCAAGGATCTGCTAAGCAAGCAGTAAGTCGTCTCACCGGAATGGAGTTAGTGGGACACTCGTGTGCATGCACATCTGACGAAAGCCAACAGAATGCCATGTGCACCGTGTCGTGTTCAGAATGACCGCCTTGGTGGGGAACGTTACGGCGTTGCTACAAGCCGAGGAGCTGCAGGATGCTGCTACTGCGTTCACTAGGTTGACAGATGCAGTAATACTCTGGAAAGCTTTGCTGAGACAAAGCTGGTCCACGGCTTCCTTCGGGGATCTAGTAGGGCCGGGTCTTTTCGAGGGTTTGAAACCTCATGAACGAAAGCACCTGGTAGGTTTCTTCATAAACATTCATGGAACTTCACTATTCTGTTGACTGACCAGAGCTGTCGGGGTCCGCGCGTAAGAATTTCATTTTCATGCTATTGTGTATGCGCTGCAGCTTGAATTGTGCTCGGCAAGACCTTTTCCCAAACCAGAATCCGAGGAGTTGCAAGTCCTGGAAGAGCTCCTGGGCTCCTCTCATCATTGAGATTACTGGATTGGTCATGCATATATGGGCTACAGTGGTCACACCCATCTTGCGGATTTGCCAGTGCCTTCTCCTGAGTTCCAAGGGCTCTGTTGCATCCCTGAGCGATATACCTGGCACGCCCTGGAATGGTTTTATTGAGCTCCATTAAGAGCAACCCACTTTCTTCGCTGTGACCATTGCCTTGAGGACGCAACACTTTTTCAAGGGCCACTTGAGATTCGCTGATAGTATTCAGGAGCACCCGTATCAGGATTCATGATGCAGTGCACTCAGCAGAACACGCCACCGCACAAGTCTGCCTGCCCGTCCCTAGGGCGTTTCCTGATCGCCAGTTTGGCTCCTCTACACCAAAGGAGCTACTATTTACGTGGCACCTGAATTTTCGGTGTTTGTTTGAGAGGCTCGAGATGACTATGCTAGTAATTTGCTGTCTGAGGGAGCCTGCCTAAGGTTTCAAGCCTCAAATCGCTGTGCTAGAGGTTCGAAGCATGATGTACACCACAAGGTACTGCCTCGCGCGTAAGGACACGCCTAAATTACTGACTGTTCTTATGGCCTATGCCAGTGAGTTTTATGCAAAATTAGTTTACAGCGTTGCCTTCTGTAGCATTAACCTTTGTAGTGGGCAACAAGCTAAAAGGCGTGAAAAGACATTATCGCAGAACGGCTAGTACGCATTTTTAAAAGTATCAAGGTGCGTCTGAGCTATAGTACGGTTTGTATACGCGCATAAATCGCGCTCCTGCAGATCGCCTGTCCGTATGAAGTAGGACAAACGGGGGATTACCACAGAGAGAAGAAGGGAAGAGCCGTTATTGCAGGAGCAAAGGTGAATATAGAAGTGTGATTTCTAACTATTCAATTTTTTTCATGTGCTTTAAGCTTGTTTCGATCCTGTGAAGCAACGAAGCACACTACACTGCGCGGCCTTTCGCGGTGACATGGCCACGACCAATGGCTAATGTGCAGCTCAAGAGCCGTTTTCTCATTTCTGGAGGCCCGAAAATTCGTCCAATATCTATTTCCTTTTACTAATGTGAGACATTAATCAATAGATCTCGTTTCTTCCTTTTCTCTATTGTTTCCCCCTCCTCCGCTTGTACGGCCCCACATAAATGTGCTTTCTCAGCAATCGTCCATATGCTTCGTGCAAACTCCATTTAATTCCAGCAGGTGCTACGTTTTGAAGGACCTGACAGGCTTTCATGAAGCTTCCCGCTGTGCATAGTTGTTGATTACCACACCTGTGCTGGCGTTCACATTGTTGTTGCCCCCCAACCGACGCCAACAGCAACTTCTTTCATCTGGAGTATGCAGACCCAAGAGCAGCCAAAAGGGGCAGGCCAAGAGAGCCTGTGTCAATGGGCCGCAGCTGAGGCCACTGACCAGCAACTACCAGACGATTCAGGCTTGGTGCAAGTGAGCATCTTCTCCAGAGAGCTGACTCTATTCTATGCTGAAATAGTCGCGTTTACGTTTGCCTAAAGTTTTCACCTCACTCCTAAATATACCTTTTTTTGTACCAATACCTTATTTCCTACCGGAACTCGTTCGTGCTTACCCCTTGCAGGATCATAACAGGGAATCCTTCAAATCATATAATAACTACCAATCATCTGTTTCATACGGGGGGAGAGCTTACGCGTGTCAGAAGACACGGCGATGCTTGAAATATTTTTCGCCTATAATCCTATATCTGCACATGCATGCAGTCTCTTCGATTCTATGTGGCACATGCAAATGCCGGAAACCGCAGAACGTCTGAGAGCCCGCCAGAGAGTGAAATCTTCCGATATCCGCCAGAGTCCCGAACAGCAGCAGCCGCAGCTTTGGCAGCGGACAAGGAAGATCGACTTTTGCACCTTGTGAAAGGATACGGCTGTGCTGTGGTGCTTGCAAACCTCCTCACTACTTTCTTATTCTCCAGTGGGTCCTGCGGAAAGTGTAGAGAGTAAAAGATAAACTGCGCCACCCATCACCTCTATCAGCGCCCCTGAAGAACTCACATTTCGAGCAAAAAATTGCTTTCGTTCCCATAAAACCGGGTATTTAATGAACTTTAGCTGGTTCCTTGTGCTTACTGTGCAGTGGTGCTCATGTTGTTTATAAGCTCAAACGCCACTTTGACACCGGAGGCCTTGCCCACAAGTTTTGGTAAGGCAAGGCCAGCTTATCCAGAAATTTTCGGACCATTACTCAATAGCTGCCCTCATGTCTAGCGCAGCATCTCAGTGCTTTCCAATTCCTGGGACAGGAATTGTGAATATGCATGTTTTGTCCTGTTGTTAGCACTAACTCCTAGTATCCATATCACATCGGCTGGTCGGGCCACCAAGCTCGAAGAAGCCCTAGCGAATCCTCGCTCAGTGATTATTAATGTAAGCTGAAAGCCGTCTCGTTACCCGCTGTGTTTTCTTTACTTGCCATTTAGGATAATCGGCAGAGGATAACCACGTGTCACGTAGTGTGTACACCCTAAGAACTTCTTTTGTTCTCTATGTAATATTAAGTGAAAGCAGGCTACAGCTGCTGGCTTTGTGCCCTTTACAAATAGACAATTTTACAAAGTTATGCCACCTTGCGTCCGACAGGCATTCGATTCGAAAGGGTTCTCGGTTATCTATTCTCACGACATTGTTGGCTGGGAGGCGAGCAGAGAGCGAAGTAGCGCCACACTTTTCCTCTCTGCAAATCGAAGGCTCGATGTTACATCCAGTGAGAGTATTAGCACCTCTCGTGAGGGTGTAGATACTGCTCATATGCGTGCCACATCGCCGGTCTCTGTCGATACACAGTGTTGCAGTGCACGCATACATGCCAACCTCGGTCTTCATCGAAATCTGTTATCGTGTCTACCAGTAGAACTTCTTTATGGCACTTGTGGTGAGGAAAATAAGGCGAAAAAATCTGCGATTCCTGGAGGCAAGGAATTCTTGCATTTCATCGTTTGCAGATCATGTGACATGCGGCTTTATGCGGTGATGCAGCAACCATTCTTTTCGAGGACACTGTAACTGGTTTTACGATTGCCGAGTGGGAATTGTGGGACGACGAGGCAAACAAATCCCCCCACGAAATCCTTCGCAATGCTCTTCAAGCAGCAGGGGATACCACAAGCTCTGCAGTGTCATCGGTAGGAATGGCCAAAAGCGACAGTCAACCCCCAGTGGGAGTACACGAACAGGAAGGCCCCAATGCTGCTCCCACAGCTCGCCGTTTGTCGGAGACATCATCGATGTCCATGGTGACTCCGGCACTCCAAATTACGACCCCACACTCTCATATTATCACTGAACTGCACGATTCGCCCATTGCAGACTATGGGGCAAGACAAAATGGGTTAGTGGAGGCCCAATTCAATATGTGGTGACATGCATTAGAGGCCTGCGGATCGAAGCCCCCTCTAAATCTAGAACACAACCGAATTGGCTGTGCTCTGTCGCTGCCCTCGCCTAAGTTAGCCAAGTAGTGCTAGGTAGCATTAGCAGAGGAGAAAAAGCAACAAACTCAAAGCATTTTGGTGTATTTGGCTCGCTACTCAGATGTCTGCAGGATATGCTCTTCCGTCAGGCATGTACAGCTCGAATGGCTCGTAGCAAGTACACTCCACTCAGTCGACCAACAGCACCCTCAACCATTAAGTGTTCCTTTTCATCTCCTATATGAGCGCAGTCCACCAGACATGACTCATATGGAATTGCCCTCTAATGACGTTGGTAATAAATTCAGATTAAAGTTACTTCGCAGACAGACAGGCATGATCAAGACACACAACAAACTAATCCCCAGCGAGCTTCAACTAATCTTACCTGAAATGCGATGGATTTAAAATAATCTTCGTACCTACTCTAGCCCGCATATACTATATCGTGTTGCGATATCTTTTGCCCAGCCTCTGGTCAGAAATGCAGCTTTACAAAAAACTTGAGGGCTTTCTTATTCAAATCGTCCAGCAGAACATTGCTTATGCCCAATTCTATTGGTGAAGAGTTGAAAGACGCGCTTTGTACGGGAAAGCTCAATAAAAAATGCATGTATTCGCCAGAAAACCTGAAAAATGAACCCGCTCACGAGCCATTACAACAAAGACCCGCGCGGCTGCCGCGAAAAATCCATTTCTCGTAAGCTCGAATGCACATATCAAAAACATAGCCAGATGCACCACTTAATTGGCCTCAACCGGGGCCATCAGCTATGAAGGTCTTTGCTGCTTATTCGATGCCGTTGCCGCAGACTGTCTGAACCCCTAACCCAAGGCGTATGTAAGGGCTACGCGCTCACACCTCAGTCCACAGTCTGTGTAAATGTAATTACCACTGCTGTATTAGGCTTGCCGCGGAGGCCTTAATGAGGCGGACAAGAAGGAGTGCATAACAGCAGTGATGCCTGTGTCCACCTCGATCCAAGAGGCGGCAGTTTGTTGAGATCCTTCCGCAGTATCCAGGGGCAATCCCTCCGCTTTCATCAGCTCCTGGAAAATGTCTTCTGTATGGCTTTGTGGAGTTGGGACTTCCGACGACAGTACTGCTCGCTCATCCTTCGGCCACCCGTTGACGAAGATCGGCTCAAGGTAATCAACGGGGGTGCTCCCACCATCAGCCGAGCTGACTATCGGGCCCTCAGATTGTGGCGTGGGCAGTGGGGAGTCTCCCTTTGTGTTGGAGTCAGGAGGCGCATCCTCAGGCAGCTTCTCTGAACCACGTTCGTCCTTCTCGGTTCGTCTATCTATGTTCAAAAGGGACCGCATAAGGCGGCGCTGCTGAGTAGCCATTCCGAAGACGGCTGTGACGGTGTGGGCCAGTAAGGCCTCAGCAGCCTCCTCCACAGACATCACTATTACGGTGACTCCCTCGGGCAGCACCCCCGCAACAGTATTCTGCAGCTGAGGGTCCACTACAGCAACGCAGCACTCACTTGGATCACTACTCGTCTCGAATGTTTGGTGAAGCTCCTCCAGCGATGCCAGGCCGTCTTTGTTCTGTGTCACCATCCATAGACGGGAAGCCCCCAACGCACAGGTGGGTCGCACGCGATACTCCAGGCGTGCCCAAGGACTAATGTATTCAAATAACACCCTGGCATCAGCAAAATGTATCAACCCCTTGTGAAGTGCCCTAAGAACACGCTCGGCGCTGGGAAACCGTATGAACCGGGTCTCCAGGGTCACATGATATTCATTTCCAATCGTTGCCACCACCTCTACCATGGCGCGTTGCGCGTACAATACCTCTGGGCTCGATGCGGAGGTCTTGTTGTCCATGGGCATGCCAACGAGAACCACGCCAGTCTGCAATATGTCCATGAGAGCGTCATCAGGGGATATTCGTTGCAGCAAAGGAAAGTTCCGGGCTACAGAGCCTGGAAGAGTGCCCCCGCAATCGAAGAAAGGCACAACATTGATTTCCTGCAGCTCCTCAATGATATTCTCCAGTACCGCTTTCCGCATAAGCAACACGAGCGCTGCATTGTACGCATCCTGCAGTGCACGGGTACTGAGGTATCGCCGACCAGAGGCTAGTGGCTCTCTCGCATCCATGCGTAAACTTTCAAAAAGTTCCATTTCATTGAAACGGGCAGCAGGCTCACTGCTCCAGGGACCTGGAGTAGCCGGATACGAGTCTTCGTGTTCCGTGAAGCCGACGGGGGTATCACTGCCTTGGACACGTCCCCACATTCGGTTTTCTCTGCCCATGCTGAATTTCTGATAGCTGTTTAAGCTAGAGCTCTTCTTTGTCAATTCCTTTCTTACGGAAGATAGCGCCGGGTCTTCCGCCAACCTAGATGAGGATAGGGTAGAGGCGGCAGCTGCAGCTCGTTTTGTGCTCGCTGTAGAGGAGCATCTGCTAGAATGTCGGTCCATTAGGAAGAGGGCCCCCGTGGCATAAGTAGCACCGGCTGCGAACTGGCGCAGCCCTTGGTGTAGCCAGAGTAGAGGCCGCTGGGCTGTAGCCGCAATGGCTTCTTCATCGATAAGCACGTCTACCAAGTGGGATCCCGGCACACCATCCGAGAGAACCTCATAAATTGTGAAAGGAGGCAAAACACGGGCGAGGCTTTGATGGTTCCACGCTCCGTCAACCACCACAGTGCGGCTCTCCTGATCAAAAGAGAACAAAATACTCTCTCTCAAGGCCCACAGACTTGCGATGTTCGTTTCGCTCTTGACAATTACAATAGTGGACTGCGTCATGACCTGATCGGACCGGCTATACCGCGAAGACACGGTGACGCCGTTGAAGGGGTTGTGGCTCAAAACCATGTTGATATCAGTCATGTGGGCCTGGCCCGCGTCTAAGGCCTGCAATGCCACTGCTGTAGAGGCCTTCACCACGTACTGTATCTGTATGGGCATTGCGGGCTGCTTTTCGTTAAACTCCGGCGGGCCCTCCGCCCCTGAATAGTGCATGTCGATCTCATCTACGATCTCTCGAAGGAAGCTTTCATCAAAGGATGAAGTCTTAGGGGCCTGGGAGGGCCCCCGTGCCACCGTGGCCACCCGCAGCACGCGCCCCTCCAAGACGTCGCGCAGTAAATCTTGTTCATGCAGGTCCTGTAGCTTAGGCCACGCTGGTATTGCCCCTTGCAACTCCACAGCAAAAGAAAGCGGTAGCATGTATTTTAGAAGCAGCTTGTTGCGCACCCCTCGGTCCACCAACAAGCGCAACGCTGCGTTAAAAGCTTGGCGCAAAGCAGCTGCACACGGGTAGGACGTCCTGGAGAAGAACATCCTGCGAGCAACAGACAAAAGACGACACGAAAAGCCAAACGAGCGTGCACTATTGGGCACCCTTAATAAGACGCTGATCCGTAGAATGGAAATGTTCACCAAATGGATACGCACTGAATTTTTGTGATGGATTTGTTTTCTATTCAGTGAACAATACAGCATCCTCACCGTCTGTCGTCTATATCACCCCAAATCTCAAGGGGTTCCTCATCTTCTAAAAGTTCATCATCAATGATGGGTTGCTTATCTTGGGTCTTCACAGAGGTCCTTTGCTTCAGCACATCAGCCGTAATCTGTGGACCCAGAAAACGGCCGTCATAGCCGGAAGTTGCCTCTGCTCCCCATGCAACAAGCCTCCATGATGATGTCTGCGGGCTCCACGGATCCCTACCCGCAGGCTGCGGAATCCAGAGCAAGTCATGGCAAAAAAACGCCACGAGAAATGTCAAGGCGCTCAACACGCCGCGTTTTCCCCAGCGCCGGTGGCATGTGCACTTCCATCTACCACCAGTCAAAGCCCCAGAAGGCGCCTGCCAAGAGGCCACGCGGTACACAGTTGAAGAGGGCAAGCTTTTCCCCATGCTGCATTCCTTCCTGAAAACCATGCGCCGCCATACCACCGTGCCCCCTGCTGCCTGCAAGAGGAGCACTTTTCGGCAAGAGAAACAGTCACCATAAGTTTTGCGCGGCCATATATTTCATACACTGCTAACGGTTGAAACCGTTTGAGCCGCAGAAAACGATGCACATCAGGATCGAAGACGATCCTCCCCATGCAGTATCGATCTGATATTATAATTACTAAACCTACAGGCGAATGTAGTACTTACACTCTCACGCAGAAGCCATTTTCACAGTAATTATGTGTCGCGATGGCTGTGAGGGGTACTAGAGGACACAAGTAATTGCCTGTTGGTCGTAGCTTTGCATCCGTGGGGTGGAGGCGTAAGCCCCGGAATTGCATGTAGCAGCGGAGAACATCCTTTTAAGGAGTCTTTGCACACCAGTAATTATTGTTTTAATAAACTGCACAGTTCGCCGAAAAGTGCTCAGCGGTGATCTTAGTGAAGAAGTTCTCTGCTTGCACCCGCTACAGGACTGCGCTGGGAAGTGCAGTGGGGCAAAAGAGGGTGTTGCTGAACAAACATCACGACCTTCAGCAGCAATAAAGGCCGCGTTGGCACTTCGGAACATAAAAATCATTAACTCGAGCAGGCGGATGTTCTTTTAAGCTCGGCGTGAACTCCTAGACAGGCTCTGCTTTTCGTCCTGCATGAGGGAGGGAGAGATCTTCATGATTAGCGGGAGAGGATTCAGCCGTGTAGGTGGTGGATCGTTCCCATGAATGTGTCTAACTGTTATACGCCTGTTCGATACAAGCTCACCCAGTGGCGACCATGAAACGGACTCTTCCGCGAAATTAATATACACTGCAGCAAGCGGTGCTACAAGAAATCGCTTTCTACCACACTCGTTATACCAAACTTCGAATTCATGGAGGATTGACTAATTGGTTTGTCCAGCCGCATGTCTTGTTTATTGCACAGGAACGCTAGCTGGGTAGAAGAAGATGCATCGTGTGCGTTTGCAGCGAACGCTCCATGCAACTGTGTACAAGTGCTGAGAGTGCCCAGCGAATGCACCTATTGGCACTCCAGTTGTCCCTCTCCCCCATGTGTCGGAAACTAGGGAGACTTCAGGCATTTGTGATTACTCCCGTAGCTCTCCATGGAGTTTGTAGTGTGTTGAAGTTGTCAACCTAGGGAGGTCTTTGATAAGGCGTTCAACAACTATGCAAGTGCTTTGCTGTAAGCTGTGCTGGGACACAACAGAAGTCTACCTGCCTTTGAGAGGCTTTTCTTGGCACTAAACGTGGCAGTAGGGCACTTGTCTATGTGCGCGGTAAAAGCTAACACTTTACTGAAACATGTAAACGGACCGCGAATAAAACGCGTTTAGTATAGTACCAAAGTGATTGCATGCATCTTAATTTTATACGCAATTTTTCTTTACAAGAATTGCAACACTCTAATGCTATCATCTCTACCTGTTATCCTTTCTTCGGAGTGACATTTCTGGCTGGCACACTGCTGTCCATTGCAATATGAGGCAAAAACCCATCAAGCACATGCTTCAGAGCTATAAATACATTGCCGGTTTTACGCCGAGACTTGAAGTATTTACAGCTGAGACCCTTTTTAGCACCTGAAGAGAAGTCAACTTAAGGCACTATCCAGAGCTTTTTCCCCTTCAAAACTCTCTCTACCGGCCTATAATGAGCTGCTATATTTGCGAGAGAGTTTGTGGCATTGCCTTTACACAGTATCCGATGAGAAAAAAAGGAAGCTGAGACTTCAGCAAAGATGCTTTAGAGCAAAGGTTACGCCAGCACAAATGGCCGCCACTTCTGCCACCACATTTTGTCAAAGTATATATATATATATATATATATATATATATATATATATATATATATATATATATTACCCGAGGAGCAATTCGAAGTGATCTGAGCTTTCTGTTCTTGTGTCCAGCAAAATGAGCGGTTGCTCTGGCGCTGCAGAAAATGACCACGGAAAGCGATAGATTTTACAGAGGTGCTGCAGACAACATTCACGAAAAATTTTGTCAAACTAGCATAACGACAAGCCAGACCCGGTGAAACTGTGTCCTCTAAGGAAATGGATAGAAGCGACACGTCTTGAGCATGGTTATGCGTGAATCACTTGCGGCAACGAATGTCAGCTTAGTGCATGTTGCGCTGCACTAGGTCTTGTTGCGGTTGTCCTTTGCAACTTTTGTTGTCCCGTTTCGTTACCTCTTAATATTTCAAGTCTTTCAGACCTGTAACGCTTTACAACCAAGCTTCGGACGCTCTATGAAACGTTTACGTAGGGACATACTCAACTCTATACTCAATGCAAACTTAGAAGAAAGTTACTAAAAGTTTCCCAGAGGAGCTCTTCTCTTCCCATGACCGTGCGCCTCAGAGTTCCCATTATAAGAAAAGAGTGCCTCTTACTGCACCGTCTAGTCGCCCTAAGCATTTACAGCTAGCTGTATATAACATCTGGTGCACTTGCATACAACGTGAGGTGCGCGAGCGGACAATTCACTTATTCAACTCTAGCCAGACACTTAAAACCAGTCTATTAGAAGCTGTTAAAGTGTAGCTTAGTCCGTTACACATTCCCCTTTCCCATTCGCTAAACACACAACCCCATGTTCCTCACTTGTACATCGAGACCAGGTGCCTGCAGGGAAGCGGAAGCATTTCCCACCCTATTACCACCCCCCGAGTCAGGCAGACAAGCGAAAGCACAGCCGATGGAAAAAGTAAGCTAATTATCAACTGCTGAACTGAAATCAACTGGAAGAAAGATGCACACAATAGCCAACAGCGAACAAAGCTCCAGGCCTACACCACCGCGGCGGCGGTATGGCTCACAGTGGTCGGAGCGCTGAATTGTGCGAGCTTCCTGCTATGACAAAACTGAATTCGACTATGCTGCGTGCAACGGCTGCATCTGCCTGCAGATATTGTTCCTAAGTGGAGACACTGCTGAACTAGTCGGTGTTTCGATTCGCTGTACACATTCCACTAGTCTTCTGAGCCCCTGCCGAAAATCTGAGTTTAGAAAACGCTCACTCTTCTGACAATACCCGCACATGAAGGCAAGAATCGTCACTATGGTTTTTCCGCCGGAAAACGCAGCTTACACAGAACAAAGCGGAAAACTGTCCATGGCTACTAGGCATGAGCAAACAGAGCCACAAATTCTCCAGCAGTCAACGAAGCTCGCAACTGCTCCTCCGTCAGACAATTTGACTAGAGGTCCCTACTCAACTTCACTGGAGACTCCCTCTAGTGTGTCCTTTGCTCTCAATAGTCCTAAAGCTCGGCACTTTTGCGGCTCTCTGTGGAACCCCCACCTCCACATGGTTGTATTGCATGCGCGATCTAGTTTTCAAAGAATTTAGAAGGGTTTTGAACCTTTTTAGGAAGTCAATATTCGCAGTTTTGTGGCACCTTCAACCTTTGAAGAAAATCGCTAGAGTGGAAAATAATGTTGAATTATGAGAGAACAACAATCGGTATTGACCGCCTGGTACAAGCATTTTCGCCTTGTCTCCTTCGAATGCGCCTTGTAGAGGCTGCTGTTCCACCAGGATTAGGTCTCCAGGGTCGAAACACGCAGCCCACCTCTGCTTACGGTATTGTTGAGTTTGCTTCTCTGCAGTCGATGTATACATTTGTGCGCAGTAGCCAACTGAAATCTAACTACCTCCGCTGCTTAGGGTCGCTACTGACATGGAACCACCAGGTCTACGTTTGGAGATTCGAGATATCCTTAGTGTATGACCAAAGATGCGGGAGAAAACGGGTAGATATATAAACCTTTGTCTTATGAACCCACAAATGCTGAAGCCAAACAATTGGATTCGTCTGTGCCAAGAGTTGTAAATAGTGCAACTAAATGCAGTGGGTACGCTCTGGCTGGCCATATGTGTCGGCGTGGCTCGCAGTGCCCATGCTGCATCCAATGTTTTGGCGGATCATAGAGGCACACCACAACACAGTCACGAAATCTGGCTCCCTATCCGTGAAGATAGCTCTTGAATATCCGCGAACTTCCAGATGTAAGTTAAGAACAGTTGAATGACTTCTGGAGCCGTACAAGATGGAGCAAGAGATGCAGTTTGCATATTTGCTGAGTCTGTCAGCGTAAATGATATCCCGACTCTTAAGCTTCGGCAGTTGTACCATACAGCCCGTAGCCAGGCCAGTCTGCAAATTATATTAAGGTCTGGGAGGCTTTGCAAAAGGCTGGCTTGAGCCGAAGTGCATGGCTACAACTGCTGCAGATAGCGGTACGACAAAGCATACACCTATGCCGTGGGACACACCACAAGCCACTAGCAGGACCAAAGGACCAGTTCACACTAGTATGACCATGACTCTGAGGGACATGATTGCTCGCTGTGCACAAAAAGCTACTTTGAAAAGGCAGGATGTACAACAAACGAAAACCCTGCTTTGTTTTTCACCACAGCAGCGCATCCTCAACGGGGTATTGCTTAACTTTTGTGTCAATCTGGATGTTTGCAAAAGCGGATGCATCTGTTTCCAGAGCATTTGATGCACGCAAACTTGATAAAAACTGTGCACAATCACAGACGAAAGCGGTTGAACTGCACGATATAGTAGCTGCGGGTAACGGAAGCGCGTCTGTGACCTTCAAAGTGATGCCTTTTAATATACAAAACCGCTACATAGTACTATACACGAGGCTCCCAAGCCAGTGAACATCCCGATGAGTTGGAAAGGTTTTGAAAACTCACCGTGATGTACCTTGAAGGCTAATGGCCGATCTGGACAGCCAGGATCTCACCCATTGAACAGTGCCGGTATTTTTCATCACCCCCATCCCCCCCCTAGAGTTTCCCCCTTGCTAATTACAGCTGCTCGATTTCTATGAGACAAAGAGCACAACAATAGTTTGGTGTTCCGGAGAGCCCTTAGCCCGTTTGGCGGACGTCACTAGCATCACTTGTAGGGACGAAATGACACTCACGAGCGGCTAGTGCAAGTACCGAAAGAGTTGTACAGCGCCCGAAAAGCTTCCTTGCTGCGTCATCAGCCTCTTCTGTTCAGAATACATACAGCGACTTTTTCACTTAGACTGGTTGCAGGAGCAGCGATCATAGCAAACCCAGAATGAAATTTCGATGGTAGGCAGCAAGCCCATGCACTTTTGCAGCGTCGTTGACAGTGCGTGAAGAAAAAGGCCCTGCTTTCATTGTTTCAGTTTTTTTCCGACTGGCTAGAATCCTGCATACACAATACAAAAGCACGATTTTTTTCATGAAAACAAGCACTTTTGTGTTTTGACTCACCAGTGCTTGTCTTCCAGCAGGTAATTGCACGCTCTATGTGCTGTAGGTCCTCTTGTACGTTTTTACTAAATACCAAGACGTCATTTATGTATGCATCCCTTCTTAATAGATCCAGCGAAATTCCAATCAAGTTTCCTTTGCATTTCGACGTGAAAATGAACAAGTTCAGGCGGCATACAGGTATTTTCGAGTTTGTGAATGTGCGCGTAAAAGGCATTTTTGTGTCCGTCATTGGGTCAGCGGGACATGCAAGAAGGCTTTTGTAATGTCAAATGCTGACTAGAATGTGTGTTCCATGTAAGTTGCCAATTAGGTCGCCAATGTAAGGCTTTGGGAACTTCTGCTTTAGAATGATCGTGCTCAAGGGCGTGGAGTTGTAGCACATGCTTCACCTTTCGGTTTCCGGCACCAACACTCGCTTGTACCAAAAAGAGCTAGTTTACTCCTTCATGTTGCCCGTTCTTGAAAAAGTATTCCTCCTGCTGCTAGGTTTCTCCTTTATGGTGTTGGGGCTTGCAATACGGAGGACAATAGCTTGAGGCTGACTTCCGGAAAAGCTCGATACAGTGCTCTGGACCACCAGCAGTGCTCAGCCTTCTGTCAACTACAGCATAACAGCATTCCTGCCCTTATCGCCTAGCTATTCAAGAGAAATCTCTTCAAAGAATAAGCTGCAGAACCATTAGTCCGGAATGCATTCTTAAAACCATCTCTCTGCATTACTGAGCCGCCCACATGAAGCTTATGCGTCACCTTGTTGAGGCACGATCCTGCCTCGCTAACCATTGACGAAATTAGGGATGTTAGGGTGAGCAAGCGTTGCTTTTTTCCTGGCGTGCCTTTGGGACGCTAAGATCTATGGCACGCAGCTGTAGCCGCGTGCAAACGTTCAAGTGGGCCACAGGTGGCATACCAGGGATTGTCGTGGAGCATAGATCCAGTATATAAAGCTCGGATCATTCCGATAGGACCAAACTCCGACTTTAAGTAGCATTTAGCTGCAGTAGCCTTGCCAATCGTTACATTCTGCCCCCCGTACAGAAGCCGTAATCTAACTGACGGAGCTGGCGATTTAACCGGCAGCCTGCACCTTCGCGCCGCCTCCACGAATAAGAGACCGTTCACCTTACATCTAGTGTCAACTAGTGCCAGATAATCGTGGCCTTTACCGTGAACTTGTATCAGCACAAAACTGGACGGTGGTAGGTCCTCAACTATGACTGTGTCCCCTGTAGCCCCATTTACTGCGTTGCAGCCTGCGCGGAAAGCTGTTTATTTTCCAAATATGCTTCCTTTGCTCGCCGAGGTGCTTGCCTCCTCTGGGCGCAGTTTCGTTGTTCAAATTCTTTGGATTTTGCATGCGCTTGTAGTTCTGAATTATATGACCCAGTTTTTCACTCTAGAAGCGCTTGATTTGGGGGGAAATATTCGAGGCTGTTAAGGAGCGCTGGTTTCCTCCGACTTTTGTTTGTCATTCATCTTGGACTGCATTTCGGGCCCGGTTAACACAGCCCCGACACCCATAAGTTGTAAATCTCTATTTGGCCCTTCATTTTCAGTCAAAAAACAGGACTTGCGCTTCTCTAATCCTAAATACTCCAGCGTTTGGAGAAATCGCAACTGTCGGCAATCTAGTCGCCGAATCGCCGCTCATATCGCGATCATCTGACGTGTTCCATTTTGTAAAAGTCAAATTAGCCAAGAATATAGCAGTTGGTTAAATCCCCGAATTCAGGTTTACCAATCTTCTAAATGCTGATTATCACGCTGATCTCGGCATAAACCAACAAGTCAGAACGTGTGTGAAGTCACGAACAGCAGTTATCCCTGCAGGCACACAAACTTCTCTACTTAGATCAAGCAGCCATTAGAGTGCTTCTGCCTTTCCAATAACATGGAGCAAGGAACATTAGTTCCCTCATATAACGATTCAAAGCCAGTTCTATCTCCATCTGACTGATGAATTCTTGAGGATTTGCATATTTCTACTAACCTCATGTTTCTCTTCGTTGTCACAGAGTCATCCAAGCGCCTGTACATATTTTATTGGCTAAAAAGGAATTTCTACCAGCTACAAGGTTTTGCATGTAGTTAAATTTGCAGGCCGGCCTCTGCCTCCCCGACAGGCATTGTGCTACAGTCTCTGCCATTACCATACGGTCTTTCCCCTTCATTCTGTTGCCAGACAAAAATCGGCCTGCGGGATTACCAAATAGCTTGACCGAGGCCAGATAGCTGTCTTAGTGAAGTATGCCATTGCGTTGTATCGGTATCCAGTGGATAAGCAGGGAACGGCTTCATCGAGCTGAGGTGATAACAGCTGTGGCGCTCCTCAGGTCACCGTAGGGAGGCGTGTAAATCCGGACTCAATAAAATCTGAAAATCCTTAGTGGTTTTAAAGAAAATTTCTCACTCACATCCGCGTTCCTCACATCTCCCGTTGCGAGGGGAGAAAGACAGCTAGGGAACCCTTTGGTGCAGCCTGGAAGCGCTTCTGAGCAATACAGCTGGTTGCGAATAGCACCTAACGCAGGCAAACGAACCTTTGCGTAGTGCTGTATAGATAATCTTCTCATACCAAGCTAGCAGGACTCGGTACTCTAAAACATACAATAAAAAGCAGCCAAGCCAATCAGTCAGTTGTTTATAAATCTAGGGTGACTTGGTCTACTGTGTTCGAAATTGTTCGGGTGTAGCTTAATCCACTACACACGTTCGCTTAAACACAAACAACAACAGTTCTGCATCACCATAAATCCACGGAAGGCGCCAATAAAACAGCTTTTACTCTGCATCTCTCAAATACTGGTAGGGAGAGGTGCGGAGTAAAAGTTGTCCACGATAACGCACGATTCGACGCAGCCAGTCCCATGAAGTCACTGCGGTAGGCCACCAAGGCTCTTACAGCATGCTGATTAGCTTTTGGGATCCGAATAGCTGATTTACTTGATCGATGTGCTAGTGATAAGCAGCTACTTCGTAGAACTAGGAAATCTGATGGTCGAATCACGAGCATTGCAGTGTTCGGCTCCATAATGCAGTGCTCTGGAGAAGGAATACAAATGCCCGCCGATTTCAGGCTCCTTCCTTTACTGCCGACAGAATAAGTGCCATCTCTGGAAGGCACTTATTCTGTCTGATAGATGTTCCGGCATTGCTATTGCGCATCTACGTGGCAATTTTCAGCGCTCCGGTGTTACCCCCATATATCCATACCATATCCTCCACTGTTGTACTTCCCGTCAAAACTTTTGGTAGACAGCTGCATTTTGCTGTGAGAGCAATGATTTTGACCAGATGCGCTTCCTTCTACCAAAGACCATGGGTGGTGCGTTGCTCTTTTTTGGTGCGCGCGGTGCAATGAGGATGAGAGTACTGCTAAAGTATTTAATCACAAGAATAAGATACCGAGAGAATTAAACATGTGATGCTGGGCTTTTTGTACTGTACTTGTGTTGCCAAGAGGTTTCAGGGTGTCTCTTCTGCTCTTTCTGGGCGAATGCCGTTACCGCACTATATTTGCTACGGGACGGCCAAATAGGACCAGAGACAGGCCACCCGGACCAAAGCGAGGTGATCTCTTATCAAGCAAATATGCCTTAAGGTTTGTTGCTTGGTGTAGAGAGCCGCCACAAAGTCCTTGGGAGAGCATAAGCCAGTGGGCCAGGTCAGAGCCGACCAGCCGTCTTCGGTAGAGACCGCACCAGCAGCCGTAGCGAGGCGGAGGCAAACTACCGAGATTTGGGGAGGAAATATCCTCGCAAGATGGCACAACTTGCTTTATAGACTAGAGGTTTTAAGCTTTTTTTAGATTTAGTAGCTTGGGCGGTTCCTTATTGCAGGAGCAGCAAAGGCAGAGTGCCCGTCGTCGAGTGGCGGAGCCGACGTAGAGTCGCCTACATAGATCGCCTCCTCACCCCGTCTGAGCGTGCGCTGATAATTTCTGTGAGTACAGAGGTGCCTTTATTTGCTGCTGGGGCTTCCTACGGTTCAGGGAGGCCAGCCACTCAGGTCACAGCCCTTCGGTCGTCCACCAAAATGAGGGCCAGAAAATTAAGGAGCGGCGCAGCAGCCGCGATTCTCGGATTCCTCGTGGCTGATCATGGTTCCCATATCCGAGCCTCTGCATTTCCCTTTCCAGGAGCTCACAGTCACACGGAGGATGCATCTCCCTCGAAAGGTAGTGGCATCAGCGGGACAGTTCAGGGCGGAGATGTAGCAGCGGCTGCTCTCTTTGGCGGGGGTTTCTTCGGGTCTCGGGCCTCCAATGCCAATATTTCTTTATCCATTCTTTCTCCTGCTGCGTCTAGTGCGCCATTGTCAGCCACAGTAGCAGAGGTGCTACAACAGGCGGTCACCTCCGCAACGGACGCTGTTAACGGAGCAGCTGAACACGCGGCGGAGGCATACACCATGGGCATTGAACAGGCCAGGAGCAAGACGTCGAAATGGTGGACCTCTGAAGGTCCACAGAGAGCAGCAGAGGCAGCTCGTGAAATCACTGAAGGGGCAGCTAGTATCGCATCGGGCGCAGCAAGTGAAGCCCAGAGACAACTGTATGCCTTGGGTTCCCTGCTAGAGGACAAGCTCCCCGGTGCAGCAGATACAGCATATTCAACGGCAAAGAGCGCAAGCTCAGCAGCCGGTGTCGCGGCAAAAGAGCTCTCTGCGGCAGCAAAAGATGCCGAATCTGCCTTCCTCGCGTGGGCGGGGCACATTAAAGAGGAGCTGGAGGGCGGTTCAAGTGAGGCGGTTACGAAAACTGCAGAACAGGCAGCAGCAGCAGCAGAAGTCGCACGAAAGGCCGCAGTTGATGCGGCAGAGAAGGCTACTGTAGCGGCCAGAGAAGCCAGACGCACCCTTGTCGTCTTGGGAAATCGCGTTCACTCCGAGTCCGAGGGCGCAGCGCAGTCTGCTTTGAAGGCCGCTCGGGAGACGGTTGATAAAGCAGAAAAGGCTGTGGCCACAGTAGAGCATGCAGCTGACACAGCACGCGCCGCCTTAGCTTCGTGGGGAGCTCTACTGGGACAGACACTGCACGCCGGGACGCGGCACGTGCGGGGTGCAGCGGAGGTTGCAGCAGGAGCCGCCAAGGATCTAGCAGACAGTTTGCAGAACGTGGCCAGCAGCGCCAGTAGTGCTGCAGAGACACTGGAAAGCACTGCATATGCCGTTTCCTCTGGAGCGGAGCATGGCGCAGAGAAGGCAGACAGAGTCATAGATGTGCTGGCCTCCAATGCCTCCAAGCCTCTCATCGGTCTCTTTATGCCTTGGGTCGGAGGACAGAATGTGCAAGAAGAGCCGAAGGTCAGCGCAGAAGAGGGCGAAAAGGAGGCAGCTGTGGTCGAGCAAGCGATACCGGGGTGCCATTGCCCCGAGTCAGCTACGGCGACGGCCTCTAGTTCTCCTCAGGAGGGCGAAATTGGAGGAAGCGGCGAGGATGAGGGAGCAGCATGCAACTGCCCGTCCGGTAACAACAGCGAGTCTATTCTGGATGCTACACAGCGGCTTTTGGGCCTTGGAGCTCCAGTTTTAGAAGAGGCCACGGGCACAGAAAAGGCGAGCGAAGGCGCTGAGCCAGCAGAAACGGCAGGCCTGAGCTCTGTCATCCAAAAGGCCGGAGAACGGATCCTATCGGCATTGCCTATTTTAAATCCCAAGATGGACCTTCGTCCGACGGATAGCGCTGCGTGGCTGGGTTCCTCGGCAGTGCTGAAGTCTGAAACGGATGCCACCTTATCTTCCGATCCGGCACAGAACCGTGAGGTTGTGGAGGCACTTCCTCCGGTATACAAGGAAGGGATCCCCCTGGATTGCGACCCCCTGCCCCCGTACAGGGACTGTATCGCTCAATGCGACAGCGTGGAGGCGAAGGCCAACGATTCGCAAGAGCCGGCCCCCGCCACCCAAGGCCTTTCCTCTTACGAATACAGCAAGAAACGCGCCTGTTACTTGGCGTGCGTGTCCAAATGGATCGACACGACCATTCCGGGGTGTATGGACAGCAACGGGAAGGTGGTCGCAGGCACCCCGCCGGCGGCTCAATTCCGTTCCACCACGACGACCAGTACAACCCCCCTTCCAGTCACCACCACTGTGCCCGAGGCACTTACGGATGCGAAGCGAGAACCTGCGGGCACTTCATGGGGACCCTTTTTAGAAAGACTGCAGAGAAAGGAGGAGCAACATTCCGATGAACCCAAGGAAAACACGCAGTCATCTGGCCTTTCATGGTTTTTCACTGAATCAGAAACCACCACCACCACCACTACCACCGTCCCCCCAAACAAGGGACTTCTTGACTCGCTTTTTAATAAGAGTCAAGAAACGCAGCAATCCGATGAACAGAAGGCGGCTATCCCCTCCTGGCTTTCGGGAAGCGCATGGGGTGACTGGAAGCGCGCTTTGACGAGCAAGGTAATGGGGAAGGTGGCAACAGACGATGCTACCACCAATGCAGACAGCACACAAGCAGAGGAGGAAAACCACAGGGACCTAGGCGAAAGCGAGGCCACCAATTCCAACGCCATCATCTTGGGGACTGCAGCGGCTGTCCTCCTTCTGGCGTTGATCTTCGTGATAGTGGTTCTCCGTCGCTGGGAAGCCCACCACAGAGAGAGAACCCGTGTGGCTGAGCGGCAGCAGGTGCCACCAAGCCAGAGGGGCGACATGCAGCAGCCCCTGATGCAGCAGCAGGCCTAAACTAGGCAAATAGTCCTACTAAGGTAGCCTTGGGATAGAGGCAATTCGCACGTCGCGGGGGGCAGACGCGACAAGAAATGCACTGGATAGCAATCCTGCCCTCTTCACTACTGCTCCTTAGACACCTCCACTGTCTTCTTGTATAGATCTGTGCTAATTTTAAAGATGCATCGAGGGAATAGCGGGGCCGCTATTAGTTCTAACTGGGGTTTGCCGGACAGGTTAAGATGCCTTTGGGGGGCTGCCTTGGTCAAGACTGCACTCTCCTGAGGACTGAGAAGCAGTTGTGGGGCTACCGCAACATTTATTTGTCACCTTTCTTGGGTGCGCTTTTGCGGACTTTACTCTTGAATTTATTCATCGCATTTGATGTCCGTGTCGCTCCCCAGTGTCTGTACACGACTGGGGAACACGTCTAGGCCCTCCCAACGGACGCGCACATCGAGTAAGCCTATATCGATTCATACGTATATCTGTGCTGCATAGCTAGAGAGAGGATCTGCGATGTGGGAGTGTGGGTGTGGGTCGCCGTGCTCACTGCAGAGTCCACACACAGGGCCAGACACGAAAGGCTCTACGGGTAAGATTCATAAGACATCGCTTAGCCACGCTGAAGGTACAGTCGACAAAATTCTCGACTTCAGTGTAGTGCATGAACAATTGCGCGGGTCCATGCTCAAGCCTCAGCTGCGCCCTACGGCATAACGCCGTTTCCTTAAATTAGTCACTGCTCGGAAGGGTCGTCCATACTCTCCACGCACCAAAAAACTCCCTGGTTACAGTCAAGAGACTGTAAAAAAATGACCCTGGCCATCCTTGGCCTTGAGGAACTGCAGAAGAGGCGAGCCGAGCAAACTCGCGGTTGAGGGGCCCTTCCCTGCTTAGGGAAAGGACACTAAACATTATTAGCCAAAGTGCCTACCGCAGTTAAGATAAAGCCTTTTGCTTCTCTCTCTCCGCTTTATTATCCTTTTTGTACCAAGCGTCTTACTTGCTTCCTTCGGCCTCACTTGAACAGAGACACCCCCAGTCACTCTCGGCGCCGAGGGACCTCCACTGAAACTCTGGCTTTTGGGGCTGCTCTTCTGCTGACTTCGAAGGCCCACCTCTTTGGAAATCTGCCATTCCATTAAGGCTCGAGTTCTGAGAGGCCTTAGGTCGCATTTACATAACTGCCGCGCTATAGGACGCCGCCTTGGGGTCTCCCCCTGAACTGCACTTTCGCAGGCACACCAGTCCGCTAGGAGCTGCAACAGCAGGATCTCTTGTGCCCGCCTACCCTAGCAACAGCTAGCTCTCCTCCAGGGCTGAAGACACCCCCTCGGATGCTGCCGCTCGTGAGCGGCAACAGGCGAATGCACCCTGTATGCCGCGGCCGCTTGCTACAGGGCGGAGCCGGGTTGTTTAGCGTCAAGAGCAATGGCGCAGCGGACGCAGAACACAGAGGTTGGATCTACGGGAGCCAGCTCCTTGTCATCTCGTGTGGCTTCACTGCTGGCTGCAGCCCGCCACGGGCCCTTTGCTGTGCAAGCGAAGAAGGCCGTGAAGCTTCTGGAGGGCCCCACAGCACACGTGCGTAACAGTGGCCTTCACAAGCTCAGGCAGTTGGTGCTTCAGTTTTCTCATCTTCACAAGGAACGCCAAGTTGCCCTTGAGCTATTGCTGCTTGCTCTCGAGCACGGGGACCTTTCTGCGGAGGATGCTGCAAGGAGCCCCATCGCCATCGCTACAGTCTTCAATGGGGAGCACCAACTGCCTTGCGCAGCCTTCTTGCAGCCGCCTTCCGCGGCAGCTGCTGTGCAGCCCGCTGCTGCTGCGGCTGCTGCTGCAGGAGAGAACCTGCTGCGCCTTAGCTGCCGCAGCGAGGCTCTCGGGTGCCTCATCGATCTCATTGAGGGGGGCGCCCTCGAGCTCCAGCAGCTTATAGACGCGCTCCATGCGAGGCTGGCTGCGGCAGGGAACAAGAGAGAAGCAGGCAGCAGCAACAACAACGGCAGCGTCAGCAGTGAGGAGCTGCTGCCTCGGCAGATGCAGCTTCTGCTGGTGCAGCGCCTCCTCGAGCTTGCACTAGAGGGCAAGCTGCTCCCTGCCTCAGTGCGGCAACCTAAGCAAGACGAAAGACAGCAGCAACTCCCACAAGTGGTGCGGCTTCAGCAGGCAGCAGCGGCCCTCCGTGACGCACTTATTCGAATAAGTCACTTTTGTCCTCGCGTGTGTATCGCTGCCGTGGAGGCTGTGTCTTGCGTATTGGAAGCTGTTTCAGACCGCAGCACTAGCAGCAGCGAAGTGCCTGAGGGGGGGCTCCCGTCCGTCACTTTTACGGCCTTGCTCGAGCCAACTCTCCTCGTCAGCATGCAGCTGCTGCTCAACAGCACCAACAACAGCACCAATGCAGCAAGCTGTTCTCTGCTCCCTCTTGCTGTTGCACGTCTGCTGCGGTGCATGGAAGTCGTGGGGAATGCGGAGATAGAGCTCACTGCGCGAAGCCAGAAGCAGCAACTTCAGCAGCAGAAGCAGCAAGCCATTATCAGCGACAGTTTACTGCACTTGAGCTTGTCTGCTTTGCTACGGGTAAAGGAAGTCGAGGAGTTCTCTTGCTGCTTTTCTGCAGCCTTGCAGAGCATTCAGCTCAGGGCTCTCGCCATTGCCGCCCTGCACAACGAAAGCGATGCGTGCAGCAGGGGGCCTCATTCGCTGCTGTTACTGCAGCAGCGACAACAGCAGGCACGGGCTAACCGCCTACTGTGGGAATGTGTGTGCCGGCTGTGCACTGCACGCGAGCAGCAGCAAGACCTTACAAGTTTGCTTCGGCAGCTGCTACGCTGCCTTGATCTGTTCATTTCCTCGAGGCTGCCCAATGCCGCCGCAGCTGCCTCTGCATCGAGAAGCGGGAGCAGCTCTGCGTGCAGCACGCAGAGCCGCCTCTCTCTGGGGATGTGGCGTATCGCTTGCGCCACAGTGGGCTGGCTGCTGTGGAGTGCGGCAGTCAACGAAACAAACACAACGGAGGTGCCATTGCTGCTTCAGGCTGCGAGTAGCTTGCGCAATTTGCAGCCCCAAGTCGCTCCCCTGCCCTGCAGCAGCAGGATGGCCTCGAGCGCGGCGGAATCGTGCTGCCCTTGCATATATCGTCAAGAAGCCTTGCAACGCATCTGCTGCCTCTCACCACTGCTCCTGCTCCTGGTGCCGCTTGTCACACAGCAGCAGCTTGGTGCTGGAGGCGAGCGCTGTAGAGCCCCATTGACCGAGGCGCTGCAAAAGACCTCCTTCAGGGCGCATGCGTTGCTGGCATGCGCCGCCGCTGCTGCAGCCAAGGGTGCGGCAGCTGCTGCCGAAGGAAGCGACTGCTGCGGCACCGGGGCGTGCAGGTTATCCTTCGACTTGGAAGAGCTCTTTGGCCTTGAAGGGCCTGTGGAGCAAACCAGCGGCGCTGCAGCTGCACTTCCGCTGGCAATTGCCTTATGGAGTTTCCGCATTCTTGATTGGGGGGCGGCAGAGCAGCTGTTGGGAAGGGAGAGCCTGGCTGCAGCAGACCGGCTGCGCACGGAGGAGCAACAGCAGGAAAGGTGTGTTAGGGACACCGCTGCTGCTGCTAAGACTGCTGGCGAGGCGGTATTGTCCACAGGAGGGCAGCTGCGGATGCTGTTTTCCGTACTGTTGCGCAGAGGGTGTCTTGAAGATCTCCACAGCGCTTCCTTCCTGCTGTCACTGCCAAGTGCCTTGCTGCAGCAAGGACCGTACTCATATCTGGTAGCTTGTTGCTTCCTGGCAGAATCGTTGCACGATCGGCAACAGGCGTTTGCCGCAGTGAACGCACTAGTTGCGGCAGCGCCTGCTGCGGCGCTGCAGCTGCTTCCTGCCCTACATTTTGCCGCACTAAGACTCCCTTCAACCCCCGTTTTGCGGGTACTGATCCGGTGGAAACAGAACCTGCCACAGGAGCCCCAGCTGCAACAACCCCGAACACTACCGTTGTTGCCTGATGAGTTGATATTGTTTGACGGAGACGAAGCCTTGGCCCTGATTGCGTTGGCTGCTGCAGGCGGCGCAGGAGATGCAGTTACCGAGGATTGCACGCTGCAGTCCGTAGCAGCGGAGCGGTGGGAATTGTTACGGAGCATCAGCCGAGTTTTCTCCCTGTCTCTGCAGGCCCTCGCTTCTCTAGGCCTTCATAAGACGGCAGTGCTTCCAGCTTACAGAGCCTTACATGACCTCCTGCCGCTGAACCCAGAACAGCAGCGCCAGCAGCAACAACAGCAGCACACACACAAAATGGAGTCCCTTTCATCTGCGTACGATGAATGGCTCTGTGCAGCCCGCGGGCCTGCTGCAGAGCTTCCTGGGGTAGCTACAAGCACCCTTTGCTGCTGCCGAGCACCCAGCGAGGGTGGTGCTGCGGCGGTGTGCACCCGCTGTCTTTGCTGTGCCCAGTGCTGCTGGTGTAGCGGCGATCACCTAGGAGCTCTTGCGAGCTGTTTGGCGGCCGTTTCCCCGTATTTGTTGCTGTCTGGAGACGGGCGTTGGTTTCTGCTGATGCGGAGCCTCACACGCCTGTCAGCGTTTGAGGGCCTTCCATTCTCAAAGCTTGCCGCGCCTACTCCTCTGGTTGACGTGCAGCAGGGCACTCAAGAGGGCGGAACTCCAAGCAGCCCCAAGGGCAGCACGGAGGCAGCAGGGCTGCCAGCCGCCCCAGCAGCGGCTGGTTCTGCCGTTGCATCGGCAGCCTCCGTACCGTTTATTTTACCGGAAAATGCATCCCCGCTGCAGCATCTGCTGCTGGCGTTCTGTCTGCAGCGGCTGGAGGCCGTCTCTCCGCAGGGCTTGCTGCAGTTCCTGCCTGCCATGGAGCATCTGGTTGCGGCATGCACATCTAGCCCACCCTTACGCCAGCAGCAGCTAGAAGGCTCTCGTCAGCCACAGCAACACGGAGCGTCTGGGCAGAAGCACAAATGGCTACTAGAGCGGGCCTGTGGGGTGACTCTCAGCACCTTGGGCCGCCTGTGCATGCGGCGTTTTCTAGAGCCTTCAAAAATTCTGCGGGTTCTCCGACGCAAGTGTCAGTTCCTCTTCAACGCTCTACAGGCGCCGCCAGGAGCCCTTGATGGTTGCATCCTTGTGCTGTATGCGCTCTCCCAGGATCTGGCGGAAAAGATTGAGCATCACTGGCAGCAAGAGAAACACGAGAGGCTTCAGCATCAGCAACATAGCAAGACTACCGACAGCGGACTGCCTTCAGAGCTGGAAGGCCAAGTGCAGGAGCAGCTACTTCTGCTGGAGGAGGTAGCTGAGGCAGGCTCTTCCTTTGCCCGTTCAGTGGCCTTGTTCGCGGCATCGTTTATCTTGGGCCCCCTCTACGCTGCATCTGCAGATGCGGACTCGGGAAGCGTCTTGAGGGCACCGGCGGGGGAGGTTCTCTCCGTGCGATTTGCTTGCAGCGAGGGCATTGGGGCTGTCGTTCTACACCTGCCCCTGCGACAGCTGGAAGTCCGTGGGGCTGCTTGCCTTTTGGCCGCTGCCATGCGCCAGGAGCAGGTGACACGGGGAAGCTCTACTGCGCAGACACCTGCCGAAATGCTGAGACATCATCACCAGCAGCTAAAGCTCGGTACGGTGCTGTCGAAAACTGCCGCAGCAGCAGCCGGTGACGCAGGAGGGGACGCACAAAGCGAGCGAGCGCTTATTCGCCTGCTGTTCTTGTCCAAACCTCGGGCCTGTGGGGCGACGGGGGGAACTGCTCATGAGCGAAGAGGTAAAAGTGTAGCTTAGCCGCCCAGAAGGGTGATGAAGGCAGCTGTTAATGCCGCATCCACAGAGAGAGAGAGAGCATCTGCTTTTTCTTGCTGAGTACCTGTGCCAATGCCTCTCGCTCCTGCTGCTGCTGGGTCGGTCTCACTGCAGAGTTGGAGGAGCTAAGAGCACACGCACAACAGGAAGCAAGAGACATTGCGAGACGCTTCGTAACTGCAGAGCCTTTATTGCTTGTGCTTCTCCCGCGGATCTGTGGATTCTTTGTCCGACGGTACGGCAGTCAGCCTAACAGGGCGATTCGTTCCCGCTTCCCCCTGTCCCCAGTCAGCTTCACTCCTGTTGCTCGCGTTTTCAGAATCTACGCCACAGTCGTGCTTATGAACACTCGCTATGTAGCAGTACTTTCGGTGTTGTTCTTTTAACGGGGGCAGACGGCAACTTATGGTCCAGGAATTAATAGCCTGTTTCCTGTACCCGTTCACTAGTGGCTCAACTGAGCTTTCCTCTGAATACTTTCCTTTTGGCTGTTTTTCAGATATATAACATTGATCCCCCCGGCTGTCGCGGCTGATGGGGAGTTACTACAGCTAGGGCTGCATTTGCTGCAGCAGCTGGAGATGCTCATGCCACATGTGACGGCAGGCGAGGAGCAGCTGGGGGCTACACCCGATGTCCTGCTGGGTGCTTTGTTCCCCGCAGGTGACCCTAGCAGCAGCAGCAGCTCTGACGTCATGGGCTTTGGCATAAGATTCTCAGAGTTTTCAGTGTTGGCTTCGCTCCTAAGTGCGCTGGCAGCACAGCAGCCTGCACTTATCCCCTCTGTCACGAGCTTCTTTTCCACCATGCTCCACAACTCCAGTCCGGTGCCACCTCCTTGGTATGTCTCCTTATCCTGGCGTAGAATACCCCTGTTTGATTTTTCATGATCTAGGAATCACGAGGATTAGAGCCACCAATCGTTGCCTGAAAGTCATGTCGAGTAGCTCTGTCCCCCATCCCTCTCTCCGTTACCTAGACTGCTTTCCAAAAAGTTTGTGCTAGAGCTGCTACAAGCGCACGAAGTGCGAAAGTTATATGCATGAATATGTACACAGGCATTTACAGATGTTTACCCGTCTGTACCTATTATCTACATACAGTCGTCCACGTAAATATGAAATATGCCTTTATGTTGCAAACAGGCTGCGACCTGCAGATACCAATGATATGTCTGCGTATTGCAGCTGTGGCTTGCTCATTCCATGGATTGCCACGAAACTGCTGAACTCCTCCTTTTTATTTATCCGTGTTGCCGTCACCATCACCCTTTTGTCTGCGTTTAACGGTTTGTACATCAGGCTAACAAGCTGTTCGCTGCTCGCTCTGGCGCCGCTTCACGCCACTTCAGCAGATATCTCGGATATATGGATGGAGTGGCCCGAAGGCCAGGAGGGAGCAGCAGTTTTTGCGTCTCTTCTAAGAGGGTTCAATGACCAGACAGATGATGCTCCCCAGCCAGCAGAGATTCAGCAGTGCCTATGCGGAGGCGTAGGAAAGGCAGGCCACGACTTGCTGGCTGGCGCCCGATGCGTCTTCTTAGTTGCACACGCTCAGCACAACTCAGGGGACCCCTTGCTGCTCGGCACTTGCCTGAGAGCTCTTTGTTTTGCCATTTCTCCCACTGCGACACTGTTCTGCGTGCCCTCAGCAGGTTCTCAGGGCAATCGAAATAATCTTATCATAACAGCCGAGTTGGCAATTGCAATAGCAGAGATATCCCGTGTAGTTCATCTCCAGACGCCTGACCCGACATGCTTCTACCCCCATCTGTTGGAGCTATACAAGAAGTTGGAAACACTCCTGTTGTCTTCCGCAAGCCCCCAAGGCTCTCAGTGGAATGCTCTCCTCGCCTTGGGCAGCCTTTTGCCAATAATCTTGGAGGCCGGTGTCTTGCCACTCGACGAGGCACTTTGGTGCATGCAGAGGATCGAGGAGATTCTGGAGCAAGGGCTACCGGAGCCATGTTCTCTTGCATACGCGGGTCTTGCGCATATGGCACACTCTTTGTTGCCGTTGCTGCTCTTGTTGCAACGCAGGCCGAGGCGGGTGCTGCGCCTACAGCAGCAAGTCTCCGAACTGCAGCGCCTGCTTTTGCATTTCGAAGAAATCGTGCGGCAGTGGCTGGAAGCCCCAGTAGTAGGCGCTGTTGCCAAGCTGGCCAGGGCATTTGCTGCTGCAGCATTGACGGGAGCACCTTTCTTGCTACTGGATCCAACACAAGCTGCAATGGCGCAGACGAATGCTGGGGCAACAGGGCTCACTTCGGTTTCTCTAGCGCTGTACGGCGCAGACCCAGCACCAGGCACTCTTCGGGGTCGGCAGCAACAGCCCCCGCAGGAGCTTCGTCAGCAGCAAGGGAAGCAGTCAGACGCTTCGGCTGCTGTAGTGGAGTACCTCGTAAATTTGTTCTGTGGGCATACATCTAGTACATCGGTAGCCTCGTTCGGTGGCATTCACGGGGCGCACGTTGGAAGAGGGCAAAGCCACAGGGATCCGGATCTCGCGGGAAGCATGGTGCTGGGTCTGCTATACATACAGCTAACTAGCTACACAGCGGAGGGGTCCCTTGCGAGTTTGCCAAAAAAGAGTTTGACACGGCTGGCTCTGGAGCAGCTGCTGCGAATCCGTGAGGGGCAGGAGTTTCTGCTACCGGAAGGGTTGTCTTCTGTGGAAGCACGCCTCGTAGACGGCGCCACAGCGGCTGACATGAGGTCTTTGGCAGAAGAAGGCACATCCTTCAACGAGGCCACGGTGCTGAAAAGCCAGCCCGACGCAGTTCAGAGCGAGTTTGGGGAAGCTCTTGGCTGGACTGGTTTGATAGGTGCCCAGAGGGAGGGCGGCGGGGCTAGTGGACTGCCTATTCAACATTGCATCTGTCTCTTAGAGGCCCTTGCCTGCAGCGGGGTCCCTGCTTTTTCGGAGCTCCAGCTGGGCCGGAGACTCGCGTTGCTCTTCGCGAGGGCTACAGAAGCTACGAGGTCTGCAGTGACGGAGTTAGCTGGCTGCAAGGGTCTGGAGAGGGGCGTGCAGAGGCCAGCGCCGGGGTTCGCTGACGCCGATTCTTCAAGCTCTGCCACGTACATTCGGATAAACCGTTTGTTGAAGCAGCTTCAGGGCTGTGCGTCCCTCCAACTAGGAGTTTTAAGATTTTGCTGCAGGCATTGCTACCGCCTGCCTCAACTTGCTGCCCTGTTCGTTGGGTTTGCCCATGCGGGATTCGGCATTGCGGGTGGTGCTTCACAGCCTGCTGCGCAGGAGTACCAGCAGCAGCAACTGCTGCGGCCGCCGTTGCGCCGGTCTCGTCGGTTTACTGCTGCCGTGGCGTACTATTTCTTCGCGCTGCTGCCTGCTGTGGCTGGGGCCCTAAGTCCTCGGGAACTATCTTCATTGCTGGGGGGCGTTTTGCTGAGGGGGTTGCTACCGCCTGCAGAAGAGCCACTGCTGTGGTGTAGTGCTCTCCACGCAGTCCGTCGCATCTTGGAGTGTACGCGCCGTGGTGTTTGCTGTATCGGAAAAGAAACTCAACAACGCAAGCGGTGGGAGCTGCAGCAGCAGCAACGGAAACGGCGGCTTCACTGCTCACAGGTTGAGACTGAGGTACCCTTATACATCTTCCCCTCTGTTTCTCACAAGCTCCGTTATTACAGAGAATTGCATCAACTCATCACTCTTTGGATCATGCCCCTGCTCAGTGACACAGCTACAGCAAACGGAAAACAGCGGCTCTTAAGCTCCCCTGAAAAAGCGATCCCCAAGACCCACCACGAAACTCCAACTGAGCCTGACGTACCAAAGGTCGTTGCAGCTGCTGCAGCTGCCAGGCGAATACCATTTGCCGTGTGGGGAACAGCGGCCGAGGCCCTTATCGCTTTCCTGTTGCTCCGTAGGGACTGCTTACTCGTGCAAACCGCTTTGAACGAGGAGGATGTGGCGTCTTTGACAACCCCTGAGCTGCAGAGTAAGAGGCGGCAGCACTTTTTGCAGCAACAAGAGCAGGAGGCCCGGCAGTTAATGGAGCAGCTGTCCTTCTTACCAGCATTTGTCGTGGTGTATTTGGTGCTATCGGGGGTCGCACCACTAGAACTCGTCCATCGAAAGCGCAGAATGCTGATTTTCGAGCTTGCCCCATCTGCTGAAAGTGGTCTTTCATTTTCCAGCTCACCACAAAGTACAATGGCAGCAATAAAAGGACCTACAAGTGGACTATCGGAAGAACCTGATAGGTCAAGTAACCTAACGGATGAGGATGACTATCTGTCGGCTGAAGTTGCGGCGTTGTGCTGTGGTTGCGCGTGGCTTCCACTAAAAGAGCAGGTCGAAATGTTAGAGGCATTTGCATGCAGTGGCGCCAGCGGAGGCAGTAGGAGCTCCAGTGATGTCTGCGTCTCTTCTGTCCGCTGCTTTATTGGCTTTGTAACCCTCGCTGCTCACATGGTTGCCCCTCACTTGGCCTCACTCATTTTGCCAGCCATTGATGATGCAGATGACTTCGTGACCACTGGCGAAAGAATGGAGGGCAGCTGCCTTCGTCCGTGCTCAGGCAAAGAGACCCCAGTGGGAGCTTGCCACTTGGTGCAGGGCTGTGGAGGTAGTGGGCTCTCTCTTTGTGGAGAGCTCGCTGCTTTTCCCACTTTAGGTGATGATGTAGTAGAGCGTGAGGATTCCCTCTATAATCAGGTCGCGGAGTCGTCATGTATGTACACTTCGCAGCGCGGCATTAAGCATCTTCTTTTGATGCATCACAGGTGGCTTTGCTACATGAATCGAGGAAGCAATTGTCATGAGTGTTGCCTATGCTCTCCGGTTTGCTCGTTGGGACGCATGTTTCCGCAAATGCAGCTTGTTATAGGGTCCGCAGATGGCAGGGGTTCAGGCGCGAGCCAGTGCCTTGAACCCTTACTGCTGACGCCGGCTGCATTTGCAGGGGCCCGAGGCTTTTTTTGCATGAGTTTCGCCCCGAATATCTATCTCCTCTCTTCCCTCACTTCTCACTCTGTTCAGCAGGGCAATGGATTACTAGCACAGGGGACGGCCACTGTTGCTCCCGGGGGGGATGAGATGACAGGGAACCGCAAAAGCTGCAGCCTTAAAGGCAAGCTGGACGCTCTCAGCCTATGCAATGAATTGGTGGCTGAGTGCGAAGCTACAACTCTTCAGGAAAAGAAAGCTCTTTACGGGGAAGAGTGCCACGAAGATTTTTTCTTAGAAAGGAGGGATGCCGTTCTCCTGCAAGCTCACCTGCCTTCTTCCCTCATGCATGAGGCCTGCTACCCCAAGTATCTTGGATATCATTGTCCATCACGCACCCGAGCTCGGGTCAGCACTGCCACACTCTTCGCCGCAACGGAAACGCTGGCTCCCAGTGTTGTACGGCTTCTTTACGATGAAGCACAAAGGTACGGGGGGATTGTTGCAGGGGGGATGTTCGAGACAGCGGAAAGCGGAAGGCATGGTTCGTCTCTAGCTCAGCGCCTGCGGATCCTGGCTGCTAGACTTCAACGCGTGCTTGCAGAAGCACAGGCGGCTCGAGACTCCCAAGTGTGTTCAGTACAGTGAATGACCGTCGCGTATAATTTAGCGTAGACTGCGATGAGAAAATCCCTACTCGCCGTTCATGTTTTCTCGTGCAAAGAGTGGTGACTGGGCGAGGAGCCATGAACTTTCTTTGAAGGGTATGTAAAATAGTTTTTATTGCCTCTCAAGCCCGCGTTGTCCAATATCACAAGAGCCACCCACATTGCGTTCCCATGACGCGCAGACTCGTATTTTCGTGTAGCCGAATTGCGGATGTAACATATATCTATATGTACCAGAAGTCTCAGTGATGGTTGCACACTTTGTGGGTCCAAACTCACAGGTTTTCCCTGGTGTGTTGCAGTTCTTTATTTTATGCTTCTCGTTGGCTTCTTGCTTACAGCACAATCAATACGCCTCCAACTCCCCTCTCCTCGTTCCTACAGAGAGCCACATTAGTACATTGCACTTTGCTCTTCACCTTCCGGCATAGCTCCACCCAGTGTGGCCGCGCTCTAGCTGCTATATTTCTTTTGCTCGTTTTCTTCTTAAACTACCTAGTTTTCCGGCTCTGTAGAGAGCGCACCGAAGGATCTGCTTCTGGGTAGCCGCTTTCACAGCCGCTAAGTGCTTAGCTGTGATTCACAGAGTATCGAGACGTTAATTACGCCTTGTGGTACGGGCAACGGTCCAACCATCGTGGCTGCCAAAAAGGGGCATGATCCCATATGCTTCCTTCACCCCACCGCTCTCGCTGTGGTTCACAAAGTAAGTCGACAGCGAATAACGGCTGCACTATACGTGCTTTTGTATGCTTGGTATCGCATAGACGCACGATTACTCATTGCCAGGACTCGGGTTTTAGAATAAGCTTTTTGCCCTGACAATTTGATTGGAATCTGAGGCAAATTGCCTTTATAGCTAAATGTAATAGCGAATCAGCCTGAAATATCAAACTTGATGAAGCACACTGGTTGATGTTCTAACGGAAGCGAGATGTGCTACTTCGCCCATCGAATCGGCTTCCGGTTGCGACACCGCTCTTGCAGCTCATACATCCGTGAGAGCTACATATTCTGAAGCACTTCGAAAGCAGTAAACGCAGTCTCCTTTGTGCTTCATCTAACGCTGCCGCTGCCCCTTGCTCCCATGCCAAGGGGCTGTTTACTCGGCTTTCGTTTCAGTGTATGCATATATTGTATGTATATGAACGCCCGTCAGACCTCTGTAGCTCATCTGACCAGCAATAAATCAGGTCAGCAACTGTTTGCGTGTCCGCGGAAATAGCATCCACAAGTACCTGCAGTCGGAATCGGCCTCAGAATTAGCACCAACCATGACAGTTGCTCTGCACAAAGGAGGTGCTACGTTCCCTGAGAGAGCAGACATGTTCTCCAGTTGAGTTGGTGGTATCGGGGCGTTGATACCAAATTTGGAGAACGTTTCTTTACGGGCTGTACGCACGGCTATCAGTTTCCGGAAGTGTCTTCGTATTTTGGCATTTCCTGGCGAATGAGTGCGCAGGTTCCGGGGTCTTGCACAGCCCCTCCGATAGCGTTGTGGAGATCCATACTCATGTCTTCCATGTAGTAATTGTGCGGCTTCACCAGCCAGCCCAGAGTATTGCCTTGGGCGAGTGTTAGAGGCATGTCCTCAACAACAGGAATGTGCCAGACCGCACTCGAAATCCAAGTCACCAAGTCGGCCTTCCGGATGGACTCGTTGTTCTGAGTAATTAGCACACACATCAAACACAGGGCTGATTGTGGGGTAAGACAAAAACGTATCTGAGTGCGCCTGTAGGCAAATTGGAGTGCAGTTTTCCCAGCCCCAACTGTCATTGGCAGCAAATGAAACTGCAAGTTTGTCCCCACATCCGTCGCTAATGAGCAGAATGTCTTGGGGTTGTCTAGCTGGCGGGCATGCTACTTCGTTGCCCTCCTTCCTTTATCGGCCTCTTTGTTTTCCCTTTGTATGCGTACTCCAATATATCTGTCAAGCGAGACTGCGGGCCTGAGGGCGTATTTGTTGTCCCTGGGAAGGGTAGCTTCCGACTCGTCGGGATGCCTGACTGTTGTCGCTACACGGTACTTGGCCCAGGCACAAGGCCCTGTGTACAACTCGAATTGGGGGTTTGGAATCTGCAAACACACAAGGGAGCAGCGGGTAATGGGAACTGCGAATCGCTCAAAAAGAACCCGGAGACTGTGGGCATAGGTTATCTCCAGAAGAGCAGTTGCATGATACCAATGATGTACAATGGATGCAGGCTTGTCAACGGAAATCAGCAATGTACCGCGAATGTTGGATATGGGATGACCGTCATGCCGCCAACATTTCCATACACATTATGATCCTCGTTGACGACAGTGTAGTGAATTGGCCTGGTGCTATTGAACGCCACGAATCCATCAAGTTCTTTCTCTCCAATCCATTGATCAAGTTTGATGGCTCCTGGCCTCGTGGTATCGTGCACGATCTCGGAAAAGACGACTGAATTGCTTCGGTAATCAGGAGTGAGGTCGAAGTCAACCTTCCAAACAGCCAAGTGGCCGTGGAGGGCTCCCATCCTCATTGAGCCACTTACTTGTGTCCCGTGGTGTCTTTGGCGAGCTGAATACCAGGGTACTTCGACGCCAGCATAAAGCTCACCAGTGAATGAAACCGATGCTTCTAAGAAACCACTGACATGGAAGTAGTAATCCGTGACATAATCGTAGTTGCTCACAGTAATCATAGAGCGGAGAACAAGGGCCATGTGGGGGGCGCCATCACGGAGGGTTCCGCTCTTCCAGTGAGCTCGCAAAGGACGGGCAAAATCCTTCTCGAAGATGCAGAGAGAGCCGCCATCAAATAAAACTTGGCCTGTCTTTGCGCATTCAATCCCGGGGTGCAAACGGCGAGCAGCGGATCCCAAACCCCCATACCATGAGTCGATGAAGTACCAGTTGCGCTCAGCTACAGAGTAATGTGCTAGAGCCTCCATCATTCCCATCTCAAAAACAACACGCTGGCCTTGAAATTTGACGTCCCACAGACGCAGAGCGGTGTCCCTGTCCATGTTCATCACAAACTCCCATCCTGCGTAGTTCACACTGTAGCACTCTTGACCAGGAGATTGTCGGATTGTGTAACGCCGGCCTTGAGGCTCAATATGCTCTGGAGCAGCACGGTATTCCAAGCCCACACGACCTTCAGGATTGGGAGCGAGCCAAGCTGGAGCAAGACGACGAAGGGCAGCCGCCTTTTCGCTCTTGATACTTTGTTCCCTTTCGTGTTTTTGCGCTTCTAGACGTTCTTTGAACAGCTTAGGCGTCATTTTCTTGAAGTTCATGTCTGTCTTGTAAGCTTCTACAAATTCTTGAAGGGTTCCGAATTTCTGACCGTCGTACCAGTAGCCCTTTACGTGCTCAAGTTTGAAGGTAAGCTCTTCTCTTTCTTCAGGTTTCTGAAGGACTTCGGGGCTCACACCTTCTGGTGCTGGCAGCAGGAAATAGAAAGGCACTTTGTTACCTTCAGGAGTCCGGAGGCCAGCCCAAATTGTGACAATCTTCTTATCATCACCTTCTTCATAAAGCATTGGTCCGAACTCAAGGCAGCCTTGATGGTGCTCTCCGTGGGGTTTTTTGTGCTCAAACTGGCACCTTGCTTTCCCGAACCCGTACCCAAAGGACTCCTGCAATATCTCAGCTAGCTGAGCCTCCTCTTCTGCTGCCAGAAGGCGACGTCCGAAGACACCTTGGGGATTGTAGCCTCCACAGTCTGTTGGTACCACGGCGCCAATGGGTTCCAGCGTCATCTGATCGGCGCTACGCACGTCTAGGGGCCCTACCTTGTACTGTCTATATGCCCCCTCTCTGTCTTTGCAAGTTCCGGCACGAACCCGAGCGTACCTTTTAGGAGCTGGGCCTCCTTTGTCGAGATGCTCCACTATCTTATGTTTGTCTATAAAGAGGTTGATTCGGTACACGCCTTCAATGTTCAGGTTTCGCTGCTTACCCATGAATTCACGCACCATAAATTCCTCGGTCGACGTCAAAGGATCAAACACTGTGGGCTCTGGAGCTTCCTCCAAATCCGGAGGTTCAACAGGCATGTCGCAAAAACGTCCGAAGGACGTCACTTCTAAAGCTTTGGCCCACATCTGTGCATCTGTCATTTCTGCAGTTCCACCACGGGAAGCAGCAAAACAGTAGATAGTGTAGCGGGTGTTCGGAGGAACTCCTCGAATCTCAAGCTCCGTTTTTTGTTCCGCCTCTTCAATCTCAGTCGTGGCGCCGACACGCCTCACATCCTCGCGGCTTGGAAATGCACTGCCAGCCATAGCAGCTCCGCACCACACCTTTGCTGGAGTGTCCGTCTGCACCGTCACCCTAAAACCTTTTTGGAAGGCCTTATAGGATATGATCGAAAGATCAGGCACCTTGCTCTTCGTTTCCACAGGGAATGCCGTGGCCTTTACCTGCTCCTCGCTGATACCGTTCCCCTTTGGAAGTGCCATATCTTGCGCATAGCAGTATACAACGTACTGGGTATCCGGAGTAAGTCCCGATATGACAAGGGACTGCTGCATCCCTTCATCTCCCTGCAAGACCTGTAGCTTATTTCCCTTCTTCAAAGCTTCAAGGGATGGTGGCTCTCCCCCAGCAGCGGATTCTTTTTTTTCGTCCCTTGCTACACACCATACAGTGGCGGGCTCATCGACAGTTAGGCGCACAAACACTTCATTTAGGCGGGCTTCCGAGCCGTGAATCACAAGATCTGGAGGTGTGCTGTCTGTTGTTACAGCCATGCGGGAGGCAGCGACTTGCTCGTCATCCATGACCTCGTGGTGTTCTGTTTGGCTACCATCTGGGCCTGGCAGATTGGCAGCGGCTGCCTCCGCGTAGCAGTATACGTTGTAGGTAGTATTTGGCATCACCACCCGACGATTGCCGCCCTTGTTGGCGATCTCCATACGAAGCACTTCTCCTGCGTGGCTTGTAGGGGTCTGAGAACGGATACCGTAGCGCTTCAAGATATCCACGGTAGGCGGGGGGGTTCCAGCCTGTGCTGCGCCGCACCAAACGTAAGTTCTCGGCTCGGCGACCTGCAACTGAATGCCGATACGCTCCTCCGATCCCTCTACTCGTTGGATCTGCACTAGACCAATGTTGAGCTTGTACTTTTTCTCTGCTCCATCAAAGTCCTCCCCGAAGGTGATGAGATCCCCAAAGAATCGGAACTCTAGACGCGACTTGTTCCAGCCGTCACCGTACGAGTCGCGCAAAACCACTGTGTAGCTGCCATAACGGGGTACGCAGCACGGCACCCAACGACCTTGCATGCTGCTTAGGGAGTAACCTTTACCGGCGCAGGACACAGCGCCTTCTACGAACCACTGCTTGTCTTCCGCATAGTCACCTGTGACGAGACGTACTTCGCCGCAAATAAAATCCTGCTGCATCACGTCCCTTGCAATTTGCTCTGGACATTTTCCTGACACGATTCGTAGGTCATCAATGGCAATATCTCCCTTCTCGCTAAAGCCAGCGAGGGCCTCAATGACCAGCTGTTGCGCAGTGTACCCATCAGAAGTAAACTCAAACCCGGCCTCGAGCCAGTCGTCGCCGTGATCACCGACCCTCAGTAGGTACGGTTTGCCCCAGTCCCCTAGGGCTTCAGCGTCGCCTTCAAGTGTTCGCATGTAGACTCTAAGCGAGTTGACGTCTTCTCCATACATGTGATACCACATCCTTACACAGTATAGCCCCTTGGGGTACACTTGGGCAGGAGCTAAGAGAGATGCACTTTCTCCAAGCATGTATCCGGGAGAATCCATGTACAGGTAATGCCCCTTCTTGCCTTGCCCTCGCCCAATAGTATGGTCGGCAGAGGGTCCGGTGCCTGAAGTTTCGGTAGCGCCAGAATGACGTCGCCACTCCAGACTCATGCGAGGATCAATCACAAAGGACATCAACCCGCACATACCTTCTTCAAAGTCGCAGTTCAACATCTCATCGCGGACGACTACGTAGCGCATGCACACACACAGCAGAAAGATCTCACATAAATAAAATGTTCGCTCCTCGAAATTCTCTTGCCGCTCTCTTATCTGCCCCAGCTAGATCCTTCCGCGCCTTCCACCGCTAAACATGAGCACGACGCAAACAGACTCACTAACTATGCCTGCAAGATAATGGTAGTCCTTTGCGGAAGGGACTTCACCGCGAGTCGCCAAATAAGGGGAATAGCAAACAGTAAAGGTACTGCCTTGGATAGGCCCCAAGTCGAATACTGGCAGTTCCGTTTTTGTTTTCTGTGGCCGGATGTGGAAATTGAAAGTTGCCGCCGACGAGCTTGTGATGTGGCGATTGCTGGTGATGATCTGAGCATTGCGAAGGCTGGTAGGAGGACAGTCCTCTGTACCTTTCAGCACGGCTATGCTGTCTTCAGCCCGAAGGCCGAACCCCGCTACCACCAAACTGCATGGGCGACCGGCACGGCATGAGTACTGCTGTGACTGTACAGGAACCACCTCAAGAAGGGCAGGAGCCCCTGCTCCTTCAGGAGACGTATCCAATAGAAAAGCTCGCTTTCCACCACCTGTAGGGCAGCTGGCCCTGTCAGACATTTCGGTAGGCTCATGATCGGCGTCGGTGTAGACGTACGTCTTGCACTCTTGAGGTGCCAGGCGTCTAGGTAGTAGACTCGTCCACTGAACGGCGCTACTTCCCTCTGGTTCAGCAACTGTGCTTACTGTCAGAAGCCCCGCTATGCAGACCAACAAGCCAGCCACTACAAGGAGCCTCCACTGTTGTTTCGGTTGTGGCAGTGGCGCCCGCGGAATTGGCGCCATGGTCCCGAATGCTGCTGACTATGACAAAAATCTTCAAGGTTCTGTGGTTCCGTAAAGAGGCCTTTATGAGTCGGCTGCTGCCTTTGAATTTGCTTCTCTCAAGCTACTGTAGCTGTAAAAATGCACCTTAAAAGACGTTCCGCCCATTGCGCAGTATGCGCCAGCAGGTGAGATTCGTTTGGTCGGCAACCAGACGCGCTATCTCTGCACGCCATCCAAAGATCTTGAAGCTCTCCGTGGCTCACGCTTTCCTTTAGACGACGCGAGAGTTATCTAACACCTTCAACCACCTGCACTCGAGTGTGCACATCACGTAGACGCAGATCCACGCAGCTTATTTTGAGGTACCCTGATACGTGAAGAACAAGAGCGTTCCAAAGTAAGCCCTTTGACTGAGTTACCTTTTTAAAAAGCGAAACTGAGCGAGATTCTAACCATGAGAGTCATGAAGTACCTGCTTTTGCACTGCAGTTCGGTTTGTGTGTCAACCAGATGAACGCAGCAATAGAGGTGAGGACAGATGATAGTACATCTACGCAGACAAAGTCTATCGGCATCGACATGTGATATGCTGCTTTACTTCGCTTTGTTGGGCCTGGGGTGTGCAGATTTCACCTGGGAGGCTTGGGAGGAGACCCCGCTCTCTCCAGCAGGCGAGCCGCATGTGGATCGGCGAGATCGCGCGGCAGCATGCAGGATCTGCTGCACCTTGTCACCTTCTAAAAGGAAAACGGAGGGAAGATGAAGTAGAGTACACAGAATCTGTCCGATGCACGGGTGTGTGGTGCTCGCAGCAGAGTCACCTGCTCGTGGGCTGCAGCCCAGCGCGCCGGATAGGTCACGCGCTTCAATGCAGTATCTTGACAGTTTAATATTGCAAATTGTTCTATTCGTGTATTTTTAGAATCAAGAATACTGATCAGATGTTGTGTAAACCATGCATATATATGCTCGACAGGGCGCGCTTGTGCTTAAGGATTCTACAAAGCACGTATCCACCCCACAGCAGCTTGACTAATAAGCAACCACTGAGCATAGCCTCTCAGTTAGATATCATAGAATCAATAAATTTGCCCACATTTAGCCTTAAGAACGTGGCCAGGTGTTGAACTCTCCAAGAAGCAAAGATGTTATGCCGCTGCTCATACTGGAGCGTCAAAGACAATTTCGATAGGCAAATACCGGAAGAGGCGAAGTCGTTTCGAGGTATTTGCTGTTGAGATATTAGTTCACATATATTATATGTTACCTCCGACAAGCTAAGGGCTGAATTACTCACCGCTCCACGCACAACAAAAAGGTTACCTGGCGTACCACACCCACTTACTAATGTCTGACAGACGAATTATTTCGGAGCACTCCAGTTCAAGAATCACTCTGCCTTTCAGAATTAAGTCATCAAAAAACATCCTTTGCAGATTGGCAACCGAGGCGACCCGCAGCGATGTGCTCTTCTACTGGATTTTTTGTGCAATTGGTGGCCAAAGTCGAGATTTGGCTTGCAGAAATACGGTCCCACCGATTCAGTATGCAATAAATACTGCTTAAACATTATAGAATCCAGCATTTACATATTCGTGATCTAGATATTGGAGGCTGTGCATCCTATAATATTACGAGGGCTTGCACCGCAGTACAACGTGGACCTATGTGCCCTAAAGTGGCGGTTCTGTACAGAACTGACAAGCACAAGATAATGTGAAAAAGCGTGTGCCGGACGCAGTGCTAAGCACTACAGTACAGTATTAGCTTTATTGTGAGGTGCTTAATTGGATCGATTCGCAATTTTCCCCGCTGCTTAGAAACTGGCAAAACGATTGGAGCGCAACTTGCGCAACCATCAGTCTCTCCCCACTAGCCTACCTCCGCATCGGTCTACAGGACGTATCGAAACACGAAAACAGCGAAATGGTCACTGTAAACCGATGCGAATCAGCAGCATAAGCTTAGCAAACACCGGATAGTATGTCCCGAAATTTTCTCCTGAAACGAGTTTGTGGCACCCAGCGCCGATAAATAAGGGAAGCGTTCGTCTATACAAACAATCACTGCCCTTCCGTATGTGGACCTCACTTGTGATCAACTGCGGCCCTGCAGGGCTTTTGAATACTTTTTCTGGGGCCAAAAGCTGCGTATGTTGGCCTTATTCAGCCTGCTACAAAAGTGTGCGCTCTCGTACAACCTGCGGAAGGCTTTATCCGATGCATTTTCATGTCATCCAGGCAGCCAGCAATGCAGCACACATTGGATCGAGCCTTGAAAGCTACTAGCAGGGGCAGTTGCCTAGGCGTTGCGGTGATGAACGTAGATCTGAACCAGCACTCAAACGCAAGAACCAGATGCTGCCTGGTCCTATGGGGTGGCAAGGAGAGCCAAAATGATATCTGGAGCATTCCTTATTTCTTTTAAAAATTTGGTGGTGCACCATCAATAGAATCATACCTCCAAGACGCTGTCGGTCATCTGCCGTTTGGCTCTGGAAACCCCCAGCAGCCGCCTGTGCCTCCCTGAAATACAAAAATGCAGCATCGAGCATAGCAGTGAAAACCCATACATCCAGTTTTAAGCCATTTGCAACCTCGTGGGCTCGGAAACGATTGACAGCCTACTTGAGGGCTATAAGCTCCCTGGCGACTGTAATGAAAGCCTGAACGGCCCAAGCACAACACAAGAGTAACCGGGCATATCGGACCCCATTCCTCTAATGGCTATGCTAAGCACGCCACGACTCTTGCTGAAGGCAGTTCGCTCTAGCCGCTTCCAGTCAAATGAAGACGCACCAAGTCCACATTGATGCCGTTTTTTGCTGAAGTTTCGACGAACGATATACCCAGGTCTTCAGCCTTGCGCTGCACGCACAGGGAAATTCTAAGCACTTTGCTGTTCAGTAGACCCGCAACAAAATGGAAGCCTACCAGTAAGCGCCCTTGAGGCGGTTAGAGAGGCATGGAATCCCTCAACCACAAACTAAACGAAATCCTGCTGGCTTACCTTGGCATCATCTGTAGCCACTGCGCGGTCGCAGTCTTTCTCACTTTTGTTTCCAACGAGGATCTTCACGGCATTTTCAGTCGCATAACTGGGGAAAACAGCATAATATGTGAGCCTAACTGTGTGAAAGATCTCTGGGCATCTTGACCTAGGAAAGCGATTGTGCCAATCAGATAATCAACGTGGCAAGCTCCGTGAGTGTGCGAGCATACCGGTTAACCTCTGACAGCCACTCGTCGACGTGCGCAAGTGATTCTGCCTCTGTAACGTCGTAGACAAGCACAATACCATCAGCGCCGCGATAGTACGCACTGGTGATTGTCCTGAAGCGCTCCTGACCGGCAGTATCCCACTGAGGGCACCAAAAACATGACAACATCCATTGAAAAAAAAACGAAATATAAATTGGCAGCAAGAAATGCCACTGCAAAAAAATACGACCGTGTAATCAGCTTTCAGGGGGCCCAGCGGGAAGCCGGTTGGATCCTCACGATTTGCAGCTTCACCACCTTCCCATCAACATTGACTGTTCTAAATCTCTGTGGGGAACCACATCAGCACAAGCCTTTTATTTTGGTGTTCCGCAATAGGTGCGGACGCGGGGTCAGGAGAAAGGCAAGAAGGATCGTTCCATACGAATTAATGAAAGTGGACTGGCTTGTCACATTCAGCAAGTACGACAGCAAAGGGGATCTTCATAGCTTCTAAGAGTCGCTGGTGCCAACTCACGAAGTCAACACCAATGGTGGTGATGTAGCTCTCTGAGAATGTGTCATCCTGCATTGGTAGACACAAAACGGCTTCAGCGGGCCCATCTCGCACAACCTTATTGTAATACCCTAAAGGCTTTGATTGATCTGATGTGCGCGGGCGTACCGAAAACCGAAGCAGCAAGCAAGATTTCCCGACGCCGGAATCCCCGATAAGCACAAGCTTGAAGAGGTAGTCGCTGCATCCAAACCCACTCTATAATTCTCACACTCTCGACACCTTCAGGTGCATCCGTTTTCGAAAATGATGCTTAGTGAGTTGTTGTTGGAATAACGTCAGCTTATTTAAATAGCAGTAGGCAATTGCTCACTAGTCACGTGGGCGCGAGGACATCTTGAATGCACCAGAGAAAGCGAAATGGTAAGGAGCTTTCCAATCAAAATTGGCACTACTTCGCCTCTTGTACAGCACTTTTAGTCCTGCAATCGGTCAAGCTTTTTTCTTATATTTGGACACTCGGTTACGCCGTTCGCGTAATTTGGGCTTTGCCCCGACCCACTGATGACGACAAAAACCGGCAGACGCTGACGGCCACTGAAGAGGAAGGAAGTAGTCGTCCAGTGGTATCAGATACTTCCGAGGTGTCGATAACTCAAAATGCAGTTGGACTACCGGATATATGAAGACAACTGACCGCCAACGCCAGTGTGTGCGATGTGTCCTCTGCGAGACAACGAAGAAAAAGGCTTCTAGTAGAATCCTAGAGCATTTGTTTGCAGAGAGGAGCTTGCATGAGGAGGTGAAAATTTCCTGTCCAAAGCCAGCAAATAGTATTTACTGCTCTAACACTCAGGACACTTGCGTAGGCTGACCACCGGCGTAGGCCGTCGCGCAACGATCCGTTGAAGGAGCGATGCGTCAAGTGGAATTCTTCAATTGCTTAGAATAATTAAGGGCAGAATTTTGTTGAGTGTGGATCTATGCGGTTGTCTTTGCATGCACGCTCACAGGGCCCTTGCGTCCACCAGCCACTAGGGTACCCGACAATACTGGTTGATCTAGACATTGACAACAACGAGCCCTATATATCATCGAGGAGCATATTGATTACAATTTTCCAGAGCTTGTTTCAGAGGTCTTCGTATTTAGCTGATACCAAACGCATAGTTAAGGGGGTATTCCCCCTGCTCACCCTGATATATGCGTAGTGCTATCAGGACGCTAGTGCAAACAGCGTTATCGCGATAATGCTTATTTACTTTTAAACAGCATTTTTAAAGGTGAGAAAGTGTATTCGCGCCTTTCTGGCAAACAATGACTCCTGGGATGATGAGTATAATTAGTTAACTTTTGGATGTAAGACAGATTCACCAGGTAGTGGGCTGGGATGCACTTAAAAACTTTCTACCACACTGGTTAAATGTATCCTAGAATTAGTAACGAAATCGAACAAGAGTTTTGGTTGCTGGTACCTCTTATTTATTGGGTTAAACCATTAGTTCGGTACAACGAGACGGATATGCTGTGTGCGCGTGCACTACATGCCATGTACAACTAGCTGTGCATGCTTCAAGAGTGCAGGTACGAGACCTGTAGGTGTCATCCTCCCCTTAAATCGGTAGCTCATAGGGACGCGTGCATGGGAAGACAGGAATTTTACTGTACAAAGGAATAGTATGTCGCCCGATTCATGAGTTATGAATGCATTGACGAAACGATGCCGAACAGGAAAGCGTGGCAACCATGGGAATATATTTGCCTGTAAGAGTTTGCCCCCCTCAAATCAAGAATAAATGGGGCTTCTTGAAAGATTTTATTGGAGGCAGAAATACTTCAATAATGGCTTTCTTCTTGGAGAGAAAGTAATCTGCCTACAGCGAATACTACAGGTCAAGCCTTCATACATGCCCTGCCTCATAAGTTTAGGCCAAGAACGGCTCAACAGGAATATTGGGAGAGTTGTAAAGCCTTAAGCAGATGAATATATCAGAGGTTAGGTATCTCGAGAAGTATGAAACTTTGGCTTTCACGAGCCACCTCTTGTTAGGCACTGATCTCAGATCTACACGATGTGCCTCATCACCTGGTCGTAGGTTAGGCAACAGCTCACCAATTACCTGGTCGTAGGTTAGGCAACAGCATATCAATTGAATAACCGACCGATCGGTTTTCAACAAGTTATGGAGTTGTCGAGGCGTCGTGAGAATATGAGTACAAATCGTGCGTCTATAGCTCAAAAGAAGCGGCCAGCATCTGGATTCAGAACCTACGAATATTGGGGCCCTATTGACCAGCCCTAGCCTACAGGCTTAGGTGGACGATAAAAAACCGGCTTGAGGTAACCCACAGTCCATGGAAGCCATAGGTAGCCCTTCGACAACGTGCCTCTTCTTGCTGCGGGGAAATAGGCTTTACGATGCGGAATTGCTAGCGCATTCAAACGCGAAAGGGACTGGCCCCAGCGGAATGAGGCTGATTGGCGAGCAAAGAAAGTTTGTCAGGATCGGAAAGTTTGAAACTGTGAAAGGCCTCTTTAAATCGGAAAATGAGTTCTATCAGCATGGACAGCTACTTCTACATTAGACCCGTGCACCATGTCGTAATCCCAAGTATGCAATCGGTGACCAAATGAAGGGCGGGCATGCGGCCACCGCTGCGGGCGGTAGTGCTTAGTTCGCTGGAAGGCAGTATGAAGACGCAGCTCCTGGCTTCCACAACAAAGTTCGTTTCATCAATGGTGGGCAAGGTAGAGTTGGTGCCTCAGCAAGATTAGGCAGAGGGTCCATGGTGGTGACTCAGCAACGCAGTAAGAGGGGACGGTTCTGAACATGCATCCGGTTTCAATGTTTTTGTAGCTGATTCCTTACTACTAAAAATAGCTGGAATAAGCAGCTTTAAAGGGCAGTTTGCGGAGGTGCAAAATGATGGCGAGCACCTAGCAAGCTGGCTATCTGCTTGTCGTCCAGCGCATCGTATTGAGCTATTTCCGGTTAATTCCCAAGCTATGCTCCATTGTATCGGAAGCCCCCATAGCACGAAGAATAATTCGAGTGGCAGACGCGTGACGCGTCGAATATACAAAACGCACCAATCGAGCAGTGCTTTTAAGCATAACTCGGTCTTGCCGATGAAGGACGGAAAGTGGCGCACGTGCTTTTGTTATCAGATTCTGAGCAGGAACCCTGTGAAGCAAAAGGTGCTCATGTGTCTACTTGGCGAAATACGGAAACCATAACCTTGATCAATAGTCTAATCAATAATTTATTTCACAAAAGCTTTCTTCCAAAAATCCACTCACCCAGAAGACGGATACAGAAAATGGCATTCGACACTTGCATTCACAAGCTTTGATACACGTGTAAATAGTTCAATTTTCTTAGAAATCTGGCTGCACGCAACAACAAGTTATTTGGGACTTGTCTGAACCCTTAGAAGTGGACTTTTTGCTGTCTGCACTGCCGGCGTCGTAGTGTTTTACCCTAAACTTCCAGAAATACTAAAGCACCCCCGCACGCCTCTGCTGTCACAGGAGAACGATTGTTCTGTGAAAGCGCGTATTTACTCTATTTCATGAGAGCCATTGTGTTGCTGCGATCCCGTGCTTCGGCCGCAGAAATCGAGCCAGATCTGACACAAAAATTAAGGCAATAAAAGCGTAGCCTTACTTTATCTTGAAGCATATGCAAAGACGTTGAAAGTTTTCAACAGGTGTGCATCCTAGTACCGAAATTTCATTCCTGTTTTTACTCTTATCGCTGCTCCATTGAGGGAGTTACTTAAAAAAACGAGTCAGTGACCTAGAGAGACAGGGCTGGCGCCACAGCAAGGACGTTTATTGGCCGCCTCACCACTCCACCCCTTCTGTAGTTGCGCTAGCCAACTCTGGGCGCCACTTTTTCTCTGCAGTTAATGGCAGCGACGTCGTGGTGGGTGCTATTCTCTTGCAACAAGCTAGGGTTTTATACAAAACTGAATAAGTGCTCGTTCTATTTATCACTCCACCGAATCCAAGCAGCGGTATCCAATTAGTCAAATGGAGCTCTTTGCGCTATGGCTAGACGTGAAGAAATGCCCGCACCACTTCTATGAGCTTCCCTGCACTCTCCATACCGGACATCAGTTGTTAATGAACCATATTAAAAGCGTTCAGGGTCTTGAAGATACTATTGCTGTTGGCTGGCGTGGGCTCGTAGCATACTAAGGGCTTTCCCATTTTGCTCACTCATGTGCCCTGGCGGTACCCCAGTAATTCACAATTACGCAAAGCAGCCAGCCTTGTTTCTGATTGTCCACGATATCTATTGGCATTGTGTGGGTATTTTGCCTGACAGCTATACTTCCGCTACGGTTGCGAAAATCAAGGTTGACAAAAGGGCGAAGCACGTCCACGTTAAGGATGGCGTGCCGTGATTCAAAACAAAGCCAAAACTCCGTCGCCTGTACATCCCAACCTCGTTACACATTAACCGTCTGCCCACCGCGCATTACTATGTTTTCTGAGGCCCCCGTATGATCTTCAGTGCTGTAGAAAAGCTCCCTCGGTCCTTCTGTGACCTGGGACGAGTTCCACAATAGACGAGCAGGCACAGCCATGCAGATAATGTCAAGAGCTGAACCCGCGTATTTTCTTAAACCCGAGCGTGCTGCCAAACCTCCCAACAACTGGAAAAATTTAGGGGCTGGTGTGACCATGGATTCTGGTGTTGTAATGCCGAAGGGAATATTTCGGAGTAACGTTCGCGCCGTTGTCGACAGACTCAGCATAACTGCCCATTTTTTGCCTGCTTCAGCTGTTACGGCTCAAGTACTTGCTCAACTGTTTTTATGTAAACTCTGGAAGCTCCCCACGAGTTTCTCAGAATAGGTATGACAGATAGAGACTCAAACGCGTCTATGATCGGCCTAGACATTGACCACAGCATCAAATAAGAGCCACCAGGAAGCAGATGGGCAGACAGAGTGCACCCACCGTACTCCCCTGCAATTTCCGCCATTCCTTGGTCACGCGATTTTAATCGCTTGACTTAAGCTAGTTGTTAATGCTCCATGGAATAATATTAACAAAGTACGCTTGTCTACCCATTTTTTTCTCTTGCATCCCTTATATAGGCTGCGGCGCCCCTCTCCGATCCATGTCTGGACCTGGTGTTCTAGGGTCAGCAGCCACACTTAGTAGCGGAGAGTTCAGAGTCCAGCGATCTAGTGCACGCGACTAAAGGCCCTATGCTGAGGAGCCTGGCACAGAATTGTCGAAAGTTCCAATTAGCTGTCTGTCGCCCCTAGAGATTTGATCCTGGTAGCTCAACAGGCTGCACGAAGTGCATCAGAATCTGACAAGACGCAGAGGTTTGCGGCCGGGAACTCAGAAACATATATGATTGTCTCGTGAATTAACATCCATTTTTTGTCCACTCCGGGAAAGTTGGGAGTGGCCACAGAACTACCAATATTGGCCTCCTTGAAAAGCTTCTAAAGTTCTCGAATGGTTTACAGGTTTTGCCGTGCAGGTAAGTGAAATATGTGGGAGCGGGGGATCTATTGGGAACCAAAAAAGTGCCTAATTCTACGACTAATGTGTGCCGATGTCGCTGTTAAAAACTCTAGTTACCATGGGGCGGTCTTCTCGCGTGCGGGTTCTACGTACTTGTCCCTCCCCAACGCCTGCGCTGCCTGAACTAGCTACCTTCACCAATCGGTACCGCTATAAAAGCAGTTATTTATTGTCGCTACGGTTTCATCAACACTCGATTTTATGTGTGGGCATACTCAGGTATGTTTGTTCCAACATTCATCCTTTTGCTTCTTTTGGGCTCAGATCGACTTTGTTGCATGCACCAGCAAATACCCTCATTTGCATGAAGAGGTTTCCTTACGGCGCATGGAGGCGCTGCTACGCTGGTGTGCATTTTGATGCCGGAAATACTAGTCTTGTTTTTCTCGAGGCAGGAAGCTCACATATTCCAGCGCTCCGACGAAATGTGAGCCATGGGCTGCGTCGGTCGTGCTGGTTGGTGTCATCATTCGTTGCTGGCTAGCATGTGCATCCTTCTCGTTTATTTCACTTTAACGCTTAATGCAGACATTTCCTTTCTCATCTGCACTGAGTTCGCGCTTAGCCCTGCCTGGAATGTGCTGGTAGGCCGAAACTCTTCCGCTGCCCTGCATGCAGTTGGTCTCAGCGGACAACTAAGGAACACAAGGACGTGTTCTTGAGACTGGAGAAAGATGTAGCGGTGTAAGCAACCCTTCCACACTTTCTGCTACACTAGATCTATATCATTAAGAATTATTAAGGAGTTGGGCGTTGTTTCGGGTCGTTTGTGTACCAGATTTATTGCAGAGTGTCATCCCCCGATACATGAAAAAGAAATGCTGTGACTATGCGCGCTAGGCTTTGTGGAGCTAACTGTGAATACTCGGCGTGATCAGAGGTTGTATTTCAGCCATGTTCATAACTTTCGAGTGAGGCCGGAACCTCGAGGGGCGCATAAAGGGGAAGGGGGAAGCCTTTTCGAAGAACACTCCAGCTTTTTTGTTAGTATTGAGTTTGGAGTTAGTGCCACCCTAGGGAGACCTCAGATAGAATAGCACAGGCAGAGAATAAGTCATTATCAAAGCATTACGGCCTTGCTTGTTTGACAAACAGCGCTTGCTGCTTGCAGAAAGGTGCCTTAGGCACTTGTTGGTTGACCTGACACTGAGCTAAGGTGTGCGAGACATGGCGTACTGCGGCCAACAAATGGGGTTGCCCGTTTCGATACTCCTGTCAGCACGCGGTATTACAACTGAATCGTACCAAAATTATAGTTTGTAAAGTTAGAGTACATCATTTACGCTTGGAAGAAACTGCTCCCGTGCACACTGAGGCTAGGCCAGCATGTCTGCCCTCACTCCGGCATGAATGCACAACTGTTTACGCCGACGCCATGTGCATGTTCCCTCCCGCCACATCCCCTGCACTTCGAGCTACGCTACGAATGCATCAAGGCAGCCGTGGATACAGCGGGAACCACTCTGTCGCTTCGGTTCGCCATAACATTGGGCTCTCAATGAAGTTTAACGTCTTTGCAACTGCCCTTGCTGCATGCACGCTAAAGTACCTGGGTAACCAGAATTGTGGCAACTCCACGGTTATTACCGTGGCTATATAATGACTCCATGATCCCCTTGATGCAAATGAAAGAAACGCCTCTCCCCCTAGTCGTGTGTTCACTCAGAAACACCTGACCACTAGTGGTCGTTCCAGACAGTGACCCTCAACACGTTTTGCCTCTCGCCCTTTGCAGTGGACTTTGATATATCTACCTGAGTCTGTAGAATTGTGTGTTTGCTATGGGCTTCGCGGTATGGCGGTTTTCGAATGCATAAGATATCTTAATATCCAGATCCCTTGGATTCTTCTTGTTCTTCTTTACGGCAATAAGGCCCTTCACCGTATCCCCAACCTCCCCCACAAGCACATGCTCCATGTAGAATACTGTTTGCTTCCAGTGAGTGTAACGGTTATGAGGAGACGTATTTAGGACCACCGGCTTGTGGCACTTGCTGAACACTACATCGAACCATGCAACCTAAATTCGCAACACAGGGAGCACTTAACGAGACAAGACTTCAGCGGAGGCCACTACAGCTACAGTACTTAGCCAAGCTAAACAAACCCCACCTACACTGAGGAAAGAACAAACCAGGAGTAAAATAGCAAGTCAAGCTACATGCATACGGGAGGCAACGTACAAAAGCATGGAGGAAATCCTTCCGCCTCAGCTGTATACTGTACGCGGCGCAGAAATCCAAATCCTCTGGAGTGCATGTGGCGAGGTCGATTTCCTGCGGCACACATTCAATTTTTTTTTGTCGTGGTTTTAGAAATTGGCAACCGCAGGAGCCTTTACAGCTATGAGTACCGCTTAATTTACAAGGGGAATGGCATTCATGTCCTTACCAACACACAACACGATGTTGTCGCAACTGCACCATCGTCGACCGTGTCCACAATGGGTTCTTCCATGATACAGGATTTGACGCAGGAGAAGTCGAGACCGTACACGTTGTCCCAGTATCCAACTTTCTCCTCCTAAGCCAACACCCCCATAAAATATGTGCACTATCTAATGTCACCACATTCAACTCATTTAGCCTGGTGTTCTGCAATGGACTGGATGGCGTGCAATGCGTTTCTGACTTTGTAATCAGCATCTTCAATTGCTGCAAGGTATAGGTGCGCTTTGTCTGGAAAGAGCAGTCCATCCTTTGCGAGCCATTTATTCCTGCAGTAAATCACTGTATCAAGCATGCTCTCATATAAAAGAAAGTATCCCATCCATTCTGAAACGATGATATCGACTTTTTCCACCGGCAGTTCAATATCTTCAGCCTTCCCTTCGACAAACGTTACGCGATCTTCCAACCCATTAGCTGCTGCAATCTTCCGGGCAATGCGCACAATCTCAGAGCACTCAATGCCGTAAACGTGCTTAGCACCAGCTCGAGCGGCAAAGAGGGAAAGTATACCAGTCCCACTGCCAACATCCAGCACAACCTTCCCTCGGAACAGATGTTCGTTGTCCATAATTGCTCGTTGATAGCTACCTGCGACGAATATTGAAAAGCCGCACCTACCCTAGGAGTCATATTTCTATAGATTCGTGAATTCACATTCGCGGTCCACAAGTAACTCTGATATATGCAAATCTTTGACGTGTTTTGGGGGGTGGCAGCCTTACAGGTGCGCACAGAGTCTTTAATCATTTCCTCATGGATGCTGAAATGTGCATATGAATTAAAGTAGTAGTCAGCAGAAGATATGTTGTCCTGTTGCAGCTGCTTCCAATCGGCGGTGAAAGCAGCTTTCTCTTCGGGAGACAGTTTCTGGCACTGATTAGGCTGCGCGAACGCAGGCCGACCCCCACGGCTGCCGCGCCATGGTCCGCTGCCTCCAGAAGTTCCATTTCCCTGAGCGTTTGGGGAGGACGCTAACTTCTGGCTGGACTGGTTTGACTCCATTGTCAAAGAACACACAACGCACAAGGTCACCCAGATGGCCCCAGCAGTCGAGAGTCGCCTGTACACCACAACACAACAGGGCAATAAGCAGACACATTCTCTATATCAGCAATGTGGTAGCTAGACCTAGGGCGGCCAAATGGAGTGGGATCAATCACAACTCCTAGTAGGCCCCAAAATGTACACGAGCTTCAAGTTGCATGTGGGGCAGTACCAAACTGCCGATTTGTGGGGTCCATCCAACCAAGAGCAGTCTAAATCAGGATGCTGACGCAGGCCCCTCTAAGAAGACAACTACCTCGCATGGACCGTATCAATAAAGAACGATATAAGGAAGTCTATGTTGGCGGCAATAGTGAATGCTATTATCCATATAGACAGGCTGTCCTGCTATCGGAGCAAGAACACATGGGCAGCTTACTAGACTAATAAAAACTAAATAACAGTGCGGTAGGCGACGAGATCCAAAGAAGAAGACGACACCACCGCTTGGGATATCCGCAGATGGCAATACAGCAATGCTCAGTAGCAACACCACGATACTGACTTGAAAAGAGAAGCCAAACCTGGCAACTGCGCAAGTATTGCCAATCCACGGGACCCAAGATAATTTCCCTTGTGCAACGTGGAAGGACAGCCGCTCGAGTCATGTGGCCCGCACCGGTCGGGAAGAATCGCCAGCATGCGGCCCCAGCCCCGCACTACACAGATTCACCCGCCTTCTAGCTGTTAGGCCTCCATTAAAATTACAATAATGTAGCCAGAAGCTGCATTATAATTTCCCACTAATGAGAGGGTGAAGACGTTGCGGGTCGTGTGTTCTGGGGCAACTTACACTTGCAGGCAGGAGAAGCAGGTACCACCGCACACACTGGTGGGTTCTTACGGTTAATCTGGTGGCAACTGCAGCTAAAACATTAAACTCCACTGCTCGATAAGTATTCCAGCTTGTGTTAACGGCTATTGAATATCCTCTCCTTCTTATCGTAGATTTCGTGTACAACAACTTGTGTTGACAACACCCCTACCAGTGTCCACAGTGAACCCTCCGCTTGGAATTTACGTTGCTGCATCTACCTTTCATATCAGCGCAGTAGGAAAGAAAACCTGTCTTGTCCTAAGCAATATATGTAGTGCTCCCTATACGTTTCAAGTATGAAGACAGTTAACTTCAGACTCAATATAGACTTTGTAGGAAGTTATTGAGTGCTTTCAAAAAAAACTTCTACCTTCCTCTGCCAGCGCCCCTTAAAGGTCTCGACATGAAGGGAGAGGGACAACTAGGGTGCGCATTGTTGCACCCTACGACCACGCCAAGCATTCTCAGCTAGCTACACATAGTATCTAGAGCACATGCTCACAGCATTATCATTATGTTGCACTGAGCTTAGGGTACCACACAATGAATTTGTGTACTTGGATATTTTAAACTAGTGCTGTAAAATGCGTCTGAGTGTATTTTAGCCCACTACAGCACGCAAATACTTCTGTACAGCTCAAGTGATATGACTAACAATTGTGATACTTTGAGGCCGGCTATGTGTTTCACGCGTAAAGGTTCGGTTTCGGTGGATCACCAGACTCCACGAAGTGCATCAAGAGCTGATCGGGGAGAGAAGTTTGCGACCAAATCGTTGAGGACTCTTTGCGATTCTCTAACAAATCTTTGCTTTTTCCGTACTCTGTCAGCTCCCCTACAAACTGAACGTGTCACAGAACTACCAGTATTGGTGTTCTTCAAATGTTTATAAGCTCCTTGCATTACTTGCTGGAATCGCCATACAGGCAGATGAAATGTGTGGAGGTGAAGGATTCACAGGGAGCAACAGAAGTGCTGGATTCTAGGGCTATTATGCGCCCATGAGATGCTAGAGGGGAGCTTCTAGTCCAATGTGTCGGGTAACGCCAAGCTCAGTGATTGGCGGTGGATCAGTTACGGGCTTCTTTGCCTGCGGGAAAAGCTGTGGCGCTATTCCGCTAGCAATGCTACTCACCGTGAACTGTCTTGAGTTTCGTGATTGTCCCTTCCCAACACGTGCGCTGCCTGAACTAGTTACCTCCATCAATGAGTGTTGCGAGAGCAGCTACCGGTTGTTGTCGCTAAGGCGTTCTCACTCGACTTTATGTGCAGGCATACCCAGATATGTTGTCTTTCCATATCCTTTTTTTTGCCTCTTTTGGGCTTTGGGATCGACCATATTGCATGCACCAGCAACACCCTAATTTGCGCACAGATGTTGCCGTATGACGCCCGGAGGGCAGTGCTGAGCTACTGTGCATTTTGATGCCCTTTATACATATTTCTGGTCTTTTATTTTCTTGTAGCAGAAGGCTTACACGTTTCAGTGCTCCGGCGACAGAAGCTAGCATCACTGGGTGGGCGAATGTGGGCCATCATGCATTGTAGGCTAGTGTGTTTACCTCTCTACCTTCCTGTTTCTCGTTTTGGGTTAATACCCGCCTTCACTTTTCTATCTGGCGCTATGTTTCACGTTTCTGCCTTCCTGAGGAGTGGAAATCAGGCGGAACTCTTCCGCTTGCCTGCATGTAATTTATCTCGACGGACAGGTACGGGAGACAAGGGTATGTGTACTGAATTTTGGGAGGATGTAGCTGGCTGAGCTACCCTTACCATAACTACGCTATGTACATTTGGGGAACCATTTGATAGAGCATTGGCCATTTGATTTGGCAGCTCGTATACCATTATTTAGTACGTATGAGCATCCGCCCGATATAACACGACCCAATGCAGTGTGCCTGAGTGCTAAGTGCTCTACACAACTAACTGTAAATGTTCGTTCGGGGTAATTAGAGAGTGCATCTATTCGCGCCTAAGCTTTCCATCTTCCCTCGCTTGGGAACACTGAGAAGTGAGAGCAGTTTAAAAAGGGTATTGGACGAACACCCAATAATTTCGCATCAAGTTGGTGTTGAGGCTACAGTCAAGTGTCCATCTACGGACATCACAGATGGAGCTTCACAATTTCCGAGGTTCAGTGCTATTTAATGTGAATAATGTAGAATGTAGGCACGTTTACGTCTAGTGGTAACTTCTGATCTGCAGGTTTTATTACTGCGTCTTATGAGGTTAGGGCAGCCAGATGAGGGAAACCGCACCTCGCCTTCCCCAATCACTGACAGTCAGAGCAAAAGGAAAGAACCATTATGGGCATACAGGACACAGGTTTTGACCCTGGCTCTACCCATTTTCGGTCAGACTTTGTACTTTCTTATTGTGTGGCCAGTTCCCCACCACCAGCTTGTCTTCTAATTGGCTGCATGACGAGACACCTAGGGGCCATCGAGGACACCCGCCATCGACCTTTTTCAGATGCATACTAACTTTCCCTACTCAACTCCAAAGCTTCGCTTCATCCTGCCCAGATGTAAGTATCAGATTCATTGCTTATAGTGCTACATACAGGCAGTTTAAGTAATGCAGTCTTGAGCCAACTGGCTCTGTTATCAATTACAGTGGTATCGAAATGAAAAGAATGGTTGGTAACGCGTACAACTCAACGCATTGCATTGAATGGGTTCCACTGTGTACTCGACAGCATATATTCCATACACATACTCAGTTGCCATGTTGAGCGTACACTTGGATAGGCTGGCCCAGGAAACTTTCTCAGAGAGGGCTGCAATACTATAACTAGGGCTTGCGAGCACAGGAATCCAACTGGCACTCTGGTACACGTGTGTAAACTACCACAGCACGTACCACTTCGCTGGATATGCACCGTCTTCTAAACCAGCCTGGTCTGGGAAATGATATCACGCTGGTTTTGCTTTGGGAACACTTCATTCTATTATAAGTCCCCGCGCTTCACGAATTCCACTCGCATACGAGGAGGAAACCGCTCTACGTTTCCCCCTTCGCAGAAATTTCGTCTGCGTCAACATCAAGATTCCTCCCCGTCACTGTCGTCCATATCGAAGATCGCCTGCAACGCAGCAATAACTTTAGCCCATGAACGAATACTCAGAAAACATTTTTCAAGGGATGCGCCCTCGCCTCCTCCCCCCATAAATGTTCTCATGACACCAGATAACTATTGGCAGCTTGCTCATGCCAGAAGTGATCGGAAATGTGCTCATTTTGTGACTAACAATCAGCCAAGCAGCGAGGGTTGATTGCCCAATGCAGAGGGCATTGTGGTAATGCCTACTTTGAACAACCCCAGGCTCTTCGCATTCGGCTCATCTAGAATTCCGCCTTCTGGAAGCTCAAGGTCACCCACGCCGAAATCATCACCCACTGCTTGTTCGCTCTCGGAAAGGCGTACAACGTGTACAGGCGGCTGAAGTCTTCCTGAAGCAGCTGCGGGTGTCGTGTTCATCTGTGCAGCGGCACCTCCATCATGAGGACGCTGGCCTTCGTTTCCACGATCTGGCACCACCTGTTGCTCTCTTAGTAGACGTAACAGATCTACTTGCTGCAGAAAAATGAACATGAATAACGCCAGCAGGAACCTTGTAACGACAGGAGGCCCCCTATGCCGCATGCAGTGAATAGTTTTAACCTACTAATAGAAGTAGCTTCTCGTAGAGGCATACATTACCAGCATTGTAGTACGCCATACTCAACAGCTCGAAGTGCCTTAAAACCAAAGCCAGCACGAGCTGACGAGCTCGCTGCAAGCAGGGTGCTCTCCCGTGAGCCGTAAAATGACTTTCTAGAGCGAATTGCACCGGTAACAGGTTAAAACAGGCATGCTAGTACGTGAGGCTGGTTGGCAACACTAAATGCCATGGCACTACCAGGAGCCGCGACCTGCAGCCTTCGCTAGTCTTCCTGAACCGACTTACTGCTACATTTGCCCACGGGTCGGCAATACCCCACAGCTTGCAGAGGCGGGGGGAAGGTACGAAGACGGATGTTTTCCGGTGAGAGCACAGCAGAGGAAGCATCGTACAGAATCCAACTGATACTGGACGGAAGGAGCTACTCCTCTCTGACATGTTTTGCGCCAAGGAGCTAGTACCTTCGAGAGACCTTTTAGGCGTGGTAGCGTCGGTTACATTGTGCTCTGTCAAAATGCCTAAGCGGGCAAGTGAATCCTGCTGCAGAGTTCTCTGCGCTGCTTCTTGCTCACGCAACAACTGGCGCTGCTCGACAATCCGTTGGTAAGCAGCGGTAAAAACAGCAGTTTCAGCAGGCCCTCTGCACATCAGCGCGGCTCCCTGTAGTGGACCGAGATTCCTGAAACATTCTTTCAGCACACGGGCGTGGCTACTCTCCGCAAGCGGGCTAGGCTCCTTGAGCAGATGGGATGCGACTCTATCTGGCGGTACTCCTGCGTTGATCGCGGCAACAGCTCTGAGAGCGGCAGAGATAGCATTGACTGAGCAATCTCTTGACTGGGACTTGCCAGCTGCTTGCCCAGAAGTTGACGACTCGATTACCTCCTCAATCCCGCAAACTTCTTCGGACGTAGTCAAAATGTTGCCGGTGGAAGCCGCGTTCTCCGATAAAGGCACGTTGGCGACACAAGAAGCTTCAGCTGGCGGCAGCTGTGTTTGAACAGCTCCTGATGTCAGAAGTTCATTAGCGGTAGTGGCCACTGCGGATGTCTCAACTCTTAGAGCCTCCCCCTGTAATGCCGAATTCGCTGGTGTTCCTGGTGATGCTAGTGATCCAGATGTTGGTGCATCAACACCTTCGGACGGGAGAGAAGCCTTTCCCGCTTTGGCCTCGGCGTCCTGCACGTCATCACACCAAAGGCTATTTACTCATCCATAACAAATTGTTTCTAAAACTGATCAATTGAACTGCTTAGGCTTTGACATAACGTTACTGAGCGCGCACCACCCAATATGCATTCACCGGCTTCTAGAATGGCCAGATTTTCAAGTTGGCAGGGTTTGTGTCAAATAGTAAAGCACCGAGAGCCTCCATCAACTGGCGTACACATATCCACTTTTCAGAAAAATCACCACGGATAAGCCAGTCTGTGCAAACTTATCTAATTTTCCATTCAGCGTGCAAAAAAAGTACATATTTATACTCCAACTGAGTTTTACTCTTTTCTAAGTAGTGACTCACCCGCAAATTTATGTACACCTCAAAGCGTGCTTGTGTCTCGGGGTCGGCCACAAAGGCTAGCCGCAGACAGTTGAGGCGGTGACGCATCTGCAAGATTTGCTGGTGCATTCGGTGTTGCTGGTTTCTGCGAAGGAGTTGCTCTTGATGCTGCTGAAGCCATACGGGCTGCCGAGCAAGAGCAGCAGCAGCTTCTTCATCTCCTTCCTTTACCCATTGCATATTCCTTCCTCCAAGCTGTTTCACGAGGGATGAACGGGTGCTTGCCGTCACTCCTGACCACAATGGCTGCACTTGAGAAGCTGGGACCGCTCCTGCGGTATGATAGTATGCGCTTTCGGCCGCTGCATTATCGACGCCCCCCCTAAGTATTCGAAGGTTGTCACTAGAGAGATTCCATCTCCCCACAGCTTCCGCGTTCTTTTGCCAGCTTCCCTGAGCTTGCGCCCCCAAGCACCCTTCTGCCTCATCTGCCAAGGTGTTGCAATCCCCCAGAGAATAGTGTGCCTCATCTGCCTCTGTCGCCACATGGATGCCATCAAAACCTTCAGGCACCGGTGGTAAGGGCAAGCTGCGGACGCACACAAGGAATACGATGCACCTTCAAGAAAGCGAATAAAATTAAAATTTTGCATAGTGACTGATAAAAGCCCTATTCTGCTATCGTCTACCGTTGCCAGGCTTCGCAAGTATCAAGGCGAGCACTGTCCAGAAGATAGCAAAGCAGACACAAGAGAAAATAGGTAGCCCATGTAGAGGGTTGCACGTAGCGCAGACCTGAAGAGATAATTACATTCTGGATAGTACTTACTTGCAGAACGTCTCAATAACCCATTCTCGGTCGTCTAAGTGCTCCTCCTGGAGCACAGCAGCCACCCCTTGCTCGTCCCCTTCCCCCCTAATCTCCTCTACCTGTTCATCCTCAGATACGACAACGGCCCCTTCAGCAGCCGCTTTGGCAGCCAGTTGTAGCCGCTCCTTCTCTTCCACGTCATGAATCTTTGCCGGCTCCTTCATGACTCTGCGTCCCTCCCCTGACTCAGCCAGGCTTTCAAAATCGTAGAGAGTGCTGGTAGGGGCCGTGGTGGCATAAAGTTCCTCGTCCAATTCGTCATCATCGAGAGCGTAGTTCCTTATGCCTGTACGAGGCTGTCGGACATCAATATCCAGCGTGTCGCCCACTGCTTTCACTTGAGGCGGTTCCGTCCTTGTCCTACTACTGAAGCTTTTGCGAGCATCTGCCGTGATGTCTGTCTCCCTATGCAGAGGTGAAGTGAGTGGCAGGCTGCCCTGATCGGCGAGCAGCTTATGAAACCCCAGACCAAGTCTGTGAGGGCCTAGTGGTTGCAATCGAAGAAGTCTCTGACTAGCTGGCTCGCCCCAGTTGTCTCCTTCTGCTGTTGAAGCCCGGGCCTCGGCCGCAAGCATGGCAGAAAGACCTGCGGCTTCTGCGTTAGTGGGAGCTGCAGCATGCGCAATACCTTCGCCAGCTCCTTCACACCTACCAGCCTCTGAAGCACGATCCTCTCGGCTGCGTTCCTGTTGGGCACTCAACTCCGGCCGCATGAGCCTTCTTACTGCCTCCACGTGGCGCGGCAACTGTGGACCCTTGGCGTTTGTCTCTCCTTCAGCTTCGCGAAGCGCTTCTTCGAGGATAGACGCCGAAATACTGCTGTTGCTACCACCTTTCCTGAAGCTGTGCATCATTCGATGAATCCACTGGTGACGTCGCATGGATTGCATGCACCACTGAGGCTGCATCGCAAAGCCATCCCGCCCTGCAGGCAGAAACACTAGCACACCGAGCACAGACAACCGGGTCCTAAAAACAATGCGCTTTAGCCCCTTGTCCTGCAAACCCTTTGCTTTATTCCTTCTGCAACAATGCTGTTCCTCCTTCTCGCGTGATCCTTTCTCACCTGCACCCAAGAAAACGGGCAAGCCTTCGCTTGCCCCTTCAACCCGAGACCAGGAGGATGATATCGGTGCGGGTTCTCTTGAGTACGATGCTCCAACTGTTCGCTTCTCTGCTTCACCATGTTGCTGTTCCCCTACGATTCTCTGCATGAGCCTGCTTTGGGCAGCTTGCTGTGAATCCCACGACACACACATCCCTGTACGCGTGATTAGGAGTTGAAGGCGACAGTCGATCTGAGGTATCCTCCACTTACAATCTGAGGAAGCGTCTATCCACGGAAAGTCATGATAATCTGAGGGCGGGAATCGGGCCCACAAATTAACCATAGGTGACAATCTAGGCATGACTGCAGTGTTTTTCACGCCCTCGGAAGATCCGATACCTGCATGTCTTCCTCGTCCATGAACTCTTCAGGTCGAGAGGCTCGATGCGTTGCTCGAGATGTGCGCGAAGACGTGAAATTCGAGCATACAAAGCCTGGAACATATGAAACCCGGCATACACACCACTTTACGCCTGTAAATCTAAGCCTAGCCAAAAAAGCCACCTGCTGGGTGCCCCGGAGGAGCACCCGATTGGAGACATCGAAGCGCATCACCAAAGGATCTCTTGCATATGCTTCCACAACACACAATGGCAGAGCTCTCACCTTCTGATGTATTCACAGTGGCGAGATGCCTCCCAGAGGCAGACAACCCATCGCAGGCACCACATGATTCGCGGCTAAGACGCTCCTTGTAGGACAGTGGCTGCCCAAAGAGTCGATCTGCGTTGGCGTCCTGTTCACCATCCCAGAAATAACGAGCGGCAAGACTTCTTGAGACTGCTAGCTGTTGGTACTGCTTTGCTATCCCGTCCTCGAAGGCTGGCACTGCAGCTTCTCGGCTGCTAGCAGCACCAGCCGTTGCTTCATCCACGCCAAGGGAAGCGTGCTTTAAAGCCGATTCTGCAGCCTTCTCCACATTCGATGCATTGTGACCCTTGGCACTGACAGTCGGACAACCTGTCTGCGACGCTCTCCTTGCCTTTGCGAGCGCCTCATTGGCTCTGCGCGCATCAATCTTTGCTGCCCGAGAAGCTGCTGCGAGCAACAGGCGGGAAGACACTCGTTGAGAACCTCCTTGGCGAAGCCACGGCTGTTCCTTGTAAACTTGCTCTTCTAGTTCTTCAAGGGAAAGCGAGCATATAGGGGTTCCCAAAAACACCCATGAGGGAGCCTGGAGACTAGACCTGGGAGCCAGGGGACCCAAAGGCGCGCCTGTCATGGTAGTGGTCAAGAGGAAGTGCTGTGACTCGAAATAATAAAGGTGGAGTCAGGTTTCCATGTCGAGGTAGCACTTAAATAGGCTCGCAGGAGGTGTCCAGAGTGGCGTAATGTGCACCACTTTGTTCCGTGTGGCGGCCTCTAGGTGCATATTATTCGCATCACTTCGTGTCAAGTTGAGTGCCTATGACTCGTGCGCACGTATACCTATTGGCTGTATTACAAATATGCTGCAAACCCTTATGCTGAGCTCCTCAGCTCCGGGGCCCGAGGAGGCCTAGAGCCAAGAAACGCAGTTAAACGCACACCGCATGATATCAGCCCACAGTTTGGCCCACTGAGCTGTGTTTGCTGCATTAACTTGAGAATAATAAGCATGTAAGCAGCGGGATAACGAGAACAAACGAAGTCACGGAGGCCACTCTGAAGGCCCCAGCTTACCGGACCAGGTTTGCCCATGGGCAGCTGCCCCTCCATTACTGTTACTGGCATACGATCGAATCCTATATATTCACCCCGCGCAAGTGCTTTGTTAGTATTATCTGGTAAGCTGGACGGATTTGGGGCCCCATTTTTTCCTGGAGGGAACCTTACAGGGCCTGCGCCACAGTGTTTGGAAGACAATGCAGCAGCATGCAAGAAGGGCAATGCTTCCACAATACGGACGCACTAATTTTGACTTTTGACCTCGATGTTTCCTCCTCACCGCTCGCACATGTGAATCAAGTGACTCATCCAGCAGCCGCGTGGCTTTTGAACAAAATGGCGCGTGCAGTACTTGGGGGATACAGTAGCTTCTCAGGCTTCATCGTTGGTCCATCATCACTCCAGTAGAACAAACAGGCCAAGGCACTGCGAAGGGTACCGAAAGCCTGATATTATGTTGCTAGGCACCGCGAGCGTGGTGCGGTAGACCCTGTCGTCCCTGGTTCTTCTGGTCTTTCGGTGAAAGGCTGAACCCAGCTCCCCAGTTCAACACTAGATTAGATATATTGATTCACTGGAGCCCGCCTGGCTGATGGATTTCCTGTTAGGCCTTGCGGCCCCTCATGCCGCGGGAGGCTTGGGCGTACCAGACAAGAGAAAACCAGCAGAAGAAACTCCAAAAGGGGAGCGCTCATCTCACTGCGAAAGTGTGTACAGGCTACTGCAGCAGCTAGTACAACCAGAGTGGCACAGCATATCCGATCCCACTTCGCCGCAGTGGCTAGCGGAGTTTAAACACCGCGTTGCGCAGAAGGAGACTCTGGGTGCTAATCCCAGCTGCCCCCTAGTAAACTCCACTGCTGAACGTAGGCATACTGAAGTGGCAGAAACTACAAAAGGATCCAGTGGGGAAGGCGCTCATGCTGGAGCTTTCGCAGCATTTCCTTCCAAGGAGCAATTTCTTCTTTTGAACAAGATTACGAATCGCATTGTAGGGATGCTAAAAGGCTTTTTGCTGGCCTAGTAGAGACCCTTGAAATACTTGTATGCCATTACTTGTCGCAATACTAATTTTATCGAGCTGGTTGCAACGCAGATGCAGGATCAGGCATTGTTTGTACAGCCTATTTTGTGCTTTGCATGCAGGACACACCATGGGTACAAGTGCTCAGAAGGCTGCGAGCTGTAGAAGAGTGCGAGATGTCGAGGCCGCTGGAATTAAACGACGTGATAAACTATGCGAAAAGGTGTGAGGCGCCACTGTTGTGAGCTTTGAGCTAGAATGGGATCCTGGATACTCGTGATAGCTATTTCAATTTCAGGCCGCTCACGAATTTCATGCTGTTTGGGTTGCTGAAAATGTGGCTGCTTAGACTCGCAGGCTCCGTTGCTGCGCCGCCGGAGACCGCCAACATCGTAGATGTGGTATCACACCAAACCGCATTCCCGTCTTACCATTTCTTGCCATATCCTTCAATGGAAGAGCTACAAAACTCGAGACTTGCCGCCTTAGGCACTAAGCCATATGCGGATATCTGCTTCCCTCCCGATATCTCGGCGAAGGTGGTTTGCCTACGACGGAAAGCAGCCATGGCGCTGGTGGAGCCTAGTCAGGGTTCGACGTATGTGTTCGATACTTCACTGCTCTCCAGTGATATCTGGAGGGACGAACACAGCAAGGAGGTCTTGTACGAGCTACGTTTTACATGCGCTACACCGTGCTGCACGTTTTGGTTCTCAATTGCAAGCGGCCAGTGGTCTGCCTCTCAGCCGCTACCTCGCGAATGTCCTCTGAGGCCACTGCCCTCGCTCAGGCCCCTGCTGGTCCCAGGCCCCTTCCCCAAAACAGTTCGTGTGCAATGCAGGAAACAAGGTAAAAAGCCCTCGCGCTTCACGCAGACATGCCTTAAGCTGAAAGGCACAGCAGCAGCTTGGTCAGGAATGCCGCCATCTGGGGCTACTGCTGAAGCGCGAGAAGTCGCAGACGACCAGCACGTTGGTCCCATGGCCTCAACAAGGGCTGACGAGGTCAGACACCACTCAATTCTAATGTTCTTGTCATTCTGCTTTAACCCAGAAAACATATGGGTCTGGAGGGTGCATATACACAAAGGCATCAAACTTGTTCTCGTACTCGTGCTTGATTGCTAGTTGGAGGGGCGTAAATTTATCTAGCCCATATTTTGACCCGCTTAGTGGCGTTTTCTCCTTAACTTGTGCGAATGTTGTTTAGGGTTCACGAGCTACCCAGAATGCAAAAGCAATGCCACTTACTCAAAGAGGAGTATCCAGCGTGTCTCAGTTCCATGGTCTCATGCTTGGGGCATCTAGGAGAAGAGGACAACAGAGTTGCCAAGTTCGCAGCAGCGAGAGCAGCAGTGGAAGCAGTAGTGATGAAGACTAGCCACATTGACTCATTTGAGTCCCATTGTATTGCGTTAGACGACTAAAAGGTCGACTGCAAAGCACTATGCTTCCCTTTAGTCAGAACGCTGCTCTGCAGTGAAATGGATTGTGTTTTCATCAGGCGTATCTTCTAATGCTGAAATGATTATGCAGTCATGGCGCCTGAACGGGGCACCATTGTAGTCGCATCAGGAGCTGCTGGTATGCGGGTTTTAATGAGGCAGAAAGCTTGGGCTAATACACCAACAGGATCAGGAGGCAATTCCTTTTTCCCCATATAATAGGACTGTGTATACTTGCATTAACAAATTATTTAAACTTAAGAGCCAGATCAATTGACACCGCTTGGAACACCACCACACACTTTGACTTCAACTGAGCAGGGAGGCTACACCTGGCGGAGTAAGAATCATTTAGTTGCTGAGGGAATAAAACACTAAATGCAACATAAATGGCTCTTCTGTCTATTTCCGTTTGGTCCACAGGTGTCAACGCTGCAGGTAACTGCGTGGTGGTTCATCTTGTTACTGAATAGTTGTTTTTGCAGCGACGGACCGGCAATACGTTACTTTTTTGCTACGAAAACGGATTCACGATTAATTATTGGCGCGTCAGGAGGTCCGGGGATCTGTCCACTGTAATATTGTGGTCTTTTAACAGCCTTTGATGTATGGCTTGAGTCTTTTTTCTATCGAGGACGAGCTGAATGCTATTGGATCCATTCACCTCCACTTCCAGCTTCACAAAATCGCCCGAGGTTGTTTCAATTAATTGTACCAACTCGCGCATATTACGGACGTCGTAGCCATTGACGCTCCGTACAATACAGGGCGGTTGATCGTATCCAACGGATATCTCGGATGCAAGAATCTGAGAAACACCCATTCACTAAGAAATCAGATTAAGTACAACAGTACTTGTGAAGCACACTTTGCCGTAAGCTGCGACAATGTGATAGCCCTTAGCTCGTAAAGCTTGTAAGAGACTTAGTTGTTTACGAGCACACTACGAACTGTACCAGGCTTAAAACAACGAATTCATCCCCTCGCTTTTGTTGGTAGTCTAGTCTTTGCACCAAGTATTCGAACATGTGTGGCGATTCCTGATGAAGCTTGGCAGTCTGCGTACGCATTTGCCAGGTAGATGATGAACTCAGAAGTAGGGCAGAACAGTGTGAGGAATCAGGGGTCAGCTTTTTGTACACGTAGATCGGATGGCTCGAAACACTTTGGCTAGATGTGCTTCCATACCAGGAGCACTTTGTTAAGTGGTGTGAAAACGAATCCGCCATAAACGAGGTACGACGGCTTTGTATCCCACATGAATGGGGCGACTTTGAAGCTTGGCGTCATGAGGGGAACCTGAATAAAGTTTGCGCAATTGCAGGGCTCTTTGCATAGATCTCTGTAGCTGAAAGCACAGCATTGCTGATCCCGCACAACACCCAGCACAACAGGGTGATTCAGTTTCCAAGGGATTTTCTTTAACTGACCGTCACTTTGATTATTCGTCCGTCACGTAAAACGTATGCCCAAGTGGTTTCTCCATTGAAGTACTGGGTGACAACATAGCTATATGACACCCTCTCCAAGTTCCTAAAAACACAGTTGGAGCATCTCTACTGTTTTATGATGAAAACAATACAAACGCGCACTAGGAATCATGATACCACGTACACTTAACAGACCTTTTTGGCAACTGTTGATGAGCTGCTCGGCATAGACTTGCCTTAGGGAAACAGTTCCATCATCGGCGATATCTGTAGCGCAAGCAGCGCGTGACAGATTATTTTATTCGGCCTATTGTGTGTGCCATCTACATATGTTCTTAATCGATCTTCATATCCACTACTTCGGAGTTTTGAAACAATAGTGCGCTAGTGATTTGCATTACTCAGTGTCTTGGTACAAAGAGGTAGCCTACCGTAATTTCCGATCGAAAGGATGACATCGCCTTCAAGAAAACCAATAAATTCTGTGCTGTGCAACAAATTAGGATTGAAATACGGGTTATCAACTATGGGATATACTGCTGTGGCGAGCGAATTTTCTTCCAGACTTTTACCACCAGACAGCGCTACTGGGTCATCAGAAATTAGCCTTTCATGCTCGTTTTTTGCTTCGAATACATGCCGGTTCATACCAACATGCTCATAAGCCTGGGCGATAGTTGCACTATCAGTGCTGGCCGAATGAGGATTTGGAACGTTCGAAGCTGCCACGTCAGCCTCGCGAAGCGTAACTGCCTTCACCGGCATTCCGTGAGGGTAGATTTCCTCCCCAGGCCTTTCGAGCTTGGATCCATGTGCTTGTTTATGTCGCTTTGGCTCCATTGTGGGTGCCAAAGCTATCTTATCATCAGATGAGTCATTTCCATTGAATCCGATGAGTTGTCTCACTTGGCGAAGTGTAATTCGGGCCCCTAGTAGCTTACGCAGAAAGGACTCGACACCAGCATGCCTGGTGAAATAGGGGACATCTTCAAGGTTTGATGTCAACTCTGAAGACTCTTCTTTCTGAGCACTGTAGTTTGATGGTGCAATGTCTTGAAGCTTCGGTGAACCATTTTGTTTAGCGCTTTGTGTTTCAACAGTCTCCTGTATCGCCTGGTGGGCTTGCTTTGCCGATTTGCTAATCTCCGCTCCTGTACGCGTAGTAAGGTCGTTTTCGCTGCCCTGGGAATCCTTTTCTCCGAGGGGCACCTTATTTCTCGCTTTATATGTCTCAACTGAGCGACCCCCCTTGTTTGCAGCTCCATCTTCTACCATTTTTGTCGTTTGCATTGGTGCACCCGCGTGTACCCCGATCTTGTTCGTGGGCACTGAGCTTTCTACGAGTTCTGGTGGCATTTTGGACTGATCATCCTGGGTTCCCTGAGAGCATCTGTGGAATGTCTTGGACCCATTAAGTTTTCCGGTCTGGTTGCCTATTTGGCTGCGTGAGGCATCAGGATCGCTGGGCATCCAGTTTCTAGGTTGCCATATTACTGTCTCGGCAACCTCCTTCACTTGGCGTTGTCGCGCAGTTGTGTCATCTTGTGGGGCTACTGGTATGTCATCCAGCAGCATGGGCATCTTCATATCACATGGCTCTACCGTCTTCGACCGTGAACTAGACTGTCTTTGCACTTCATCACTTTGACAGCGCTTTTCAATAGAACTTTGCGGGACTGTAGGATAACGCGAAATAGGAAGAGTGATCTTCCCCTGGAAATATGTATTTGCGCGAACCATGTCAACTTCTAGAACAAGCACGCCTGATGCTGTCACATTTTGGGGAAGAGCTTCGGGAGGAATAAGATGCATTCCTTTAGACTTCTTCAGCGCTGCGCATGCACACAATGCAATCTCTGGTGTAGCTCATCATAATGGAAAAGTATAAAGATTAGCCACGGACATCAGCACCTTGAGTGCGCTAAGATCCAACATCCATAGTGAGCCGCTGAGGAACCGAAGGACACATTTGAGGGGTTCGCAGCTAAATTTCTCTCACAAAACCGTGAGCATGCTCTACCTTCATTCTCCATCGTTTGGACCTTGATTCCCACTGACACAATTCCTGTGTGCCGGTTATGTAGTGCTACGTCGTTCAAGAAATGCCTTATTACCGGGAAAGGCACGATATAGCCAACATTCTGCATCTGTGAAAAGCCCTGGAACGCCACGCCGACTACTTTTCCTTGGGATAAAGCCGGGCCACCCGAGTTCCCAGGGTTTATGGCAGCGTCGATCTGCACTGTGATAAGCCTAGGAGAACAAAGCACTCACAAAAATTTGTGGCCCATATTTGCCAGCCCCGCAATCCTTGAAATGGCTGACTACTGGCAATCAAAGCGCGTCCGGGGTTTTCGCTTCACTCCGAAATCCGTACCCAAGAGACGAATGAGCATACTTTGACACTCCAACCCGGCTGACTACACCTTCCGTGATGCTCAGCTGGTCACCTCCAGTAGGATACCCAAGGACAACAACAGACTCCTAATGGATTGCACAGCAACGCAGTAAACATGAAAACACACTGGCGTCTATTTGCAAGGCATGCAAGCCCGCCACATCATGCCTCACGTAGGATTTCAAAATACACTGAGAACCTACTCGCAGTTGTGGGAGTCCTCCAAAAGGAAGGGCCTTCAGCCCGTCCCAAAAGGCTTCATCATCGACGGTTACTAGGGCCAAGTCACACTCGTGACATACGGCAAGTATTCGCGCGAGGAACCGCTTTGGATTGCTGTAATTAGTAATCGCAAAAAACATGATTCCGTTGTGGCTGTTTGTATTTCATGCAGTTTGCCTGCCTATGCCCGTATACGCGGCTCTTAATACATATGCACGGAGTCATGTGCTTTTCCCCTTACCCATGTCTTCTGACTAGAACACGAATTTGATCAGACACAAGATGAGCGTTTGTCATAATCATTCGGCCTTTCACGACAAACCCAGACCTGAACGAATAGCGTAGAAGACGAACCCACATGTGTTCGTAACTAAGTTCTAGGTATTTGCTGAATTGGCGTAACTGACTACAATGCCTTGATAAGGTAGTGTGCATCTGGTGCTTTGAGCTTTTACCCAGTTTTCATCACCGGCGCCATCATTTGCCAAGGCGACACGAAGTCAGCCTGGACGCTATCAACAAATATCTTCACAACGCTTGCAAGCTCCTCAAGTCCAGACATGTGTTTCGGAATACTTGATTTTGATGCCTTCAGATTGCTGGAAGTGGTAATATCAGTGCATGGCTGGTCATTTGTGTGACAATCCGAGTTGCTTTGATGCTCTTTTGGTTGGTTTTCATCTACAAAGGAATGCTCTTGGACTTGATAAGGGCTACCCTCCTCACCCACTGGGTTCCTGCCGCTGAATTCATCCTGGATGCCCAAAGGATATCCTTCATACTCCAGAAATTGGAGTACATTTATGGATTTGGTTGCGTTCTCGTTGGATACAAGGGAGCTCGCCGTCATGCCCATGACTAAAGAAAATGCCAGTGCTTGGACGAGTCGCATCCTCGCTGTCCCGCAGATACCTCGTCCGCATCGCGTGAAGCAATAAAAAATGCTTCCTCCGGCTCCACAGTGCAAACCGGAAAATCTCTTGAGAAGCGATGCCAAATCATAATTTGATTGGAAAATTACCGTATTTCGGTAGTATAAGCCCCAGTTGAGCTTGGTCGATGCGTCTGCAAGTCAAGGCCAGCGGAACTGCTTCAAACTGAATACATTGTGAAACTCACGGGTGCACCCATGCGCTGTGAATCGTGGTACAACGAAATAATCAAACGAAATCGAGGTGTCTTAGTCTATCGTCTCCTGTGCATGCGTGATACTAGCGAGCAGCGTTGTAGCTGCTCCAGGCCACCCAGTGGAACGAGCGTATTGCAGTTGCGGGCAATGGAAGCACGATCAAGGCTGCATCAGGTTTGTTGGTTTGTGGGTACGGGAGTCAAACCCATGGATTATATATGTGGTTATTGGACGAAATGTGCAAGAAGAAGTAGTATGATTAGGCATAGGAGTCAGTACTTCTCATGTTTGCGAGGCGTTGCGCACTATCCTTGAGATTACTCACTCGGACTGCGTGCTGTCGGCTGCGATCATATACGCGTTCCGCTTAAAAGATGGAGCACACTTGCATTGCTATTATGTTGAGCTGTGTAAAGTCCTTGAATCATGTGCGTTGTTCTCAGACCTGCAGAGCTAGTTCAAAGTTTCTGTATCTGTAACGACCCCTCAAGCCTTCAAGAGAATCTCTGCCCCAATTAGCCAATGCACGCAAGAAGACTGTAGTCTTCCATCACTAAATGACTCATTTTTTCCTTGCCTTCACCCTATCTGGCTTCGGCCTCAAGAAAAAGGCGCAGTTGGGAATTTCGCTGTTACGGCCTCTGGGCTTGGCAGTCATTCTCACGCAGCTGCCCAAAATACCGTTGCGCACGCGCAGACACACTCCATTAATCCTCGTAGTGTTGAAATAATCCTATTTTTAAGTGCTATACGGATTAAGGGATCAAAAATGCAATCAATGCCTAAAGGAATGGAGGTGAATACCCATGGTTGAACGCTCCTTACAAGGTCTCGGTAAGGAGAAGCCCAATACCAAAATCAATACTCTAAATAGAAAGTTACTGATTATTTTTCAAATTTGCTCTCTTACTCACCTACCCGTGCTCCTCAGGGTTCCTACTTGGAGCGGAGAGGATCAGCATGGTTGCGCGTTCCTTCGTCGTCCACGCACTCCGAACACTCAAAGCTTCTTGTACATGATATCGAGCGCACGCGGACACAACATTGGGTCCTTTTGCGTTGAGCTAGCACTACCCTGCATAAAATTAGACGTGTAGATAGCCTAATGTATCAGCTAACTTCTTTTTAAAACTAGTTCTTAATCAAATACTAAGAATGTAGTAAGAACTGCCCAGTGCAGCTCGGCCACAACTGCTCGGTTTCGATAGAGCGATCGGAATATGAAGCAACAATGTAAAGCTTTGAAGAACGCATAGCCTACATGGAAATATAAGACCCACAGGTGCATCTCCGGCATCGGTTGTTGAAAAAACATGACGCCCTTAATTGGAAAACAGTGCGATTGCCGGAGAATTTGCATGATGGTCCACAAGCGTCCTTGCTACTGCATCAACCGCCTCTGTCCAGGTAAGAGACCATCTTTAAGCAGATCAGTCAATGGATCAGCAGCTCAAGCAAAGCATCCAGGAAGAAAATTGGGGCATCAAGGTGCAAGCCCATTGAATTTACTTTAGCCCTTGCAGGTGGGCAGAGATAAAGCGCAAACCTTGAGTGCGTCAATTTCTCTGGATCTGATTGAATGGCTGCGACTCAAACACGGAGCCTTAGCATACTAGTCTCATAAAAATGGAGGGTATGTGCCTTCCAATGCCACTGCTTGCCCTTTAACTGCTAAGGCACACGTAGGAGGCGCTTAAGGTGGGCTTGAACTTTTCGGCTGAACACAAAGGCACTGTCTATGAATAGGGCCATCCGGTCCACCTCGATAGGCTTTTCGTAAATAAAGGACTTGATATTATAGCTCAGCTAAAGCATCGAAGAGACCAATAAAAATACAGGTGTGCTAGAGTTTGGGAGTGCAAAGGTGGGGCGCCTAATTGACCACGTTTCTGGGTAGATGGGGATTTGTAAGAAGGCGTCTGTGAGTCAAGAAGTTGAGTAAACCGTTGATCTGTATAGCTTATTAAGCACTTTGGCAGCATGACGCATCGGGAGCTTCTGCTTAGCAGTGCTCTGACGGGGCTTAAATTCAACGCACATGCGTCGCCTAACGTCCTTTTATAGCTCAACCGCCGGACTATGCCCGGAAGCGCTGTTCGGTCCCTCATCAATCCTTTTTTCAACGCATCCTCCGCCTGCCGTCCAATGTGTCCTTCATGCTGTGGGGCTTTCCAAGCCGAGGAGCATAGTATGGGATGAAATTGGGGATCAACTCAAATGGTGCGCTGGACGACCAGCAGGTAACCAACCTGTTGGCTGCTCGTCATGACAGAGCACATCCGCAAACTCCTTCTTCATATTTCCCTATTCCTGCCGCTTCTTAGTATAACATTCATTTACATCCTTTCAAGCAAAGCCGCTCCAAGTTTGGTTAGACCGGATGCAAGTTCAGAACCGTTTTCTTATTGCGTTGCTGAGCCGCTAGTACAAAGCCTCTGCCTTACCTTGTTGAGCCACCGAGGCTACCCGGTCAACCATAAATGATAAAGTATTAGTGAGGAGACCAATATGTGCTTGTTTCTAGCTCTTCGTGCGGCCACTGACCTCCATTGCGTGCAGCTGCGGCCGCATGCGCGCCATCAGTTAAGTCAGCCATGGCATACCTACAAGAACACCACAGGTCACGGGTCCGACATAAACTTCACCAATCATGCTACTAAGACCCAGTTCCAGTCTGAAGTGGCAGTAAGTTGCTGTATTTTTACTGATTCTTAGATCTGCAGCCCGTCAGGAAACCTGAGTTAAAGGAGATGCGCTAACGAGTGACAGTCGGGGTACAGCTCTGCGCTGTCTCCTCGGTTGATACAACCACTACACATCCAGTTTCAAGTAAGGCTACCAATTCATAAACATCGATGCAAATATGCATAAGAGCAAAAGGGGCCCTTGGTAGCCCCAAAAACTGCGGCTCATTCCTCTGTAGGGACCCTTGCTTCTGCAAAGCTTGAGTGGGGGCCTTTCGTCTTCCTGATGTATCCTCTGTCCTCCACAAGCAGCTTCTTCCTGCTAGACCCAGTCCCTT